CACGGAAAGGGACAGACTGGGCAGCTATGGGGAGCTGCAGAGAGCTTGAGAACTGAGTTTTTACCCAGATCTCCCTGGGAGGCATGGGGTCTAGGCAAGGGGGGTGGAGAAGAGTTCAAGGCAGGTTCCTCCCACCCCGACAAGGCCTTGGAGATGCTGCTGCTGCCGCCGCCTTTTATCATAGACTCTCTCCACGCTTTATATTTTATACTCCCCACCCCCCAAAAAATAGCTGTATAAGAGTAGGGATATAGCTCGGTTGGTAATAGAGTGCTAACCTAGCATGCACAAGACCTCGGGCTGGGTCTCGAGTGCTGCATTTAACCCAGAGTGGTGGCACAGGCCTAGCATTCCAGCATGGGGGGGGGGGGAATGGAGGCAGGAGGCGAGTGAGAAGTTCAAGGTTGTATCAGCTACATAGTGTACCTGAGCTTGCACACACATGTACATACATGAATATGTGCACTGTACTGGCTGGTTTTGTGTCAACTTGACTCAACCTAGAGTCATCAGAGGAAGGAGCAGCAGCTGAGGAAAGGCCTCCCTGAGATCCAGCTGCAAGGCATTTTCTCAATTAGGGATCAATGGGGGAGGGGCCCAGCCCACCGTGGGCGGGGCCAGCCCTGGGCTGCTGCCCCTGGGTTCTATTAAGAAAGCAGGCTGAGCAAGCCAGTATGCAGCTCCCTCCAAGGCCTTGGTCTCAGCTCCTGCCCTGCTTGAGTTGTGCCCTGACTTCCTTTGGTGATGGGCTATGATGTGGACGTGTGAGCAGAATAAACCCTTCCCTCCCCAGCTTGCTCTCTGGCCATGGTGTTTAGTCATAGCTATAGAAACCCTCACTGAGACAGCGACTCAGAGCTCAAGTGAAGCTGGGCACAGTACTCGAACCTCAAGCCCCAGCAGGAAGTCCTTGGGAAGATGGGAGATGGTAGTGTGACAACTCTCAGGAGCTTACAGGCCGCTTAGCCTGGTCAACCACGTAGAAAAGCTAGAAATCCCGCTCCCATCCCAATAAACATGAAAACTGACACCGGAGGCCATGCGGACCTCTACATGTTCATGTCAGGACTCACACACATGAATGTGTACTCACAGGCACGCGCGCGCGCGCGCACGAACACACACACACACACACAAATACTGTATTCATCTGGGCTCAATCAATCCTCCTGCCTCAGCTTTCAGATGTCTCGATGCCCCTGGTTGAGTAGACTGCCTAGCAACCTGACCTCCAGAGACCAAGGCAAGGCACAGGAGAGGGTATTGCTGCCCACTATATTTCTAGAACTCTATTCATTCCAGCCGTTCACCAGGGTCCTCTTTCCTTTGAAGTAGGGCTTGGCCACGGAACCTTACATACTGACTTAGAAATATACCATCTCTGAAGGGCAGCATCGCTGTTCCCACCCTAGCTCATCCCGGAGAAACAAGTCAATATGAGTGTGGCACAGATTAACGTAACCTGTCATTCTGGGGCCCCAAAGCCTCTCCCACAGACCTCACAGGGTCATAGGTGTTCTGTCACAGAAGTGAGGGTGGCTTGTCACCACAGTGGGGTCCAGCCTCGCCTGAGTTACAGGACACAGCTAGGAAGCCATATCATAGCCTGGGAAGGCTGGAGAGCGCTGCTGACCCACAGTGCATGCTTTGTGCCAGGCATGCCGATACCAGGCATGCATAGATCAGGCACAGCCTTCCCAGCCAGGCTTCAAGACGGAGATAAGACAGCAACCTGGGCCCCAATCCTAGGGGAGTGCAAATGTTCTAGGCACTCTGACTGCTGACACCCGCAGCCTATTGGCACTCAGATGGATAAACCACACAGGTGAGAGAAAAGAATATAACAGGGTCTCCTCAAGAAGCCCACTCACAGCCCAGCAGTGGTGGCACTCAGGAGGCAGAGGCAGGCGGGTCGCTGTGAGTTCAAGGCCAGCCTGGTCTACAGAGCGAGTTCCAAGACAGCCGAAGTGACACAGAAACCCTGTCTCGAAAAACCAAACAACAATGGAAATCCCCTCACATCACAGCTTGCTTTGAGTCTTAGGCCTTTTTGAGACCGGGTGTCAATTCCATAGGGCAGGCTGCCCTAGAACTCATTGCGTAGCCAAACGTGGCTTTGAACGCCTAACCCTCTAGCCTCTGCCTCCCAAGTGTGGGTGTTACAGACACATTCTTCCACATCTAGCTTTCAAGACTGTGTTGGGCACAACCTGTTTCTTCTGAAGCAGGAGGCAGCCACCCCACAGGAGTCTGCATAGACACTGACCTGCCCACAGCCTCCCACACCAGGCCTCCGGGTCTAAGGTAGTCTGCAGCTGTGGGCAGGGTGACAGATCCCAGTTGTGGAGGCCTATGTCTCCAGGGACGGGAATTCTAGGCAGAGCATGAGTGCCAGGGGGCTGGGCTGGGGGACGAGGGGTTCAGGCCCTGGACTCTCATGGGTACCGCTTTGGGGGTTATCATCTCAGCAGACACCAGAGCTTCAGTTTCAGGCCCTTCTGTGTCTGCGTAGCCCTTGCTGGGGGACAGGTGAGCCCCACGAATGCCCTAAAAGCCTCGAGGGGCGGGTGGTGAGATGATGGGACACCTGCCACCTGGCTCAGGGCTGCAGCATTTAAAGAAGAAGCTGGGCCAAAGGCCAGGAGCGGTACCGAGTTTATTCCCCATCGCGCCTCTCCCCCAAGCGCCGCGCCTGCTGTCCCCACCCTGAGACCACGGGGATGTCACACAACAACTGGCCATTACGGCTCTACACATCTGTGTCTGGCCTTCTTGCCACCACCTAGACCCCTGGGAGGCGATACGGAGGCGGTCACCCCTGGGTTCAGGGCCCGCCATGCCTCCATGGAGGCTCCTTAACAGCTGCTCCAAGACCAGAGCAGCCTGCTTCACCTCAGCAGTCTCCCCAGAGGTGATGGTCCCAAGGCCACTGCCTCTCGGGTGGGCCTGGGAAGTTGTCACCACGCTCAGCTCCCTCATACCAGCATTCAGCCACTTGACCCATCTTTTTTAAAAATAAAGCATAAAAGCTGTCGAGACAAGAACCCCAACTCCACGGCACGGAGAGGCACACCGGAGCTCCCCGTGGGGTGAAGCATGTAGCACCAGGTTCACAGTGGCCTTGGGGAGAGAGGGCTGCACCCACTTTCCACACAGCACCCACCCCAGCCAGTGCCCCCGGGGGAGAGGTGTGTGAAACCCATCACCCGGGACGGGGTTCCATCCCCAGGCCCTACCCTTCAGACTGCTGCTTATTGAAGAATGGCCCGACAGACCAGGGTCCTAACCCCATGAAGGCCACCAGGGCCAGCAAGAGGCTAGGACGGTGGGGAACCCTGGAGGTCAACTTTTCTTTTCTTTTAATGTAAGCCAGCTCTGGAGAGTGGCCAGGCACTGGGGTCAAAGGTTAGGAATAGCAAGAGGCAGGGAAGGGGTCCCTGAGGACGTCGGAAGCCCAGAGATCAAGGGGGAGAACAGGTAGGAGCTGGAAGCCCAACCTTGGGCATCGAGGCAGGAGTCTGCAGCCAAAGGGGAAGCCTTCGTTTCTGAGCCAGGGCGCCACCTGTCTCCCCCATGGACACAGCGGGACCTGAGGCTATGCTTGCAGCCTGACTCTCCAGGCTGGGAAAGGGTGTCTACACCATGGACCCTGATCCTAGCCCAGAGGACAGCCGAGTCAGCAGGGCACCTTGGGCCTGCCCACATCTGTACAGAATAAAGTGCTTAGTTTATTGATGATTAAAATGTCCCCAGCCCTCCGTCCCAGCTCCATGGGCCTCTGAGGCCAGAGGGGTTTGGTACCCTCTGCCAGTCCCCTGGGGCACAGGGTCCCTTCTCACTGTGGCCGTGCTGGGGCGGTGGTGATGGGCGGGAATAAGGTGCGATGTGACAAACAGAAGCTTATGAACAGTGGGTGGACCAGAACTAGGAAACGTAGCTCATGGGAACTTTCTCCCAATTAAACGCAGGAATAAGGACATTAAATGACAACAGAGAAGAGTCACCTATTAGCGCCTGCCTCCCAAGGGCAAGCATTGGGCACTGGCTGAGCTCCTGCGGGGCCTACAGGCACTGGCTTCTCTCCCTGGCTGGGCTGTGGCACACCAGACAGCGTAGCGTGCAGGAGGGATCAGAAGCCAGCCAGAGGCAGGCAGTGGCCTGGCCCCAGGAGAAGAGGAGCCTGGTGTGGGCCTCGGGGGAACAGACACAGCTGCACGTGTCTCCTGGTGGGGGAGTCCAGCCAGGCAGGCTGGTGAGGGACAGGGGTGCCCCGTGGACAGCTCCTTGTCCCCTGACACACAGATAGCACCGTGAAACCCTGAACTACTTGCCTGAGGCTCCCGTAGGGCCTACCCCTGGGCTCTCACTCCCCTGCAGGAACCCTGGAAGCTGGGCTAGGGAAGTCAGCTCCTCCACCCCCTGAAGGCTTGGCCCCCAGCTCCCAGAGAGAATCGTTCCAGGATTTGGGGCTCTTTACAAGTCCAGCACAGGCTGAGGATCCCTGAGCCTGCCTGGCAGGGATATGACTAGGAAAAGAAACCCATGGGGGCCAGCCCCCACCTGTCCCACACAGAGGGAGTCTGCAGCCTGTCACTACCCTACCCTGCCATGCCTCCCCGGCCACAGGCCTCCTGGTGGGGCCTCCACAACTCCCTTCAACAGGGGTGCAGCCAAATTCTTGCCAAACCATCCCGTCCTAGGGAGTGAGTTAAGGGCACGGGAAGCTGGGGCGAGCACGTGAGGCTGACCCAGGCCCTGCCTGGCTCGTGGCCATGTCTGAGCCCAGAGCCCCCCCCTGCCCTGTATCTGTTGCCTCCGGCTCCCCTCACCTGGAGGGGAGTAGTCAACCGGTCCCTCTCTGTTCCTTCACTCCCAAAGACAAGGAGGAAAACCTGCGAAGAGCTGCAGAAGGGACATCCCAGCATGCACCAGGACCCAGTGCCGGGGCAGCCAGCTGCGGCACAGCGCCCGGCCTGTGTCCCTGCCGTCCCCGGCCTGGAGGGCCTTGCTGGGGGTCAGTTGGTGTCCAGCCTGGGAGCGGCAGTGGAGAAGAGCGGGTTTGTGGGCTGCAGGTGCGTGACGGGCAGGGCGGCGGGGTCGCTGGGCAGTGGGTGGCTGACCCGGAAGCATTTCTCCTTGTGTGCCTTCAACATGTTAGAGAAGCGAAAGCGCTGGCCACACACGTCACATGGGTAGGGCTTCTCTCCCGTGTGGGTGCGCCGATGGCGCTTCATGTTGGGGCGGCTGGTGAAACTCTTGCCACAGATCTCACAGATATATGGCTTCTCCCCTGCAACGGAGGGCGACAAGGGCGTTAGGGCCAGCTCTAACTCCCACCCCACCAGGGGCAAACCAAGGCCCACGCAGAGGGTTTGGACACACACCTGTGTGGGTCTTCATGTGCTCATCGAAGTACTGCTTCATGTTGAAGTCCTTGCCACACCACTGACACATGAACTGCTTGTGGCCAATGTGGATGCTCATGTGTGACCGCAGCTGGTACTTGTACTGGAAGCGTTCATTGCAGTTCTGTGAGGAGAGGAAGAGCTGCAGACGTCCTCGCCCTGCTTCACCCAACCTGATACTGTGCAAGCGTATGTGTGTCTATGTGTGTGCACATGTGTGTATGCATGTGTATGCTTGTATGTGTGTGCATGTGCACTTTTGTGTGTGCATTGTGTGCATGTGCGCGTGCATGTATGCGTGCAAGTATGTGCATGCATGTGTGTGTCTCTGTGTGTGTGCATACATATGTGTGTATGTGTGTGCATGTGCACATATCCATACCGACAGATGTACCTGTGTGGTCAACCTCTGGAATTTCCTCAGGGGCCCTGCTCCTTAGCTGTTTTTGAGACAGGGTCTCTCACTGGCCTGGATTTTGTTTAGGCCATGCTGACTGGCCAGTGAGCTGCAGGCACCGCCATCTCTGCCTCCCCTCCCCAGCACTGGGTTACCAGCATGTTCCTCCATGCCCAGCTTTAATTTAGTAAAAGCAACATAAACAAACAAACAAACAAAACACCAGGATTGAAGCTCAGGTTCTCACACCTGCAAAGTGAGCATTTTCCCGACTGTCTCCCCAGCCTTCCCTTGGGTTGGTTTGTTCCTTACACACACACACACACACACACACACTGACTCATTGTGTGTCTGAGGCTGATCTTGATCTGCTCAGGCAGCATCTGCCTCTGACCTCCCTTGCTCCCCACCCCTGAAGGTGGGGTAGGTGGAGGTGGGTGGGACCACCGGGGGACCCCCGCAGCCAGCAGGAAGCAGAGCTCACCTCGCAGCGGAAAGGCTTCTCCCCGGAGTGCTGCAGCGAGTGCACCTTGAGGGACATGCTGCGTTTGAAGGACTTCCCACAGGTCTCACAGGTGAAGGGCATGTCCTTGGTGTGGGCTGCGGGTGGGCACGGCCGTCACTTCTCCAGGGCACCCACCTCAGCCCCCACTCCCAGACCCGCCACACTTTCCTGGGGGGTGGGTGGGTGTGCTGAACTCATGAAGGCCAGTGAAGACGTCTGGAGACAGCCCTCCCAGCAGGGACCACCAACCTTGTTACCCAGCATGCTCCTGGCCAAGACCTAGGCTCCAGGGTTCCAGGCTCATCTAATTTATACTGTCGAGTGGGGGAAAGGGAGGCCAGGGCCATTTGTCTATTTGATCCTCCTCCCTGGAGTGTGGAGCCCAGTTGAGCCCAGTTGAGAAAAGGTGACCACAGGAACTCCAGACACTCACAGCCAGGCCCACCTGAAGGGTGTGTGGCCTTGCCTGAACATGGGTGGCTGTCACACCTGGGGAGGCCGCCTTACTGTATCCAGGTGTGAGCCCTGGGGGAGGTTGTATTCAAGAGAAGCCTGCTGCCCTGTGAGGGCCAGAAGGTGAGACAAAGCGTGAGGAGCCTAACGGCTGTCATGAGGACACAGGACTGTGCCAGCCCACGAGGAATTGGGGCAATTCAGGAAGCTTTTCCCGTCCACAGCTGGACAGAACCCCTCGGCAGGATCCACAGCCTGGCCAGCAGTGTGCCAGCTGGATCCCCCCCCCCCCCCGCCAGCTTGCCGGGTGTCCTGACACACTGGGCAAACTGCCCATCTGTGCGCCGCTGCCCCCAACCCTTTCCACCACCTGGGTACAGTCCCTTCTGACTGTGTATGTGGGTGCATGTGCACCCACCACATACACACAGTCTGCCCATCCTCCGCCCACGCCTGCCCCGCCCAGCAGGGACTCACCGACCATGTGCTTACGCACATGGGCCATGGTGTAAAACTTCTTCTCACAGATCTCGCAGGAGAATTTCTTCTCGGCGTAGCCGTGCACGATCTTGTTGTGCTCGTGCAGGGACCAGAGTTTCTTGAAGGCTTTGCCACATGTTACGCACTGCGGGGAAAGGAACAGAGCTCTGGGGGGGGGGGGCGGCGACCCGGGGCTGGCTTCAGCCTCAGTTTACCCATCTGAAAAGGGCTGATGCTCCGAAGCTGGGCTGACTCGCCCCATACCTACGCACGTGACCGCTGGGGTCCCCTTCTTAGGCCTCCCCAGGCACTGAAAGCTAGGTGGATTGAGGGTGGCTCTCATCCCAGCAGAAACCCCAGAGGCAGGAGGCCATGGGCTTGGTAGGAAGGAGTAAAGGCTTTACCCCCTTGAGCAGGAATGGTGGAGAAACAGCCCAGGGGCAGGAAACAGGTGCACAGAGTGGGGGATAGGCAGGGCACCGGGACACCGTCCCCACAGGCATCACAATTAGCAATTAGTTAGGGTAATTAACACCCGCCTACCTGTGGCCTTTTTTTTCCCTCCCTCCTGGGCCAGAAAATTAGCTGGCCCCGTGTGTGCATGAGCACACACAGTTGTGCATGCACACGCATGCTGGGGTGTGTTCAGACCAATGCATTCCATAATCTCCCACGCTTCCTCCTGTGCACACACAGCCTTGCTGCCCTTGTCCCCTGGCGAGGGTGCTGCCACATCCTCTGTTCATGACTCTGTGGGCCAGAGCCCAGCCCCACCTGCCTCCTCCTTAGAGCAAGCCTGGCCTGGCTTGGCTCAGGAGACGGTCTGGGCGGCGGGTCTCACCTGGATGTTGCGCTCGCAGTCTGTCTGGCGATGCAGCTGCAGCTCACTCTCCAGCAGGAAGCGCTTCCCACACTGGCCGCAGATCTGCATGCGGCTGTGGGTCACGTTCATGTGCTTCTCCAGGTACCAGCGGTTGTTGAAGACCCGAGGGCACTTCTGGCAGGGATGTTGCTGTTTCTCCTCCAGCTTCACCTTGGCCCCCAGCCCATCAGCTGCCTGGGTTGCAGGAGCAGCTCCAGAGGCCTTGGGCTTCTTCCCACCTCTGCGCCCGGCCTCCTCTGGCTCAGGAGTGGCTCGGCGCTGAGTGTTCTGTCCCCGGGACCGTGTGGACATGCGGCTGTGCAGCGGAGGGTCCTCCTGGCTGCCTTGACACCCTGCAGGACCTGCAGGATCCTGCCTGCCTTCAGCCTCCCCCTCTTCCTCTGAACTCTCTGCATCCTGCTCGCTCTGGCCATCCTCTTCATCTTCATCCTCCTGCTCACTGGGCCCTTCCTCATCTTCCTCCTCTCCCTGGCTGCCTCCTTCTTCTTCCTCCTCCTCTTCCTCCTCCTCCCCTCCACTCCCTCCTCCTTCTTCCTCCTCCTCTTCTGAATGTTCCTGCATCCCATCCTCCTGGCCCAGCACCACAGTGGCCCCAGCGCCTGGCTTGCCCTCAGGCCCAGTGGACACATGCAGAGTTTGGTTATTGAGATTCACCTCCACAATGATCTGTGATTGCTCCTGGCGCCCATAGGTGCCCGAGGCACCCAATCCTGGCTCCACACCCTCTCCACTTTCTAGCTTGCACAGGCTACCAGGGGCCTCGGCCTCCTCAGGCGCCCCTTCCTTTTCCTCCTTGAAGAGGAGCGGCTGTGCCGGCCCAGGAGCAGCAGAATCCCCAGCAGAGTCCCCAGTGGTCCCTGCCCCGTCCTCCACGCGCACAGAGTAGGGGTCCGGGCCCTCTCGGGCGTAGATCTTCGGTAGGCCCGGGGTGTCCGCCTCCTGCTTGATGTCACAGTAGTAGGGTGGTGGAGGCATCGGGGCGCAGCTGGCCGCTGGCTGTGGCAGGGCCACGGGGCCCGAGGGCGCCAGGGAGCGGGCGTCCAGCAGCTCCTGGCAGGAGGCTGCGATGTCCGCCATCTGCAGCAGCGAGGCCGCACTAAGAACCTCGTGCACGTTGGCGGCGTTCACCAGCAGCTTGGACGTGTAGATGAAGTTTAGGATCTGCTGCAGGCCCCCGGGCGCCAACGCCTCAAGAGACAGCTCGACCCGTTGCAGCTGCTTGTTCTGCGTGAACAGCGAGTGGAAGAACTGGCTGTAAGCAGCCAGCACGCCCTTGTGTGCGGGGAACACGCTACGCTGAGGCACCAGCACCAGGTCCACGTCGCACAGGTCTGGCTGGAAGAGGCGCTGCTCGTTCAGGCGGCCCATCAAGCAGGCGAAGTGTAGGGCCACGTCCTCCACCAGCGAGAACTCTGCCGCCGGGGAGTCTGTAGTCTTCTCCACCAGCAACTGCGGGGCGAGGACACAGGAAGGTGAGGGACGGCCACTGCCCAGCCCTGCCCAGCCCTGCCCTCAGTGGGGGCGCTATCAGAAGAAACGATCTGATTCATTCATGGTGGTGTGTGTGTGTGTGTGTGCGCGCGCGCATGCGCGCGCGCGTGTCAGAAACGAGGCAGGGACAGCTGCTCTTATGGCTACACTGTCCTGGGACCCGTGCCCAGGTGGCCACTCTGGGCCTCCTCCCTTAGCTCTTCTGTGCACACCTGTCCAGATAGGTAGGGAGCCCAGAGCTTCCTGGGAATGTGGGGCTTTTCGAGAAGCCCGTCCTGGAGGACCGGGGTCACCCCAAGATCCTTATTCACTGTGCCCCTACTGGGCTTCGGTCTGTTCCTCAGTGTGTTCTGAATGTCCCACCACACTGATGGGAAGAGAGCTTGACCGATGGTGAACGAACGACCGGAAAGCAGGGAACACAGCTTCTGCCACAGCGCCTGGGGGATGCGCTGAGACAGAGGCCAGCAGAGGACTTTAGGGTCACGGAAGACAACAGGTGGGAAACCCCCAGACCTAGTCCATCATTCCTCACACCCCCGCCCACAGCAGCTCCTTGCACCTCGGGCCCTCCGGCCCTCCGGGGAGGATGAGCTGTGTTCTCTGTTCACCACACTCCCAAAGGACACCTCAGTGAGGCTGGGATGATGCCTAGGCCTAGAAGCTCCAAGATGACTCTGCCTTGGAGGCCATACCGCCTGGACAGCCCCAGGGGCCTCAGAGACCACTAGACAAGACTGCCGGAGGACTCCTAGAAGTTGGGTGACAGAGACTGGCCTGCCGTATCCCTGCCTTAGGGTCTGGGGCTCAGCAGATTTCACTGGCTAGTCCAGCCCCACACAGGCCAGCTCCTCAGCTCTGCCTGGCGAGGTAAAAGCCATGTCTGAGTGCCGATTTGTCCCAGTGGGGAACATAGGCCCACTATCTTCCTCAGAGGTCCAAGGGTGAAGCTGCCCCGTGAGGCTATTCCCCTGTGAGCACTGAGTGGGCCAGACAGGCAGGACTGGACCTGAGCTCCCTTGTCACCATCTGAGGGAGAGCCCCAGGAAGCCTTGAGAACTTCGTCCTTCCAGACAGCATCTAGGGCATGCCTATGTTGCTCTCAGCTGACAGAGGACATCACTTTCCTCAAGCTCCCCCCACCACCCAAAAGCCACCCATCGTTTGACTCCGCCCCTGGTCCATCTAGCTGGGACGTGGCATGGGGCCCTGCCCATGCCTCTCCTCTGACTCACTCTGATTCACCCTCTAGGACCAATCCCTGCAGCACAGATGGAGAAACTGAGGCCCGAAGGGGCATTGCCCCATGGAGCTGTGGCTGTCCTGCTCTGCCTGGGTACCCCTTCATTCTGGCTGGGACGCTCAAGTTCTGAAAGTGAGGTGGGGTGAAGGTCTGGGGTCTGTGAGCCATCCAAGCATCTAACACACAGACACCACTGCACCTGCAGATGACTACGGAGGGGACAGATGGTGGCCCTGAAGGGCCTGCAAACCACAGACCCCACGCCTGGATCCTTTACAGAACCCTCCCACCCCACCAGGCCCCACCTGCTTGGAAAGGACAACCTGAGCCTGGCAGGACCCCATGCATTTCTAAAGCCACTTCCTAGCCTAACACCGCCAGCTTAGTGGCAGGGCCCAGCTGTGGGCAGGGCCCCTCCCACGCAGTGCCCACCAGCTGTGGGGCTCTGGCCAGATGCTTCTGCTCCCTGAAACTGAGGAGGCCTCTCTCCACCTGGCTATGCCAGCTCCAGCAGCCGCCCTCCCCTCTGGGGGAGGGGGCCACCTGCAGAAGCCGCTAAGCTGTTGAGTTCCGAGGGCCATCTGGTGAGACCTGGGGACAGTCAAGCCATCCGGTCTTCCCTGGGCAGCGTGGGAGAGCCCAAGCCGAGCAGGGGTACGGGCTTGTGACTTCTGGATGCCTGCCTTGGAGAGGCCTGGCTCAGAGACAGCAGGGGACCGGCCCAAGGTCACACAGGAGTCTCCACTCCAGCTGCGGGCGCCCCCCGCCCTTGGTGCGCGCAGTCCCAATCTCCGGCAGGGCCGCTGCAGCGCCCACGTGGCCCAAGGCCCGGGCGGGAATCCGACCCCCCCTTCCCCCCCCCGTTACCAGCCCCGGGGCGGCGCCGTCCGGGCGCAGAGAAGCGCCCCCCTCCGCCCGCGCACAGCAAGACCTCGGCCTTTTGCGCCCGCGCCCGCACCCCCCACCCCAGGAATTTCAACCCCCAGCCGCGCCACCGCGTCGCACTCCCGGCCGGCGGACACCCAGCCCAGAGGGTCGAGGACCCCCGGGGGAGGGTCCGGGTCGCTCCTGCCCCCGGATCGGGTCCCGCGGGACCCTGCGCTCCGAAAGGCGGCGCTCGCAGGTGGGCGGATAAGCGGGGGGACAGGCAGGGCCCTGCGTACCATGGTGCCGCGGCGCTGGGAGCTCACAGGGCCCCGCAGGATCGCGCTGCCCCCGGCGGCCGGGCCCGGGCCGCCCCATGAAGCGCCGCGCTGGGGGCCGCCCCCGCGACCATGGCCCCGGGGGCGCGGCCGGGCGGGCGGGCGGGCGGGCGGAGGCGCAGGGCCGCGGCGAGTCCGGCCCGAGCAGCTGCGGCCCTGGAGCCTCGGGCGCGGCGGGCGGGGGGCGCGGGGCGCCGATTGGAGCCCGCGCGTCAGCTGGGGCCGCCGTCTGGACGCTTAAAGGGCCAGGCCGCCCTGCGTGCGGGCTAGGGGCGCGATCGCGCGTGGTGCGTGCCGTCCCGGTGCGGCTGCCCCGCAGAGAGCCCCGGGCAGGGCCGGGCCGGGCCGGGCCGGGCGGGCAGGGCGGCAGCTGACGTGGGAGCGTTTGAACCGCGCGACCCCACCCTCCCGCGCTGAGCCCCTCTCTGCGGGGAAGTTCGCCCGGGAGTCTAACCCGCGTGTCCTCCCGCTGCTCCACGGGGGCGGGGCCGGGGCGGGCGTGAGGTCACGGAGCTGGGCGCGCCGGCCCCCGACCCACCTGCTCCCTTGAGCTCGGAGACGCCGAGGGCCCGAGCCCCGCACCCCAGCCACGCTCACCACCCGCCCCGTGGCCCCGGCTGCTCCGATTGGGGGTGAGTCTGGGGTCCCCAGCTGCTCCGGCCTCCCACGCGGTTTGCTCTGCACCCCTGGGACCCACCTGGTGGCCTTTGGCTGCGCTGGGCCTCCGAGCCGCCGCAGCCGCAGCCGCAGCCGCAGCCGCAGCGAGAGAAGCCTTTCAGATGACCTGCCCGGGACAGCCGGGTGGGGGGCCGGAGGCCCAGGCCCGGCCGGCCGAGCGGCCTCTCCGCGCAGCCTCCGCCGGGGAGATGCAGCCCGGCTTGCGGAATGCTGCTCTGGCACCGGCTCCGTGGGGGCAGGGGGCTGGCTGTGCTGGCAGGAGGCAGCGAAGGAACGCTGCCAGTGTGAGCGGCGGCAGGGCGGGACCGCGGGCTTCCACCGTGGTCTCTCCTTCGGACTCCCCGCACCCCTGCCCAGCGGCCGCTGCTCAGCCCAGTCGCTCCCCCAGCCCTGCTCCAGCCCGACCACTCCACTCCAACCACAAGGCTCCCTGAGCGTACGCCTTCCTCATGGTGGGCAGGGGGCTGTGGTTAGAGCCAGACAGGTGTCATCAAATAGCCGAGGGTCTGTCCCCTAAGAATGCAAGCATCTCCCACTAGGACACTGGGCTGGCCACCCCCGAGCCAGGGGGAGGAGAGTCAGGTGGGGTGGGAAGAGGTGGGGACAGAGGAAGGGCTCTCCATCTGAGCAGGACATACCCTGTAGCTGGGGGAACAAACCGCTTGCGGAGCGGCACAGATGCCTGACTGAGCTCCTGGTGTTCTAGGCTAAAGCTGTTCAACTGCCAGTTACCAGGATGCCTCCTGTCACTTCCAACCACCGTTTCCCTTCTGACTCCGAGTGGACTGCTACACTGAGTCCCAAAGGGAGACTAGACATGCAGATCGAACCCTGTGCCTGGAAGCTGGGCAGAGTGGCCAGCCTGACCACAGGAAGGATGCTGGCCCTTTGGGTGACGGCCTTGGTAAAGGAGCGAAGCAGCCCCACTCCCCAGCACAGGACAGAGGCCCGTGCTTTAGACCCCTGAAGCTGGGCCACAGCCCCAACTGCTTGGGTTCCCTGCGCTAGACTGGGGAAGCTAAGCTAACCAGGTGACGTAGAAATGCAGGCCAGGTAGTACCTGGGGTGGTGCAGGCTGGAGGGTTAACAGTGGTCTGCCTCTACAGCATGGGGCCTCCTCCTCTGCCTGAGCTCTGGCTGCTGAGCCGGGTTCTAATGGGCCACAGCTGCACCAGTGTGGGAGCCCTAATGCAAAACAGCAGGTTCCCTTTCCCACACCGACTCCAGGGCCTTACAGAGAGCATCTCCGTGGTAGTTTCCAGAAAGCTACTAGACCCTAGTCCTGCACCACCCTGGGAGGCTCGGTCTTGCAGACAAGTAGCCATGTCATGTTGAGGGCTGTTCATCGCTGCTGCTCAGAGGCCGGAAGGAGTCTAGGGTCTGTCCGGTAGTGTAGTCTACCCTGTAGTGTAGGCAGACTGTTCAGGCCGGTGCAGAAAGACTGGACCCCGTGTTTACATCTGCTTGCCTGATCACATGCATCATCCGGGTTCATCAACACAGAGGCAAGTGTCGTTCTCAGAATGTCACTGTCACGTGAGCTGCAGAGATGTGGAGAGCCAGGGCTCAGTGGACACAGGCAGCCCTGGCCCTTTCTCCCTCCTTCCCGCCTTGGTGTCCCTAAAGTTGTATGGGGTTGGGTCTTACTGCATGTGTGGTGTGGTGCGGTGAACAGAAGAGTGAGCTGTTCTAAGACAGGGAGGAAGCAGCCATGGTGCTGCGTTCTCCTTCATACCCCCTCCCCGGGTTCCTGAGGGACTGCAGCAACCCATGCCCCCCCCCCCCCCCCCGCTTTTCTTTTTTCTTTTTTTTTTGAGATAGGGTTTCTGTGTAACAGCTCATTGGAGTCATTCTGTAGTCCAAGCCTGCCTTGAACTCACAAATACCCTCCTGCCTCTGCCTCCATAGTGCGGGGATTAAAGGCATTGCACCATCACCGCCTGGTCCCTGTGCCAACTTTTTAAGATTAAAATTTATGGCTGTTTTGTCTTCATGTATGTCTATGTGTGGGTGTCAGATCTTGGAGTTACAGTTGTAAGCTTCCATGTGGGTGCTTGGAATTAAACCTGGGTCCTCTGGAAGAGCAGCCAGTGCTCTTAACCACTGAGCCCCACCTGGCCTCACAGCCTAGCCTTTACACATCCCTCATAGGACAATGGGGAGAGCTAATGTCCACTTAATTCAGAAAGTAAGACCAATGCCACTGGCAATGTCCCAGTACTGTCTAGCACACCAACTAAGCTCTGACTGGATGAGAATCAAGTTCTTTGAACTCTGTAAACACTACAGGAGACTTCCCTAGTATCCTCCCCATCTCTTAAGGGTGTGAAACAGGGTCTCGTGTAGCCCATGTTGGCCTTCTAATAATGGATCCTCCTGTCTCCATCTTCCAAGTGCTGGGATTACATAGGTTTGTGAGGCCAAACCCAGTTAATTTAAAATCACACACACACACAGTCTTACTGTTCAGCCCTGGCTGGCCTTGAACTCTCAGAGGCCTGCCTGTTCTGATGCTGGGGTTAAAGGTGTGTATCACCACATCTGGCATTTTCTTTAAGTTTTAAAGGAAAGCATCATCCAGAGCTGACAATTTTCCGTTTCTCAACTTGGAAAGACAACTATAACACTCAGTAGCTGCAAACAAGAAGTCAGGTCTCAAGGCTCACTTACTTGCCTGGCAGTCCCTCACCTGTATGTAAACGCCCTGTCCCCGTGGTCTCCATCAGAGGTAGATGACGATGGGCACCAGATGGCGGCTGGAGCTGCATCCCACCTGGGGGGGGGGGCTGTTTCTGCCAGGCTTTCCCTGGGCTCACTCCTGCTCTAAAAGACGCTCACTATGCAGTCTGAGCAAGCAAGGACAGTTGGCACAGACTCAACTTAGCGTGCACTTTCATTTCTACGAGACCCTTTTCAAGTTGTAGGGAAATTTAATTGGTATATACAAATTAAACACTGCTAGTATGTACAAAAGTATTTTCTACATTTTTGACAATATCAACTATGCCATTTGCAGTAAACAGGATGTTACAAAACTGTCCAATAAAGCATTTTCTATTAAGCACATTACACAACATAATTTAATTTTATTAAAAAAATAACTTCAAAATACAGAATGATCCTGGTTAGGAAGAAAAGCCATTTTTGTCATTCACTTGAGTATAAACAGCCAGGCGGACAATGCTGAGGATGAGAGCCTGTGCTGGACAAGGTGAAGCCCTGTCCATGGTGGCAGCAGGTGGCATGTCCTGTCTCTTCCTATGCCGACCCCCAGAACCCTGCCAGTGCCCAAAACTCCTCTGGCCACTGGACTGCAGACAGGGACTGCTCTCTGATCTTGTCTGACCTACGTCACATGGCCCTTGAAACAGGAGGAAGGCAGAACTTTTGAAGAAAGACAAAGACTCGAAGGAGCCCTGTTGAGGAAGGGAGGGGATGTGGGCATCCCTGGCCTAGAGAGGACCCGCTTGACATTCTACAAGAGGGTCTCCTGAGGAAGGCGCCCTTTAGCACACAGTCACAGTCTTGAGACCCTGAGCCGTGAAGTCAACCCCACCACGTCTGGCCATGGACCGCAGACTTGATAGTCAATGATGCATGCGCACTGTTTTGGGCTGAGAAATTTGGGATAATTTGTTACACAGCTACAGTGTAACAGTGACCTTTCCTTACTAATTCCATGTGGCAGTTTGTTTGGGCTCTGAATGCATTCTTCTCACCAACTAGTAGATTCAAACATCTTTGCAGGGGAAACTTTTAGGGAAAAAAGCCCCACTACAAAGTATATGTTTACTCTTCAGCAACCAAGCACTGACTTCTGATGTTTTCCCATGAACTTGTATTTACTGGCATGATGAACAATGGCTAGCCACCAATATGCTACTTACACACTGTTTATTTTTAGGGTGCTGGTCAGAAGCCCAGAGCATCATTACACGCTCTTACCCGGAGCCACATGCCACATGGTCCCGGAAGAGCATTTCCACATCCAGTGCCTCCCTCCATCGGGCCAGGGCTGTAAGACCCTCCAGCCCGGGATTGGATGGTATGGACGTCCACACCACATATAGAAATTCCTTCTGTGAGCAGGGTTAAACTGGCACTAAGGTGATTAAGTACACTTGGGGAAAGAATACAAACTAAAGAGTAAAACAAACAAACAAACACAAACTAATCTTTACAGGCTGTTATTTCTGGAGGAACCACGCAAAGCCACAAGAACATCCATCCATGTGTGCAATGGCCTGTGTTCCTTCTGCCCCAACTCTTGTCCTGGGTTCTCTCTGCTCAGACGGGCTCCACAGACAGGGAAAAGGCTGGTGTGTTGCCACAGTGGGACAGTAAAGCTTTGCCAAAGCGTCTCTGGGATGTGGTAATTAAGACCGTGGAGCTGCTTCTGAGTTCACTTTTCAGCTGGTTCTTCTAGCACACTTGGGCAAAATAAGACGACCAACCTTGCAGGCTGTTCCAACTGACCACCACCACACACCTGTTTGGAAGAAGCCCCTACCCTCAGTGAACCCAGTTCAGAAGAAATAATTTTTGGTGCCAGTCACTTTAAAAAGTGGAGATTCTGTCTTCTGGCATCAGGACATGTAGGACATGAAGTAAGTAAGGTCTAAGAGGAACCGAAGGCACCCAGCACCACGGCAGGAGCGGGAATAGCAACACCGTTACCGTCTGAGTTTCCGGCGTCTGTGGAAAGGCAGACATGGCGGCATGAGCCACCCCGCCCGCTGCACACCTGGCAGATGAGCAGGGATGTGGATGGCCGGACCTGACAGCACACAAACGAGACTACAGCCGGCATCGGCACTGCGCTGCGTGGCTTGCGATAGACAGCTCTCCATAATGTTTGGCAGCATGGATGCTAAGACCTGAAAACACTGACAAACCTGAATTCTATGGACTATGTGAGTTACAGAAGAACTATCTAAAATAACACTGCAAATTATACTCACATCGACTTCACCATTTCTTGATTCAAGAAAATGAAAACTCCATAGTTGTCTACTGTAAATATTTCCAGTTGACATCTGTACTTTAAACTTATCTGCACACACATAAGTGACAAGAAATACGCACTGTTGGATTTGAGCTCTAATACTGAAACACAACAGACTGCCATCCGGTTTCTTAAGCTTTAAGTTACCAGGTATTTACAATTAAGATACAATGCGCACAAAGCCGCCTCAGCTGTATCTGCTGCTCTCGCTGGGGCTCCGGTGACGAGAGTAACTTCTGTCACTTTCACTGTCCGAGCCATAGGATCTACCGCTCCTGGATGCAGAACAGAACAACACAGAAGCCTTTGACTCCGCCTCTTTGGGGGGTCTAACCATGGCAACACTATGGGCTTTTCAAGGATGTTTAAAATGGCACATGGTAGCAAAATCCAGGTTAAGATAACAAAGAAAAGATTGTGAGATTTTTTTTTTTTTTACATTTACTTGAAATCTATTCATAAAAATAAGCAAACTACTTTTCTACTAAATCCCAGTGAGTGTCAACACTAGATTACACTGAAGCTGGGTGGGTTTAAAGGTGTGGGTTTGCCTGTGAACAAAACCATTAGGATCCTGGCCCAAAGGCTTGGTTATGACCATCATTCGGTTCATTTAAAAGTATTTTCTGAGAGCCAGTCAACATGTAGGCACGGTAGGTATCCGGTAGGTATCATCCTACCACAAATGACCAGACCAAGTATAAGGGTTCAAGGACAACACAGGACAGTGGGCAGGTAGGCTGGTGCACTGAGCGCCCCATTCAGGCAGGAATGCACTCAGAGTTGCACTGGGATGCAGGTGCGGGGTCACCAGGGCAATGGGCTGCAGTGCAAACCTACTGGGAAGAAGGGGGTGATGGGAGATGTTACATAATCACTCGAAGACACAAATAAAGGAAATGATGGATATGGCGTTTGTATTTCTGGGCAGAAGGTTCTAGAACATTACAGGATGGAAGTCAAGAGTTGGAACCAGAGCTGGTAAGTGGTGGGGCTCATGTACACTGAGTGCCAAGGCCCCTGGACAGGTGGGAGACAGTCCCCTGAGACACTTCAAGCAAGGGAGTGGCCACATGCACTGTCTGTAAGGGTTTGTAATGATGGGGGGGGGGCGACAGTAGCCACCAGCAAGGGACAGTACGAAAGCTATTATAAAGGCTTACATCTTATTTTAAAAAAATGACACAATATAACCCTCAGCCCTGCTGCTGAAAGAAATCATTGTGATTACTAAAATGACAAACTGGCCACCCTAATGAGTGGTTTTCTCCATGATCTGGTTTTCTCCTTAACCCCCCTCTACAAGAGGTGCCTGCTCAAAGCTATGTGAGTATGTGAAACCCATTTTAGTTTCAGCTATAAAACAGTAACTAGCGCCGAAGGAGAAGAGCGTGGTCCCTTGCACCAAGTGCTCAGTCACTCGGCAGGGCTCTAGAGCAGGACCCACCTGGACCGCCTGTTGTACTTTCTACCTCGATGGTAGCTGTCACTCCTCTGGCTGCGGCTGTGGCTGCGACTCCGGCTGGAGTAGCTGTCATAAGTATAGGATCTGCTTAAACAGAAACACACACACTAAATTTTCTCATTCAAATACGGGAAGCCTCCTTCTTAGGGGTGCCAAGGGGGGCTAGCTCACACGGGCACTCTATGGAGGTGTGAAGACAGTTGCATAAGAAGTTCTAGAAACAGCAATTGCCCCCAGTTGGACTTACCATGTTAAAGAGAAAAATGTTAATTTCTTTTCTGCATTGAAAAATATCACAAAATTAACACTGAGTTAGTTTGTCTGAATCTGGATCTTATTAGGCAATTATATTCAATAAGCACCTGCCATCACAATCGGACACTGCTGCACAGTGGGCCACAGATAGACCTCATTTTTAAAGAGGTGACCTTAATGGCAGAAGGCAAGCTGTGGATTGCGCCTAGGCCCTGGGATCGAGCCCCAGCACACCGGGGCCTCCCACTGCCACTTACCTGGATCGACTGTGGGGGTCATAGGAGCTGCTCCTGGACCTGCTCCTGCTGGATGTCCTAGTATGAACCACAGAAGGGACTGTCACCTTGTGTATTAGGGCACAGGTCACATTAGCAATCTACACATTTTTGTCCCTCAAAGGGAAAACACAGTGAAATCTTTTAAGTATTTTGTTTTTATCACAAGTATATTGGAATTTCTTTTTAAAACCTTTGTATTTCACAAGGTTAAACTTTATGTAGTTCCCTGGGGAGACTCTCAGCTGGGTAGGAAGGGAAGAGGGCCATTTACATGAGTAGCCACAGCAGAAAATACCTCAAGGCTAAAGGGAGAAGCAGCTAGCAAGTGCAAATGCATGCCCTGCTTTAACCCTAAGCTGGTCAAGAGGGGCCCGCGCTTGCAGCGCTCAGTAACATTATGTGTGGAGGGGGCGGGGTGCCACGGCCACTCGCTCTGCCTCACTGATGAAGGGACAGGCAGGAAGAGTTCCAGAGCTCTCAAAGAGCTGCGTAAGGAACAGCCAACGTGGTACTTGACAAGGACCTGCTCAGTCCCAGAAGGGTTCCACTGCAGTGATGGGGCACCACACCTCCGGCTGAGTCCACAGCTTACCTGTGGCTATGGAAACTTCCATAGGAACTGCTCCGGCTGCGGCTTCGGCCTCTGCTGTACCAACCTCTGCTCCGGCTTCTAGAGTAGCTTCTTGACCTACAATGGAAACGAGTGAGAAAGCATGTACTCCCCAGCTAGGGTGACAGTGGGGACAGGAGGGAGGGCTCTGACAGACTCTACAGTGGACACAGGCAGGCACACAAAGGAAGCAGTCCAGATGCCACCATGGCTTAATCTAACAAGGAGACAAAGCCACAAGACACTGCAGCAGTGTATTAACACGCTCGCCCATGGCTGCAACTCATACAAGAGACCGCAGCACAGAGTGTATTAACACGCTCGCCCATGGCTGCTTCTCCTTTGTTTCCCGCTACCTGGACCCTTCTTCTTAGTTGTTACTCTCCTTCTTTGTCCTCCAGTCTATGCTGACGACAGACACTGGATGAACAGGATGTGAACATGATCTAAGCCCTGCAGACTCTGATTAAAGGATTCTTTACAAAGGCAAGAAAGCCAGCTACTTCACACCTTTAAATACAGAGAACGCATCACCAGACATGGCAAGAGAGCTTGCATTGTCCAAGTGGTAAAACCACAGATAACGATGAGTACAAATTTCTTCTTCTGAAATGCCCCTTCCCTATCTGTGTCCTCTATCTGTAGTTTTGGTCACATGGAACAATGTTCCTTATTCCCTTGTCAGATACTTGCAAACAGTGATCATACTTATGTTTTTCTGGGCTAAATGACATGAAGTGGGGGATGTTTCTTACCGGTAAGATGATGTGGAACTTCTGGATCGACTTCTTGAGTGACTGTAGGAGACAGACCTTGTTCTGTGTCGAGACTTGGTTTCAGATTTACTTCGAGATCTGTGTGGACTCCTGGACTGGCTATTGCCATCCCGACTAGGCGTCTGCTCATCACTGGAACTCTCTTGATTCCGTGGCCTCCGGTTTAGGCGTGCTGTCTTTCTTACTTCATCGAAGAGAGACCCAGGGCGAACTTTATTTTTGCTTTTGATTTCTATTCTCAAGCCTTGTGGCTTCACTTCAGGCACAGGAGCCAACGGCTTCACATCCAGGGTACTGGGTGTGCTTGCAGTAGGCACGGCCACATTTCCTACGCCTTGCAGTGGCTTCCACTTATCCGTCAGGTTCATCTGGCTCTTCACAGCTCCCTCCTTCTTTCCTGCAATTTCTACAGGGCCGGCCAAGCTGGCAGAGCTGTCCTGTTTCCCAGCTTCATTTGAGGTTTTACTCTCAGACACAATGCTTTCTTGTTTCCTTCCTGCTCTGGACGGTGCCATGTTCTCAACCTGCTCTGGAATAATGCTCACCTCTGGGCTGTCCAGCCCGTGGTTTGCTAATGGGGACACCTCCTCTGCCTTTGCAGGGGAGCTCCTATCGGGGGTGCACATCTCCATGTTGTCATCGGTCTGAAGCACGTCCTCCCCTCCACCCGGGACTTGCTCTTCAGTGTGCTGGGTGCCAGGGGGAGAGCTGGTGGCATTTTCTTCCACTTTCGGAGGGGCAGGGCAAGAGCTGAGGTTGCGGTCACCCTGGGCCAGCGGGTCGAGCTCTGAAGTGCCCTTCTTGGGGTTACTGGGGCAGCTGCCTTCATCACAGGCTCCCTCTACCTTTGCAATCGCGTCTTTCGCAGTGTCACAGCTCTCTTTCGGCTCCTGTGTAACTTGCTTTCCACTCACCTCCTCCTCCTCCTCGTCACCAAACTCCAGCGGGGGCTGCCAGTGAAAGGCTTGCTTCCGTTTTGGAGCCTTGTGCTTCTTGTCTTTCTGGGCTTTCAGTTTCTCCCTCACTTTTTTGGTGTGAACCCCTTTAAGGCTGTCCTTGGGGCGCCTTTGCTTGTGGGGCTCCGCTCTAACGTTTCCCAAGTTGAAGCAAGAGCCCTCTGACTCAGAGGCCGAAGACCGTGCTCTCCTGCACTTCCAGGCACCGTTACTGTCAGGCAGAGAAGTGTTTGCTGAAGGCTTGGCTGGGGGTTGGAGGTCACCCTGACCACCTTCTGACTCGGAGTCTGACGAGGCTTCGCCCTCCTCCTTGTCCGAACATCTCCGGGGATCACTTTTCCTGTTCTTAGCCACATCCTGCTCTGAGTTTGATTCAGAGTCCCACCTGCTCCCAGCACAGTGCTTCCCTTTGGACTTACTGCCGTCTCTAGAGTGATCAGAGAGACTCTCTCTCAACGCTCCCTTTCCCCACTCAGGCTCCCTGTTTCTCCCCTGCTGACTCCTCTCGGGGGCGGAGTGTACTCCTTGAGCATGTGACTGTTCACTGTCTGAAGAGTAATCTAAAGATGACCTGCTTTCACTACACTTCCTATGACATGACTTCTCTCTGCCTTTAGCATACTTACTGTGAGCTATCTTTTTCGAGCTGCTGCAGTGTCTTTTATTTGCAGTGACACTTTTTTCTCCACTAGACCTAAAGGTCCTCGTGGCTCGCCTTCCTTCGCCACTGCTAACAGAAGTGTATGAAGATGACCGACTATGCTGGGAACCATCACTGTACTTATTTTGTGAGCGAGACCTAGATGACGGAGACCTAGACTGTGATCGTGAAGTAGGTGGACTCCGTGATCTTGACCTTGTGTATGACCTAGAGGATGACCTGCTTCTAGAAGACTTGCCCCTTGACCTTCCTGAGCTCCCAGAACTCCTGCCACTATACTTTGAATAAGCGCTCCCATCACTTTCTGAATTTTTGTCCCTTTTGTGATAGGATGAACTTCTAGTTTCTTTAATACTTGTTAAACTGTATGTGCTTTGGACAGGCAGCAAGTGGGTTGTTTTAGCCTTCATCTCCTGAATTCGCTCATAAGAGGGCTTCCACGGCTTCTGCCCAGGCTTCCACCTAGAAGGGGGAGGGCTATCACTCAATGGAATTACAGGAATGCTTTCTGCTGCCACAGGCTGTACCAGAACATTTCCATTCTGTGGCATCGATGATCTTAAAGGTTCTGTCTTAACTGGCTTATTTTCACTCAGCTGAGCAGGTTGTTTTGGTGATTTTGATGCTGTTCTTCTTCGGTGCCCTGACCTGGAACTAGACCTGGACTTTGACAAAGCCCGTGATCTCGAGCTCCCTCTAGAATCAGATCGTGAATGAGACTTGGATCGGTAGGAGTTTCTGCTGGAGTGGGTTGAAGAGCTCCGGTTATCCTTGTCTGATTTAGACCAGTCCCGCTTGGATGAGGGGGAGGAGGAGGAGGCTCGGGATCTCCTTCCTCTATCACAAGAGGACTTCCTTCGGTGGGTGGAAGGTCTCGAGGGTCCCAGATCAGGTGGCACAACTACTCTTCTCTTCTTCGTCTGTCTGTGTCTTCTACAGTGTTTCTGCTTTCTGGCTTTTTTCTTATGCTTAAACTTCTTTCCCTTCCTGCGCCTCTTGCGGTGACCATCAGAGTGTCTGGCTGTGCTAAGATCTGAATAGTATCCATTATAGGACCATGATCTGGATCTCTGGGACAAGCTTCTCTCATCCCATCGGCTTGAACAGGGGTCACTCAGCCTGTAAGCGGGGGACATATGATATATATATATAAAACGTGCATGCAGCCATTTGCAAACACTTCTCTGTCTTACAACACACTTCTCACTAACAACAGAGCCACTTTTACATGAACCAGAGCGATGACAACTATTATCAGGCTCACTAAGACCCTTCTTGCTTTTCAGTGAAGCAGATTCACAAGTGATGCTTGTGAGAACCACACCAACTAACCAGAGTCCTATGGAGATACATGACTCCCAATAACACCCTCTGCTCACAGCCTTCTCTGTCCAACAGCAACCTCACTGAGGAATCTCTCAAGACAGAGTGGCGTACGACTTGTCTCTGTGGTACTGGACATCTTCAGGACTATAGGCATACTTAAGCAAACACTCTACCATAGAGCTAGATACCCAACCTCAACTCAACTTTTTAAAGAGTCTTCTTCAAATTTTCTTTTTTTAAAAAAAATCCATGCGTACATGTATGTTTGTGTGCACGTGTGTGTGGTACCTCATTTCTTTGAGAGAATCTCTCCATGGCCTAGGGTTCATCAATACAGTAAGTAGACTGCTGCCCAGCAAGCCCCAAGGATCCTGTCTCCACCTCCTTACCACCGGGATTATAAAGTGCTTACTATTACATTTTGCTCTTTTTACACATAATTCAGGGTTCTCATGCTTGGGAGGCAAGCATCTTACCAACTGAGCTATCTTTTTAATCCCTCTGTTTTTGGTGAGACCGGTTCTTATTATGTGGCCCAGGCTGGCCTCAACTTCCCAAGCACTGGCATCCCAGTGCCATCAGGCCTGGCTAATTCACATAGGTCTGTGTGAGGATGTCAGATCCCCTAGGATTGGAGTTATAGACAGTTGAAAGCTGCCATGTGGGTGCTGGGAATTGAACCCAGGTCCTCTGGAAAAAATCAGCCAGTGCTTCTAACCACTGAGCCATCTCTCCAGCCCCTTTCTCTTTTAAAAATATTCTTTTTGAGACATCTGAGGTGGCCTGGGAGCACCAAGCAGACCAGGCTTGAAGACATGAAGATGCATTCACCTGCCTCTGCTCCCCGAACACTGACCCTGAAGGCGAAGATGCATGCATGCACCTGCCTCTGCTCCCTGAACACTGACCCTGAAGGCAAACATCTCTATGCCCAGCTGTCTTTCCTTTCAGAGACTTTACTAACTAAAGTCACAGGAACACAAACGCCCTTAGTGGGAACCTATTTCAATGCTGAAATGACATCTACATTCCCTCTGCTTCACTGTGGCAAGTAACATTTTCTCCTAAGCTCCTATTAACTTAAAACAGAAATCAAACACAAGTACATGAAAACCAACAAAAGCTTTATGATCTTAAGAGGTAAAGACAAGGCGCACAGCGCGAGTCCTCAGCACCACGTCCATGCTATTCTCTTACGATGCCTTGAAGAATTACTTTCCAGCTAGCTATTCTGGAGCCAGACCCCCTTTCAGAAACAGGCAACTACTCTACTCCATTGCAGGGCAGCACTGATCAACAGTCCTTGGGAGTCAAGAGATGCGGTGCAGGCTCTATCTACCAATCCACGCACTAGCAGGTGTCAGACATCTACTAGTAATGTTTAAGACCTGATCCCTTCTACAACTGAGGCTCCATTCAAACTCTCATAAAGAGCCCTCTGTCTTGTCTCGGGGCGGCAGCGCTCCGCCTAGTAGCTTTCCCTTTGGCCACCATGACTGTGGCTGTCAGACCCTGGCTCTCTGGCACTAGCGCTCGGCGCCCAGGCTGTCTCACACTCCGTGCTTACTTGTCTCCTTTGCTCCACTTCTCCCCACTTGGTGGCCTGTAAGATCTCAGTCTCTGCATCTCCTCCTTCCAGTGAGGAGGGGTTTCACTGCTGTCTTCGTCTTCCGACTCAGAATGGGATCTTGACCGTGGAGGCGTGTGATAGCGCTTAAACAGAGAGAGGGTAGTGACGTCCTAAGAAGGCCTCTTGTAGGACACAGTCAGGCAGAGGTCTACTCTAGGCACCAATTTAAGTACTAACTGGAAAGTGTGAAGTTACTTCAAATATAAGACACCGAGAGGTGAGAAAGGCAAGATACTTGACTGGAATCCTATAATAGCTTCCTTTGCAGCCCTAACACATTCTAGCCTCCATTACTCAGTAGACTAATATTTCTCAATATACTATTTTATGTATTACATCATTGAATAATTACATCCACCCACAGCTGTAAATATATGCAATGGGAGTACCTTTCCAAACTGTGGGAAATAAAAACAATTCCTTAAATAAGTGGAATAGTCTTTTTCTTCTTTGCTTTCTTTTTCTTTTCTTTTTTTTTTTTTTTTTTTTTTTTTTTTTTTTTTTTGAGACAGGGTTTCTCTGTGTAGCCCTGGCTTCCCTGGAACTCACTCTGTAGACCAGGCTGGCCTCAACCTCAGGAATCCACCTGCCTCTGCCTCTGCCTCCCAACTGCTGGGATTAAAAGTGTGTGCCACCACCGCCTGACAGAAGAAATAATCTATCTAAAACTAAACCTCAGAAATTTTAAAATAAATTTTAAAAAGTTACTACTTAGGTAAGCAATTTGAAAGAAAAAAGTTCTAACATACGTACAATTGTGCCTCTTCCTCTAATTTTCCGTCCAGACTTTGATACAGATGGTTTCTGATCGCTTACAACAGGTGCAACGTCTGGAATGTTCCTGAAAAGGTTGTGATGACAATTATTCAAACGTCCCTATCCATACAGTCTTATGAGAGCAGTCACACCCACTCACCCGTTTTCTGAGCTCATTCACTCAGCTATGAGGCGTACCTCCTGTTACCAGGTACAGTCACTGCGCTAGCAGTTCAAGTGCTACATACATGACCCTGCAGACATGGAAGTGTGTGAACTGTCACTGCGGACTATCAGATCAGCAGTTCTAACCACTGTTCTAATAGAGCTCTAGATGAGGGTTACCCTGCCCTAGAAGAATTCCATTAGTAAATGTGTACTTGAAAAAGAAAGCATTTGATTTTCTAATCAATCAAATTTCTAAAAAAAAAAAATAAATCTTTTTTTTAAAGTAAAAGATTTGTGGAGGAAGCCAGCCAGCCATGTTAGCACACACACCTGTAATCCCAGCGTGTGGGAGAGTTCAATGTCAGTCTAGGCTGCCCAGCAGGACACTGTCTCAAAAGTAAATAATCAAAGAAAGAAAACAAAAAAATGTGAAGGGCTGGGTTCAGCTCTGCTTGACTTCTCAGCTTCCTAATCAACTACTCACAGGAACTTAACGATTCGCACCAGGCACTGAAGCATTCTTGTTCATGCATCACATTTTTCTCTCACTCTCCATCCCCATCTCCCTCTTTGGAGACTAGACCCAGTTACGTTGTTCAGGACGGACACCATATAGTGTTCCCTCGCTGTCCCTGCCCCCCACGAGCTACAACACTCAGGAAAGCAGGACCCACACCTAGGCTGGGCAGCACAATGGAGCCAACCGTGTTGGCAGATGTGTGGGTGAGAAACAAACATATACAGTGTAATAGCTAATCATCCATGTCAGCTTGCCTGGACATCCAGTCACTGACAAGACTGGGCATACCAACCATCCTGTGAGCTGGGGCAAGAGAAAGCCAGCCGAGTGACAGCCCTCCTCCCGGTGGAGACGAGGACCGTGTTCACCAGCTACTTACGGTTCAGGTTCCACTGCGACAGCGGGCATATCCCTTCTCAGTAAAAACCGGTTCTCAGGAACTGGAGGGATCTCTTCCGGGCGCACAACTGGCTTTTCTCTTTTAGCATTTGAGTCACCAGATCTTTTTTCATTCACATCACTCCTCTCAGAGTAACTAAAATAAACCAAGTCACCAATTTAGATGACAGCATTTCATAAAATAAAGGCACACACAACAGCGAAACTTACACTCATCCTGAAGCATTGATTTTTTACAAATATGTGAAAACATCAACACAGTGAAAAATCCAGAGCAAAGAAAAGTTTTATAAAACAAAAACAAAAAAAAAAAAAAAAAAAAAAAATTAAACCCAGAGTACAGAGTACTTAACAATTTGAATTGGAAGTTGTTCATGCTGTCAATGTTTCCTTTTTTTTTTTTTGGTTTTGTTTTTCCTGACAAGGTTTCTCTGTGTGTAGCTGTGTCTGTCTTGGAACTCACAGAGATCAAACTGTCTCCGCCTCCTGAGTGCTGGGGTTAAAGGTATGCGCCACCACCACCTGGTGATGTTCCCTTTTTTGCAATTGTATATTTGTGTGTTAGTGTGCATATGCCATGGTGTGGACATGAGACAGCAACTTGTGGGAGATGAAATCTTCCAGGGATCAAATTCCGGTTGTCAGGTGTGGTGAGAAGCCACTGAGCTGCTATCTCAGTGCCCATGGTTTGCTTTAGGGAGAATCAGTTCTCCTCGGGGTGTGGACCTTGATACAATGCCCATATTCCAGTGGGTGGCCCTAACCCTTGCACATATAGGACGCATTGCATGGGCTCAGGGTACTGAAGGAAAAGGAAGAAAGAGGAGGCAGACATAGTGGGACTGGAGTTTGAAGAGGGTTAGGAAGTAGATGATCAAATTATCTTATAATTATCTTATAGACGTGTGAAATTCTCAACCGATAAATAAAAATACTGTAGTGAGAAAAAGAATTTTCAGGCATTAGGACTGACAAGATGTTTCTGTGAGTAGAGACTCTTGTCATCAAGCCTCATGTCTTGAATTTAATCCCTGGGGTCCCATCTGGTAGAAAGAAAGCACTCCTCCAAGTTGTCTTCTGACCTCCACACACACGTTCATCTCCCACACGTATGTTCATCACACACACACACACACACACACACACACACGCACACGCACACGCACACACACACACACACCTTTGAATACACAAAATGACACTTTAAAAAATAAAACTTCAGAATACCTTTACGTGAAAAGGCCACTCTTTGCTCTGAGAGGTCTATGACACTCCTAGATTGCCACAGGCATCCCTCCCCTCTCTCAGTACAGTGAGTAGCAACCCTGAGTTTGCAGAGTGGTCACGGAGGCTCCCATTACAGGCATGTGTTGGCTCGGACCCCTCAACCCACACTCACCCTTCAGGGCTCAGCGTGCGCTTCCTCTTTGCTTCCTCTGAAGCGCTCCTCTCCTTCCGTCTCTTTTTAGTATGTCTGACTTTTGGCCTCCTCTTCTGTCTCCTCTTTCTGACTCTCTCTTGTTCAACTTCACTTTCTGACAGTGATTCTGAAGAGGAAGAGGAATTGGAAGAAGAGTCCGAGTCTTCTGAATGTGTTGGTTTCTTCCTTTTTTTCTCAAACACTTTTAATAGATATTAACAAAAACATTAGTACTTGAGTCCAGGGCATACCATCCAGAGAGAAAAACGTGACTGATGATTAACATAATTGCTTTGTGCATAGCAAACTAAAACCAGACTTAAAACTCTTCCCCAGTTACGTATAATATAGTTGTCTGCCAACTTGAAATAAACCAAAGCCCTCATCCACCATGAGGCATATATTCTGAATAAGTGTGACAAGTGATGAAAGCTAAGACAGAAAATAAACAATGTAAAGGGAACAGAGAGACTCACGTAGCCTAAGATTACATTTGAGCAGAGCCTAAAGTAAGAAGGGGTCACATGGATAGCTTAACAAAGAATGTTCTAGACATCTAAGGGCAGCACAAAGTCCCTCAGTGTCTGAATACAGGTCAATGTGGCTGAAGACAATGAGTAAAGGAAAAGTCAGGAAGACAGGGAGAGCCACAGGCTCTGTGCCGAGGACCCCACTGTAGGTGTCTGGGCAAAGGGCGTGTACATGAAATGTGGGGTAAGAGGCTCGCTTTGGTAGCAGCTAAAGACAAACCAAAGTAAAACAAGGAGACCCGTCAGGACACTCAGCCAATAAACGGTCACAGGGAAAGAGAATTCCAGGGCCCTGCAGTAACACAGGCATTTGATGGCTTGGATCAGCCAGCGGCCAGGGAGGAGGAGGGGCTGACAGCATGAGCTGGTGGATGGGGTCAAGCATGGCACAGAGGCACCCATGCTACCACCACCCACACTAAAACTGAAAAGTCATCTTAGACATCCAGGAGGTGTCTTCAAGTTACCATACACTTTACGCCTCTACCCTCCACAAGCTCTTACCATCTTTCGTCAACTTTGTGGCGAGCACCCCGCAGTCAATGACTCGGACATCCGCATAAGGCCTGCTCGCAGCATCTGTTTTCAGATTTTCAATCTGTTCAATCACTTCAAAACCGGAAATAACCAGTCCAAAGACAACATGAACCCTGTCATAATATAAATTCAAGATATAAATTAGTCTGATAATTACATTACGCACAGTAATTGGGATAATGCCGTGAGAAACACACCCACAGGACTGAAAACAAACCCACAGTGTTATGAACCAACTCCAAGGGAATAAATGACAGCTTGAAATCTACTTCATAATAGTGAATAGCGACAGTTCCCCTGTAGGAAACGTGTACTGCATCTGCAGTGGCCAGCCTCTCTGGGGTTAAGAATCTGGTAACAGGGAGAAACCACCTCAGCAGGGAAGCGGACCCATGACCACAAGTGAAAGGCCTCTTGAGCGACACAGAGGTGGCTTCTCAAAGCTGCTGGCCCCTGTAGGAAGGGCATGGCTACCAAAGAAAGACCTGTCTTTCAGGGCTATCAGCCAGACTTTTCCCCAAGATTGTAGTAACTTGATGCTTACCCATCCAGGTGAGGGGCAGGCTTTGTAGTTCTATACGATAAACATCAACACAAAGGTGGCGTCAATAAAGACGTAGTCAGATGAGGGAAGCAGAAGGTTTAAACATAGCATGTAGTGAACAAAGAAGTAAAGATAAAAAGACAAAAAAATGGTAAGCATAATATATATATATGTATATATATATATATATATTCAACCTTAAAGTCCCCTAAACACCAATAATAGCCATTTTACTGATTTAAAAAACAAGATTACAATGAATTATAAAATCAACTCTATCAGAATATGAGATAGGTTTCATTTGCATTATAGAAATGTACAGCATATACACTAAAATTAAATTTACTCTCAAATCAAAACAATAATGGCAACAGAAACAAATGTTTAAAAAAAAGAAACAAATTTCCCACTAGAATTAAACAAGGAGGAAGGCCCTGCCCACGTGAAGAGATGGACATGGCCACACACCCACTGGCTCTTCTATTTGTCACATGAGACCGGAAGGCAGGCAAATGGAGGAGCTCAGGAGTCCTGTGTGCAGAACTGTCTGCCCCTACTTACACTCAAGCTTTGCCACTCATCTGAAAATGCAACAGGACCCTCCTCACAGCAAAGTTAGAAACGAAGGATGTTACAGACACTTTCAGCTTCTATGGTCCAGAAAACACTCCAGCAGCTGCTCTGCGAGTGTCCCGCCGTCCCTGACGGGAAGTCTGTGGCTGCACTTCTATCTATCATATTGTGTTATATTGTGAACCCAAGCTGGCCTTCCCATAACATTTTCACAAATCTTTATATGTGAACTGTAATGCAAAGTGGACAGTTTGACCAGCATCAGACCATGAGAACCTTAATCGTAAGGGTGGAAACAATAGATGAGCCACAGGACACATTCAAGCAGTCACTTGTGCAGAAAAAAGTCATATGCATTTTACGTTCATTTTAAAGCCAGTCTAAAACACATGAACAGAACACAATGTAACCTTTACAACAATGCCAAAAAACATTACTATACAAGAAACTGTAATGTTTATACTTACTTTTAGAATATCCAGTTCTGTTAGAGGAGTATAGATAGTATTTAACTTAAAAAAATTTTAATGTCAATTTAAGTTTCAAAACTTTAAATGGAATTTTGAGTTTTAAAGTCACAAGTCTCAAATATTTCTCAGGAAACTGAGAAGAAATTAAAGCCAGTATAATTTTTAAAATAAAAATAAAAACAGGTAACAAAAAGAAGAAAAAGAAAGGACGAAAATTTAACAACTGGCGAGCCACAAACACTGAAACTATGAAACACTCACCCAGAAGCCATGGCAGACAACAACTGTACAACAAAATGCTTCCTGTATTGTAGAACGTGACATAACAGACAGAAACCAACACATGGCTAGGCAGAAACCCTCCTCAGAAGGTATAAGGGTGCTTCCAGAAAAACAGAACTGCTCTGCCTCGCACAGGATGAAAGCACGCAGCTGTTCACTGACTGGATACCTCCCTTCTTAGTCCTCACTCTCAGGAATCTGGCATCGAGACGAGATGAGCCAACAGATTTTTCTAGCACACAAAAAGTCCAATTCAATCGACACCTTAGCTAACAAATAACGTAAAAGCTATATATGGCAAACTCTTGGAGCAAATGGTGATATTCTGTCTAGCGGCAACCACACACCCTCAGATTAACCGAGGATGGGCAGTGATCTTGGGGCACGCAAGCTTAGGGTAGATGGCCTGTCTCAGTTTAGAAAAGAGCTGGGGGGGGGGGCCTCACGTGTGCAATGAGCATGCTCAATCACTGTTCCGGCCCTAGCTCTGTGCTCAACCCAAAGGAAAACCGGCTGACAAACACAGTGGACCCTCAGTGTACACACGACAGAGGAAAGGGCCACCTGTGCCTCTGAGGACAACCTTCCATCTGCTCAGTGTCCATCCCAACGTGAACCATTTTAACTTACTCACACCTGCAATTCAGGATACAGAAATATCAGCTGGCACCTTAGCTGGGACAGAATACAAAGTAAGAATGTGAACAACAGCTCACAAAAAAAGGAACTCTTTGGATCCGAGCCTACAAATTTCAGGAAGACTCGCTCTAAGGCAGGCTCACTGGCACTGTGCTGACAAGACACATGATAAACAGTAACAGCCTACAGGACAGAGAGCACATGCTCAGTCAAGTCTATTAAAGCTGACAGAGAAAGCCCACCCACCAACTCCTTCCTGTATCCAACATTCCCCATGATGTCACTCGTGACATCAATATACACGCAGTGAGTGAAGACTCAAGTGTAAATTTATAAACTTATACACACTTATTGAAGCTCACCCAGAGGAGAAACAAACACAAGACTATTTCACACGATAAAGCTCCCATGCTCACACGTTTCTATTTTTACCTGCGAGGGTTCACTTAAATCACAAACCACAGAACAAAGCTGAGAGGAATTGCTGTTGTCCCAAAGACTAAGCTACCCCATCATCAGGAGTTTTTGGACCTTACTAGCTCCTAAAATCCTAATGTAAGACACTACCCGGCATACACGAGAGCCACTGAAATAACTCTACTTTTTAGGTTACCCATAAGCAACAAACACCCCTGTTTTACACACACTGCTGCTACATAGAACACGCAAAAAGCTTTTCTCCTTAAAAGTGCTTCAACACACATAACAGGATTAAAGAAACAGAGAGAGAGAGAGCCTTAGAGTAATGAGACATTACCTTTGGAGCGCACGGTGTAACACTCTTTCTGTAAATTTTACACAAAAATGGCAAGAAATAAATTGTAATACACTTTTAAGACAAGACTGAATCTATGTTTTACTATCAATATAACTTTGAAATTAAACTTTTAGAGTTTTATGCAAAGCAAGAAAGCTTTTTAAAATGCAGGGCTCTAAATTTTCTTTCACAGGTATTTATGAAGAGATGAATTTTGTTTCAGAAAAGCCTCGTGGAGATCTTTTCAGACCCATGGTATTTTAATGGCAATAGCTAATAAAACATTAAAACTCCAATTATAAGTCCCCAGAGACTAGCTACTCCATCTTTCTCAAAAAGGTAATGCATCTTGAGTATTAACACAGACATACAAATCCAAACACTGAGAAGTAGGGACTTCTGATAGAAAGCAAAGATCCCCATGCCCACAAAAAAAGAAACCAAGTTCAGATCATTCAAACAGAACTTGAGAAACTTAACTAATTCGGTTCATGTTCATACTTCGGCTTTTCAAAACCATTTTCAGTTGTATATCACAACCACACGGGGCTGTGTGTATGTATGTGTGTGTATATATATATATATATCACAACATAATTGGAGAATGATTTGGGCAGAGTGTAGACTATGCTCACTGCTGGTTGCATATACTCAAGCTGTGAAGTCACTGGACAGAATTAATAAAAAACAGTCATAAGGTACAATTAGAACTTCAGGGATCTTCTCTCTGAGACTCAAAAGGCAATAGAGATGACAGCCTTAGAGCATAATATAAAATCCTAGCCACGGGATTTACATCTACTATCTTTCCCCTGATGACAACTTTTTTTTTTTTTTTGAAGAATACACATTGATGAATGTTAACTAATGAAATTAAAAAAAAAAAAAAAAAAAAAAAAAACCTGTGACTGTATAAACCAAAAACCCAACTATACTACAAACAAAAATGTGGTAGAGTTTTAGATCTGTTAATTAAAATGTTGTAAATTACAATCTCTCATATAGGCAATGGTACATGCATTAGGGTTACAAAAAAGTTTGAAACCATGCAGTTTTCAGAGTGTAAAACAGAAAGGCACTCCAGGCCTAAAGTAAGAGGGCACTAAAACAGCTATCTTAATGTCACCTTTGACATACAACCCGTTCCTTCACAGCCTGAAACTACAGCTATCACAAAACAGGAAACTCGTGTCCAGGCAATGGGCAACTCACAACGCTCTGTGTCCCCAAGTCACTCATACAGAAAACTCAGCACTAATATGAAGGAAATACACACAAATGATAACTAGACACAGCATTTCTTCCTGACTGTTGCTGACAGGTATGTCATAAAGCACGTGGTAAATCTAAACCTGGATGTTAAAAAATGGCATTTGATATTCAGAGAAAGTGGTTTTGAGTTCAAATATCACAAACTTCTTTCCTCTCAAAAAAAAAAATCTGAAACTCACATACGAACCAAAGCAACAACAACAAAAGTGTGCGGCTTAGGGTTGTGACATTTACTATCATCTCCTCTCTCATAAACTTCTCAATGTGTGGGTGAACCGTTTCTCCCCCAAAGTTATTTCTCTCTGCTCGCCAAAGTGTCAACAAACACTTGCTTTTTACCTTGGAAAGAGTGTTCCCCTCTCATGAGATAAAGAACCGTTTCTAAGTCTGATCTTAAATTGTAGAAAACAATCCTAGATCGTGTGCCCTGCCTTATTTATGGCCGCCATAATGAACAGGGATCGGAGGTGTGGCTTAGTGTAAAAGCACTGCCTGCCCTTTCATGACCAGAGTTCATTTCCTTACACCCACATGACAGCTATGTAATGCAGTCTCAGCAGAAAGGGACCTCTTCTGGCCTCCAGAGGCATTGTATCCATGTGGTACACTGACATACACATAAAAATAAAAGGGAGAGGACTCCATGTATGTAATCAACTGACTGGGTGGAGGTCCTCAATGTGGAGGACTTCTGCCTAGCATGTGCAGGCTTATAAGTCTGACCACCAGCACTAAGAAAAAGAAAAACACAAAGTTGAGCTTTTCTATATTATCTTGTTCATAAAAATTAACATGACCAAGAACAGTGGCCAGTGATAGTCTATTCACTGAAGCATTGAAGTCATAAAAGGCCTCCACTGGGGCTGGAGAGATGGCTCAGTGTAAGAGCACTGGATGCTCTTCCAGAGGACTGGGGTTCAATGCCCAGCACCCACATGATGGCTCACATCTACAATTCCAGTCCCAGCAGCTCCAACGCCCTCTTCTGGCCTCTGACGGCACTGCATGCACACGGTATACAGATGTGCAGGGAAAAACACTTAGTGCACAAAATAGTTTTTTTTTTTTTTTAAAGGCCTGTACTGACAAATATTTTAGGATCAGCTGAAGGACTTACTGCTGAAGCTCCTGGCTTAGACAAGATGAGTCCCAAGCCTTTTTGAGGCAAGCTTTTCTGACTGATAAAAATTAGGTAGCTAAAGAACGACTTCTTTTAAGAATGTTTACACACAAATCATTCCATATACTCAGAAATTTAGGGTCTTTCTGTAAGACATTCTCTTTCTCCTATGACATTTTTGTACCAAAATGTTCAGTCTATCTTAAAAACAGGGCTATTTGTGGCCAGATGGCTGCTTACTGTGTAAGCATGAGGGACCCTAGTGACAGGCAGCTCTCATTGTTATAACAGCTGCTAGGAACATGTGCCTGTAATGCTAGACCTGGGGAAGCAGAGAGATGAGCATCACTGGGGTTTGACAGCCAGCTAGCCTAGGAGAATCTGGAGAGTTCCTTTCAGTGAGAAACTCAAAAAAGGGGGGGGGGGGGAAGGGAGGGAGGGGGAAGTTGATAACGAAAGGTACATGATGTCAACTTCTAACTTCTGTTCTCAAGTGCACTCAAGAATACGCACCCATGCACACACATAAAAACATACGCTTTTTATAAATAATTGAAAGATTTTTAAAAAGAAACTCAAGGTACAAAAAAAGAACTAAAATCAAGATGTGTGTGTGTGTGTGTGTGTGTGTGTGTGTGGTTGTCTGGGACAGGGTCATGTGCAGTGTGTCCTAGGACGACTTGGAGCTCACTCTGTGCTAAAGTCTACAGCTAAGGTCCTTCCACAGCCATCTGCGTGCTGGGATCACAGGCATGAGCCACACCAAGACTTCCTGATAGCTAGGAACACACTCCATCCCAGGAGCAGTAATAATGGGAGCTATAGCCTCACCTTCTAATCACTGTCTTGTAAGTGCCTCCCATCTTCTCAGTGACTAAAGGCAATGTAACCCAGCACCAGAGCTGTCACCAGCAATAGCAGGCACACAAAGTCCCCCAACTGTCCTTCCCTTTCTCAGCACTGTGCCTGCCTGCCTGCCTGCTACTTAAAACACAGTGCTTATGACCGCGGAGCGTGCAGCCAGCAGCTTTGCTCTGTCTTAATGCTTCCTTCCAGAATGTGAGAGAAGGCTCTGGAGCAGCCTGGACTCGAAATGTTTTCTCTTCCTTATTTAGCATCTCAATTCTCTACAAAACAGAAAACAGCTTGTACCTGACTCATCCATTGCTTTACTTGCTTTCTGCAGGCTAGTGACTGAGCCTATAGCCTTGCACATACGACATTCGCTTTCTATCACTGACCTACACTCCCATCCTATAGCATTTATTGTTTTGTTTTGTTTTTTTTTTTTGATACTTGGTGTAAAAAGTAAACAGAAAATGACAAAACAAGTAAACACTAACGGGTTGACTTGGTGAGTGTGGTCCTACGATTTTGAATTCCTTTAAAACTGTTTCCATGTGAACTCATCTTATCCTTAGTGCTTGAGAGGCATGGGGCCACATTTCTTTCCAGCATCTGAGCAGCACTACCCCAAGAGAAGCTCGGGTTCACACAGCAGTCAACACAGTTGCCTCATCTTCACTACAATGTATGCATCTGCTAAGATATACTCTCTTCACACAGACACAGTTTGAGCCATGTAAAACTGTAACGACAACAGTCCACACCTTAGGAAGGGAAGTTGCCAAATGTGTGAGAACAGTTAGTGCACAGAGCACAATCATCCCCGAGGGACTTCCACACACCACACGAACAGCACCAAATCGACCCCTCAGGGACTGCAGGGGACTACCTACAGGTCCGCACAAGACCAATGAGACAATCTGTAAGACACATCAGAAGCCTCTCTTTTGACATATCCTTCCCTTCTGATTCAAAACCATTACTCAAGGTGCCACATGAAGTGTGTGGTTAAAAAAAAAAAAACACAGCCCAGAGCTGTCCCAGGAAAACCATTGGGTAGGTCTCATCTATGACTATACATACAACTAAAGACAGTACATTATTCTTTTTACTATTCCCAATGCCAAAAGGACATTGGCCTGCAAGATCCAGAGTTTCAAAGATGTCTCCTTTACTGGCTACCACCTCTTTCTTTATATTTATCCTTCCCATAAAAGTCAGGATATCTTGTTCAGAAAATGTGAATATTAGTTTATCTTGCAGCTCATGGAAACTGGAATTTTCAGCCAGCATAAAGCAGTACATGGGCACACAAGTTACTTAAAAGAAAAATTAGAACAAACTCTGTGTGGATACAAAATGTTCAATTACCTCCAAGACTGCGAACTCCTCTCCACAAGGAAGTTTCAAATAAATTTTCACCAAACTAAAGATAGAAAATTTTTTTATCATGCATTCAGTGATTTTAGTGTTATCTATAGTTAATTATGAAAACAAGCTTAATTTTTTTTTTATTCCTAACTTACTGATTTAAAATTTTCATTTGTTGCTCCTCTTCAAAACAGCAGCCTAATGCAAAATTAGGCCATAGAGAAAGCAGTAATAACTTTACTAAATGTTCCTAGAGATTTAAGTAGCTATTAAATGATAAGGTAACAGAGGTCTGTATAAATAAGCTAAGTGTATGTAATAAAGGCAAGACACTGCCACTACCCAATAAGGCAAATTTTAAATGTAATGATATAAAAAAGAAACTTTAGAGCCCTCAGATGCCGCCATCCTAATCAATGAATCGTTAGTTTTTCATGTTCACAGTTCAGATAAGCTTAAAAATGGAAACAAAGAGGACTCAGAGCAAACGGCTTTGACATGGCCATGGCATTACTACAAAAAGGCTCTGAAAATCCACCTCTTTCCTCTGCACTGCCCCCCCCCCCCCAGCCCCAACACAAAGGTTAAAACAGGAGCACACTCCAGTGAAAGCTCATGTAACTAACATCTGTGGGATCAAAGCAGAATGTGCAAGTGACTGTCCCAGAGTCCTGCCCCTCTAACCCAGCACCCTCGCCTTCCACTAGCTTCCGGTTTTTAGGACATCCTCAGGGACAGAGTGCCCCTTATCTCAACTTCTTCACATCATGCTGGGAGTCTTTCAGACAAACCCCAAATGTGAATCTTTATAGGAACAATTGGCTCCTTTAAAAGCCAGGGAAGCGCCATTCATATTTATCCATTCAGAAAGATGGAAAAGAAGATATTTCTCCAACATACATACAACACCAGAGATTACTATCAAAAGTATTAAGGTGCATGCTGGACAATTATCTTTCATATTTTATATGATGAGATAAAAAAAAAAAAAAAACAGGTTTAGAGAAGAACTTAGTTAAAAGTATGCCAAAGGTTTTACTTAGAATTTTTACATGAGAATCTGGTTTTTGGTTGTTCATGCATATACAAACAAGAAAAGACATGTTCTTTAAAAGAATATTTATCACCATTGTGTATTACGTCTGTATGAGTGTGGAGATTAGAAGACAACTTTGCAAGATTGGTTTTTCTACTTCTACCTTTATGTGGGTTCTGGAAATTAAACTCAGGTCGTTGGATTTATATGTCAAGTGCTTTACCAACACTGAACCATACATATAGCCAGCCCAAAATGTACTTGACTCTTTGAAAAGAAACTTAGTACTTTAAAGTTTGTTGAGTGATATTTACAAATTTTGGAAAAATGACAGCCGATGTTGAGTTATTAATTTTCCTATAATGTTATTGTTCTCAAAATAGGCTCATAGCAAGAAAGAAATCAAAACACAAAACTCACATGATGGTTTACCAAAACCAACTTGACCTAGGGTCCATCATAAATAATGTTTTTTTGTTTGTTTGAGACAAAGGGCCTCACTATGTAGCACTATAGCCCTAGCTGCCCTGGAACTCACTCTGTAGACTGGGCTGGCCTCAAACTCTGAGACTGGCCTGCTTCTGCTTCCCAAGTGCTAGGATCAAAGGCAGGCACCACCACATACATCGAGGCCACATCATGAACATTTTTTTTTTGCATGCTCATCTTAATTTCATATTCCAGTCTAACCTCAGCCTTCAATTGAGGAAGAGGCTAAAGTCCAATTCTTTCCTCAAGACGGCAGCATGTTGTACAAACAGTGTGTACCTTAGTTTGTACTTTTCAGTTCCATCCTTCAAATCCAGGGTATGTACTGAGTGCTGAAGCAGCCAATAGGGATTACGATTACTATGCAATTATCAGAGACACAGAGCCAAAGCAAAGCTGCCAGAGTCTGAGCAGAACGAGGTGAGCTATACATGTTTCTCATGAACAGTACTTCTCTGTAGGAAAAGCTCATCTGCATTATGCCTACTCACATGAAAAACTGGGAACCATTGGTATGTTTCCCGCGATTTGCCATTGACAAAAGGAACGCTCTGTCATGTTTGAGAATAAAGTTTTCATCTGTTTGAAGAAAACACAAATTTGTTAGCCTCCAATTATAAGCAGCTTTTGAAGTAATGCTCAAGTACTAAATGAAAGGAAAAGATGAAATTCCTCTTCTGGTCAGTAAGATATTTGGCAATGTTTAGAAAAAAAATTAACTAATCAAATAAAACAAAGCACAAAAAGGCCGAAAAGATACTAAGTAAAGCCTTGAGGAAAAGAACAGGTATTTAACACTCTGTACAAACAGCCTTAGAACAGTCACTTCCAGCAGTAACACACTTGGCTAAATGCTATAAACAGGCTCTCAGGGAAGACCAGTCAAGACATTTTTAGAAAAGTATCTACACTAAAATGTATTTCCTTCAAGTTTCCAATTAGCCTGACACATGAACTATAGACATAAGTGAGTTTTAATAAGCCTTAATCTTAAATGCTTAGCATTTGCATGGTAAACTTATTATTCTACTGAAGTCAAGCTGGTCTATGAGAACAAAAATATAACATATATCAAGTTTTAGGAAAATGTCAAATTAACTATTAGAAGGATCACAAAATTACCTAAGGAAGAAAGTTGTGTAAAACTAACATCTTAAAAGGCAAAATACAATTTTAAGCTACATAAGCATATGCCACAGGGAATAGCCATATCATGAGGCCCACAACATTGAGTGTAAGTTGCTACATGCCATTAGAACAAGCTAGAAAGGGGAAAAAAATTCTGCCATCAGTTAAAGATGGCTTTAATTCAGTAGAAATACCTTTAAAACTAGACAGCCATATCTCCCTGGATACGCCTGATACCCTCTAATACCACACGTTAAGCAGGGTCAGGCCTGGTGATATTTGGGAGAAATATTTTTAAAACCAAATTTCCTTTTACATTCACACAAACAAATCTTTCTTTAGAACTAACAGAAACATAAAACTTTAAAGAGCTAGTTACCTGGGGGACAGGCTTATGAAAAAGAGTAGTGATCCACTTCCCCCAAAAGAAATATAAAAACCATTATACACTGAAGCTTTGAAAGCAATGCTGGAACACACTCTAAATTCCTGCAATTGACTTTTCTAAGGCTTTTTGGGGAAGGGCAATAGTTAGACTTATGAAATGTTACTACTGTAGGAGTAAAATACAACCATAAAGTTCTAGTACACAAAAGAAAATATACAAACCTTTGAGAAAGGAAAAAAAATATCAAATTTTTATTCCTTGGTTTAGGGGGGAAACCTCAACTTGATTTTTCCCCCCGATGTAGAACTAGTAACCAATTGTAAAGAAACAAAGGCACAGATGCATGTATGAAATTACATAAGATTTTTTCCAAGTCTTCAAACAATACAGAATTCCAGCCACAACCTGACCAGACTGTCCGTGGATTTATTAGGAGGGCACAAGGGAGCAGAGTGGAGTTTGTGTTACTGAGCTTCGTTCTCTTACCTTTTCATTTTGCAAAAGACCACATTCTCTATAAACAAAAGAATATGTTGACAGTTTTAGGCAGGAAGATAGGAGTTTTCATGTATATAGTTGCCTAACCTCCATGCTGAAGGTCACGTTTAACCTTAAAGTTAGCCTTAATTAATCTTGTCAATTAAAAGTTATATATTACAATATAACTGATCCCCAAACTCATGCAAATAAAGTGTTTTCATGCAGCATTAGTTTCATGCAAAACGTGAACTACAAGTAACCCTCTTTTCATTAAAGTATGCGGCCAAACTTGCTTTACAGCAGAACTGAGACACAAACCACAAACAACACACAATGCCAGGCCTTACCTTTAAAGTATCCACCATAAATCGATTCTCCACCTTTTCCGTTACCTGAAAACAACGTGCCATAATGAAAATTTAAAATATTCAACACATGAAAACTTAGAATCTTTTAAACATCTACTGAGTGTGGGTATGGGCGTGGAGGGGTGTGCACGCATGTGCGTGCACACAGGGGAGTCAATTCTCTCCTTCAGCCATGTGAGTCTCAGGGATTGAACTCACATCATCAGGCTTGGTCACAAGTGCCTTTACCCACTGAGTACCTTGCCAGCTCCATTTGCTTTGGATTTAAGACATGGTGTCACGACTATAGGTCAGGGTGACCTTAAATTCAAAATCTCTGGTCTCTACATCCCAAGTGTTGGGAATATAGGTATAGGCCACCACATCCACCTCTACTACAAGCATTATTATATTATTTATTATATGATAGCTGAAGCACTTGAGATTGAAACCAGGGCCTGGTATGGACCAAGCAAGTGCTGTACCATTCAGCTACATTCCCAGCCCAATAAATTATCTTTGATGGCTTCCATATCTTGAAGGAAATCCTGAACCTTTTAATTGCTACAAAACAAAAAGTGATTCTACGAGCATTCAATTAATTTAATCATTAAAATATTATGAAAAATACTATCAGAAAAATGATCCCATGACCCATTTATATCACGTAGTAGTCACACTAAGAAATTTCTAGAATAACTATAATTGGACAGTACTATGGTGTTCACTGGAAGGAAATCTACGAGATAATTATAATGTTACTAAATTACATAAACAAAATAAAACAGCATTCTAGATTTATAACATCTATTCATCCAACAATGATGCACCGAGGACAATATTCACATTACTCTGTGACATAGTCACAATCAGAAGCAATAAATGAGATCTTTAAACACTGATTGATGGATTTATTAGGAATGTAACTTTTAGCTCTACCTTCACTGAAGTCCCCACCCTGAATCATAAAGTTTTTAACCACTCGGTGGAATGTAGAACCTTTATAACATAACTTCTTCCCAGTTGTTTTCCCAAGGCCTTTCTCCCCTGAGGAAAAAAAAAAAGAAGTTTAGCTACAAACCCATCATTCCATGGGAATAACCAACAAGCTAAAATGCAGTCAAACCCTCCCATGTGCTGACACCGTGACATGCACGACACAGATGACACAATGTAAGTAGTAAACATACAAAACATACAAACCAAAAAGAGTAACACAAAGCAGTATCAGTGTATGTATTAAACTGATCCAGAAACAATTCTATGTGCTACAGGAGATAAGGATGGAGATGAATAAAATATATTAGTTCAAACAATGTGTCTCCTTGTGTTAGAATAAAGGTTTTAAAAATGAAGCTTGCTATTTCTAATATTTAACATTATCTCTTTTTACTCTGTTAGGCTAGGACATGTGCAGTGATGCATAATGAAAAGCAAATTATGCTTTTCTAATCTGAGGTGCTAAATTATTTTAAACATTTCTTTTTCCTCCTGTCCTCTCAAAAAATGTTTCCTCCATTCTATGACGCAGTAATAACATTTTAGCTGTAAAACTCATTTCATGAACAATTATATTGTTATGAAAGTTGCCCTGCCTTAAAGCAGATATGGATGCAAGCACCCAGACATTCTTACTGAAGACAGGCTAAAACCTCACTCACCTGAGCACAGGCATAGGAAGTTTTTGCATGTTTTTGGACATATGTCTGAGAAGAGCTGAAACATAATTCGACCAACTGAAACAAAATACATGAGGGAAAAAGAACAGTGAGCAAGTTAATAAAAATATTGCATATAAGAACTTAACTGGGAGGCACCCTAATAACAGTAAGTTCTTCTTTGTTTCTTAAGAGGTCAACTCCATACACAGAGTTAAAACTCAATGCTCTAGCAAAAAAACTGTACAATTTAAAGTGTTTTTTAACAGAACCTTTTTGTACATTAGACCCATTTAATACAGAACTAATTAATAACCCTCTTACAAAATGTTTGTTTAGATTTGCTGGGCTAAAGACCAAACCCATGCCTCATATATACAAAGCAAACTCTCTAGTATTGAACTCCATATACTCCTAGCTCCAAAGTATTCCTTTTTTTTTTTTTTTTTTTTTTTTTTTTTTTGTGAAGCTTTTCGAGACCGAGTTCCTGGCTGTCCTGGAACTCACAAAGATCCACCTGCCCTTGCCTTCTGAGTGCTAGGCTTAAAGTTTTGCACCTCACCCCCACCCCCCCAGCTGCTCCAAGTATTCTTAATTAACAGTTGAATGAGCCATCAGGCCCTGTCAGTGATGAGCACATCCCTCAAGAGTCTATTCTGCCCAGCCCAGTCAGAAGGAAAGCTCTTCCATGCTTTCTCAGCAGCTCAAGTTCCTGAGAGCCAGGAGAGAAAAGGTTGCTCAGAAGATACAATGCTACCTACAATAAACAATAAAAAGGAACACACTATGCCCTCAAAAACAGTTCACAAATTCTGGTCTCCATAGTCTTCTGAACTGTTTAAAATTACCAAGCTGTTGTTTATGGGTTACATTTGTTAACTGGCAATGTATAAATTAAAACCAAGACTTTTTTTTTTTTTTTTTTTTGTTTTGAGACAGGGTTTCTCTGTGTAGTCCTGGTTGGTCTGGAACTCACTCTGTGGACCAGGCTGGCCTTGAACTCAAAGATCTGTCTGCCTCTACCTCCCTGAGTGCGGGGATTAAAAAAAAAGTGTGCATCATCACCATCCAGCTTGTGAATTTTTGTTTGTTTGTTGTTTGAAGATCTTCCTGAAAGTGTAAATCCTGTTTTAGTATTCTCATTTTTAAAAAAAAAATTCTGATGAATGCCTTTAATCCCAACACTTAGAAAGTGGAAGAAGGCAGATCTCTGAGTTCAAGGCCATCCTCTACAGAGTAAATTCCAGGACACGTAGGGTTACACAGAGAAACCCTGTCTCAAAAAACAAAAACAAGAAACTAGTACTGACTGTACAGACCTGATGAGTCTCAGTGAGATTTTTGAAGTTTATTACATTTCCTTTTACTGGTGGGAGCAGTATGCATGTATTTCAGAGCATGTGTTGAGGTCAGAGAACACCTTGCAAGAATAAATTTTCTCCTTCCACTCTGTGGCTTACACAGCTCAAACTCAGAGGATCCGCCTCAGCAGCAAGTGCCTATTCCTGCTGAGCCATCTCTCTGGCCCCCAAGAAATGGAGTTTTAGTTTACAATTCTCTCCTAATCCTATATCCTCCCTCAGTCTACAAAATATTTTCCCTTATGGACATTTTATTTAAAGAGACAGGATAAATCAAACTGAAATGTAGATCAAATATAAGTCATGCTTACAATAGACACAGACAAGTTCCTACTATTATCACTAACAGTTTTAATATACTTCTAGCTATCTTAGTCTGTCCTTTACTGCACTACAGACACCTATCATGGACACATGGGGTGGTTAGTGACCACCTTGTAAGGAAACTTCCTTGTGTCAACACTCCAAATCTAAACTCTGACAAAGTCAAATTTTCAAACAATTTCAAAGCTGTAGCTGTTCCCTGAAGAAAAAGTTGGGGGAAAGGAAACAAAAAGGAAGACTTTTAGGTAATGAATGACCAATGTGTTTAAATGCATGTCAGAATTCTCAAGAACATCTCATGACATCAGTTACATGAAAAAGATAGGGTAATAAAAGTGTCTGGATCAATTCTCATAAATGCCCAAAATAGCTGAGGTGGGCATCAAGTCCACAACCATAAGCTTTGCAAGTCAGAACACACTTAGATCTTTGGAATCATTATACAATGTTTAGCAGGCTAAAAAGAAAAAGAAAGAAAGAATAAAACCTTTAATCCCAGCATTCTAGGCAGGAGAAATTCCTATTGGGTTTTGAGGCCAGCCTAGTCTACAAAGCAAACTCCAGGAAAACCAGTGCTGTTACACGTAGAAAATCTGTCTCAAAACAAAACAAAACACTGTAGAGATCATTTCTCAAAAAAAAAGTTCTGTTTCAGCACGAACACCAGGTGGCCTACACTCCAGTTCTACGAGATTCCAGTGCAGCACTCACTTAGGAGGCAGAAGCAAGTGGATCTCTGTGAGTTGGAGGCCAGGTTAATGGTCTACAAAAGCTAGTTCTAAGACAGCCAGAGCTGTCCTGGAACTCCCTCTGTGACCAAATTGGCCTCAGAGTGCTAGGATTAAAGGTGTTTGCCACTACACTGGCTTCAACCACTAGGCTTTCTTAGGGCTATAGTAACATCTAAATCGAATGGGTTTGTTTTTGTTTTTCTTTTTCCCCTAAAACTCACAGGGCTTTAAAACAGTGGTTCTCAATCTTCCTAATGCTGTGACCCTTTAATAGTTAGTTCCTCATGCTGTGGTGAACCCCCCCCAGTCATAAATTTATTTTCATTGCTACTTCATGACTGTAATTTTGTTACTATTATGACCATAATGTAAATATCTGTGCTTTCCAATGGCCTTAGGAGACCCCTGTGTGAAAGGGTCAGTTGCCCCCAAAGGTGCTGGGACACACAGGTTGAGAACCACTGTTTTAAAATGAAAGCTGGTTAAAGTTTCTCCTCCACAGGTGACTAACTCCTAGTAACAATAAATTTGAAAATATGAAGCATAGCATTCAGACATGTAGGCCTAACTACAATAACCTAACTTGATATAACAAATTTTTCAATTGGATTCTTAATCACAGGAGGCAAGGTTTAGCGAAAAGGATTTGTCTTATGTATAGCACATAAGATTGGGGGATAGACAGAAAATAAAACTGGTATGACTTTACTTTGGTGCAAGGTTAAAAACATTGTCGTATCCAGCAAGAGCTAGCTCAGCAATTAAGAATATTGGCTGCTCTTACGTTAGAGCCAGGTTCAAGTTCCAGCAGCCACCTGGCAGCTCACAATAACTCCAGGTCAAAGGGGTCTTATGCCTTCTTCTGGCCTCCAAAGTGCTGGGATTGACGGTGTATGTACACACACATACATGCAGACAAAATACCCATACACATAAAGTACAAATAAATTGCCATCTGCAGAAAAATTTATTTTAAATATCCTAGAGCAATGACTTTCAACCTATGGGTCACAACCCCTTTGGGGGTTGCATATCAGATATTCTGAATATCAGATATTTACATTACAATTCACAAGAGTAGCAAAATTGTTATGAAGTAGCAATGAAATAATTTACAGCTGGGGGTCACTACAATGTAAGGAATGTACCAATGGGTTACAGTGTTAGGAGGCCAAGAAACATCGCCCTACAGCAAGTGTTGGAGAGATGATTCAACAGGCAGAACAATTATATACCACAAGTGTGAAGACCTAAGTTTGAATTTCCAGAACCCATGTAAAAAGCCATACACAACAGCCCCCCGAGATGTATGGCTTTTTACATGGGTTCTGGAAATTCACGAGGGCATGCACACACACACCCACCAGGATAAACAGATGAACCCAATTAGGTTCCTAATGTATAACAGCATTTTAAGTACATACTTTACCATTGAAATATGTATCTAGCCTTCCATTTTGAATGAAATATGGGCAAACTTTATCAGAAAAAAAAAAAGCTACCATAATTTATGCCTATAAAAAGGTATAATTTGGCCAGGCAGTGGTGGTGCGTGCCTTTAATTCCAGCACTGGGGAGGAGGAAGCAGGGGGATTTATGAGTTCAAGGCCAGCCTGATCTAAAATTTGAGTCCCAGGACAGCCAGAGCTGTTACACAGAGAAACCTTGTCTTGAAAAACCAGAGAGAGAATTTGAGTTAGTTCAGGAAAATCCTACACAGAAACTGACCACTGTAAAAACAAACAATATCAACCTTAACTAAACTCATTTGTGAAACAAACTGTATACTTCCAACAAACAACTTAATGGAACTGTAATATTTTATAGAAACTGGTAATATTTGATACTTTCAGGTTTCGGAACTTGGAACAAGGCATTCTGAATATACAGTCTCTGAGGAGAAGTAAGTAAGATGCTTCAGTAGTATACTTTCAGCGACAGGCACAAACTCTGGTCATGAAACAGACCCAAAAGAAAGAGCCGGCTAAGGGGCAGCTGAAAAGGGAGGGGCTGGGCACGAAGCTCAGAAGTGGAGCCCTGGATAGAATGCCTGATGCCCTAGGTTTGACTGCCAGAGTCAACAGCACAAGATAAAGGGAGGAAATAAGATGTAAACTTTGTCCCCTAAGTTTCTATAAACACAAAACCAAAAACAATAAAAACTTCATTCATGAGCCTTCAATACTATCCACTCAGCCCCTACATGTCTCACACTTTTTGAAGCATGGTCTCCATTAAGATGCTCGGGCTGGCCTCAAGGTTCAAAAGCAATTTGTAGCTCACAGGGACCTTAATTTAAAACTTTAGGCCAGGCCTTGAGAGTGGTAAACAATACATTTTCCAATCAAGAGTGAAAACTGAGTTATGACTACAGACTATGGCAAATAATGCCAATGTACACAGATCTGACAAGTTAAGAGAAATGCATTAGTTTCTTAAAAGCCACAAACCACCAATACTACATCAATAAATAATAGACATGTGAGTGAATACTACAGCAAAGAAATTAAAATCTTCATTAAGATCCTTAATAACAAAAGAACAGACACAGAATTATTTCCAATAACAATTTACTGACTTAATACAGAAAACCCATTAAAGAGTGCATGGGTTTCCCTCTTTAAGCCTGCATTCAATAGTCTTATTCAAAGATCAATCTGTTTTGCATTTGTATTGATTGTAACTGAAAATACACACTAAGTGTACTCAAGTCTATCAGTACATCTTGATTCCCATATCACCTCTGCTTATCAAAGTAAATCAGATACTATATCTGTGATGCTGAGAAGTGAACTTGGAGCCTTACACATAACAGACAAGTACTCTCCATTCAACTATATTCCTGTCTGATCATTAATTCTACATTCTTGCTCAGTAGTAAGCCCATGCTTCAGATAACAGGGTTTTTACTTGTTTTTAAAAGTTAAAAATAATCGAGGGGTGGTGGCACACACCTTTAATCCCAGCAGAGGCAAGAGGATCTCTATGAGTTCGAGGCCAGCATGGTCTACAGAGGAAATTCCAGGACAGGAAGACTGAACAGAAAAACCCTACTTCAAAGAGCAAAAAACAAACCAAAAAAGATTAAACAGAAGATGCCCTTAAAAATAGACATTAAGCAAAAGATCGTGCAACCCTATTAAGTATTTTCAGGATTTATATCTGTGATGTTGAGGATCAAAGCCAGGTCCTTGAGCATTCTAGGAAAATACTTTACTTCCGAGTTACATTACTAAGTAACTAATTATTGCTTTCTGAGTATGCTCATGCCTTAGGCTTGCAAAGGTCTGTGAAAATATCTCCACAATAAGCTTGGTGAACTCTACTTTGTCTCAGAACCTAGGTAAACGGTTGTCCTCTACGAAGCGCAGTTCTCAAACACATTCTCATGGTTCAGCTTCCCATCTACTTAAATTTTCTCACCACCTCACTAAACAGCACTACTGGAGGAGAAATGTGTTTTCACCCCTTTGTCTAATGCCTGTCTTCTTCCAACAGCTGTTTCGGTCACTGCTGCATCTTCAGAGGCTGGGGCAAGAAACCCACAACTTAAAACGTAGCACACACAACACACTTCCGATGAAAATTCCTGCCGTTTGGAACTCGTCTTGCGCCTAGCCTTTAATGCCAGAGCTCCGGGGGCAGCGGGAGGCGGGTCTGAGTTCGAGGCCAGCCTGGTCTACAGGACCAGGAACAGCCAGGCAGAGAGGGCTACGCAGAGACACCCCCCCCCCCGGTCTCGAGAAAACAAAAAACACCTGCGCCTGAAGCAAGTGTTTCAGGCACATAAGCATGCTTATCCGTGTGTGTGTACGTACGCCTCTGCTGCAGGCACGCAAGTTTCATGCGTGCGTGTGTGTCTACGTGTGCATGCATGGACGTGTGCACTTAGCGAACGGCTGCCCACTACGGGAACTCCTGACACAGACCGGCACGGCTGCGGCGTGTCCACGATGCAATCCCGGAGCGGAGGGGCGCCCAGGGCCCGGCCGCCCCAGGGGGAGCGGGAGCCCGGGAGGCAGCCGGGGAGGACCCGCGGCTACTGGCGGCGCTGAGCGGCGGGGCTGCACCCGGAGGGGCGGCAGGAGGCCGCCGGGTGCCCGCCCGCCCCTGCCCTGCCCGGCCCCGCCCGGCCCGGCTCACCCGGCTCCCGGTTGATCTCGATGTCGAAGTGGCACTGCGGCCGGTCCTGCGCGCCCATCGCGAGCGCGGCGGCAGCGGCGGCGGCGGCGGCGGGAGCTGCGGGCGGGGAGGAAGAGGGAGGGGAGGGCGCTGAGGGCGGGGCCGGGGCTGCCTGGCGGGGGCGCGGCCTCCGCCCGGCCCGGCCCCGCCCCGGCCGCCCGCACCCCGCCGAGCTCCTCACCTGGCCGCACAGCTGCGGGTCAGCGCGGGAGAACGCCCTGCCGGCGCCGCCGGAGCCCAACGTCACCAACGGAACGCCACCTCCTCCCGGCCAGCGCCAGCCGCCCGCTGCCACGCCGGAGCGCGCGAGAATGGACGCAAGTATCGCGAGAGCCCGGCCGATCTCGCCGAGGGCCAGCCCCTGAGCTGGGGCCCCGGGAGAGAGAGAGACCATCCGGCCCCGCCCCTCCACGCCCGGCCCCGCCCCTCCCAGGCTGCGGTCCTATCCCAAGTCCCCGGACGTGTGCAAGCTGTCAACCGCGGCTCGCGTAGCATCGCGAGGTTTCCCGGTCGTCTGAAGCCGGCAACGAATGCGGTAGCTAGGTGGAGGCTGCCAGAGGCGACGTGGCCCTTCGTTAGTCCTTGCGCGGGCTTGATGCTTGTAGGGGGAAGGGGTAAGCCTAAGGAATGCACCCCGACCCTGAAGACAGAGCCTAAGGAATGCACCCCGACCCTGAAGAAAGAGCCTAAGGAATGCACCCCGATGCTGAAGACAGCCTAAGAAATGCTGCATCCCGATCCTGAAGACAGAGACTAAGGAATGCTGCACAGTGACCCTGAAGACAGAGCCAAACCTGCCCCCAAACCTGTGCATTAAACTAACCAACCAATCCCCGAGCAGGAGATCTAGCCAATCTGAGCTCAGGCATTGCAATCTGACCAGATCTAGCCAATCTGAGCTCAGGGATTGCAATTTGACCAATCCCCACACAAGAAACCTCCCTGGGAAATCTCCGCCCCTAAGAAGCCATATATAAACCCTGGGCCTCTTCATCCTGTGGCTGTCCAGATGCCTCCTCCCATTGGCAGGGGTGGCCTCTCTCCTAGATTCTTCCTTTGCAGTAGGTCTCTCGAATAAGGTTTGGCTGAGACCTTCTTTTGCTGGAGCCAAACTGTCACAGGCTGTAAGCTGCCACGCTTACTGTGACCTGTGGTATTCCTTGGCTCCCAACTGCCAGAGCTGTAACACCCAGAATTCTGTGACTCCCGAGAGCCAGAGTCCCTGTCCATCTGATCCATACGTATTTCCTTACTGTTTGTCTGGAGATAAAAGACTCTTGGACACTGGGCAGTAGTGGTGCACACCTTTAATCCCAGCACTAGGGAGAAGAGGCGGGAGAATCTGTGAGTTTGAAGCCAGCCTACAGAGTGAGCGTTATGACAGTATGAGGAACACAGAGAAACCCTGTCTTGGAAAAAACGAAACAAAAAAATACTTATTTTATTTGTGGAGATTATAAACAATTATGCCATTTTCAACTTCTCTTTCCCTTCCCTAGACCCTTCCGTACCCCCAACTCAATCTTTTCAAATCAGTGACCTATATTTCCACTAATTGTTGCTAAATGTATTTATGTATATACATCCTTAATTACAACCTACTCAGTCTGTATGTTACTTGTATGTGTTTTTAGGGCAGACCATTTGGTATTGCATGGCCAACTGGTGTGTGCTTCCCTGCGGAAGACTATTTCTCACACTCACCATCCCTTTATTTTACCCTAACCAGTATGGTATTTCTGATGCTGTCCTTGTTGAGCTCACATTCAAGCAGTCTTTTTGGTGAGATTTGTGGGTGTAGCTTCTGGGTGTCATCTTTACAATACGAGGAAACAATCTCACAACACACCCTGATTCTCAGTCTCTTACAGTCTGTCCCGTCTTGGGCAACGGTTCCTAAGTAGTAAGTGTGGAAGTTGTTTTGCAGGTGTGTCTGTCCGGGCTCTACATTTCCACCGGGAGAGGACCTCCACTTACCAGGGCTGACCCTGGAGAAGGACGCCTCTGCCAAAGTGTATTTTGGTGATCAGTTTACCCAGGCCTTCCAGTTTGTCTGTCCGAACTCAGAAGTCCCTGGGGATGTGGCTCAGTGGTGCAGGATGTGCTTAGGGTATGTGAGGCTCTGGGTTCCGTCTACAACACGGGAGGGAGAAGGAAATTGAGGAGTAAAGAGGAAACGGGGAGGGAGTAAAAAAAAATACATGTATGGACTTCAATCGAGTTCATGAAAACGTCCTCTTGTTGACAACTGGGCATGTAAATTTCTGCTTTTATGTTTAAATCCAGTCTTCAGAAAAGCATTAAAAATTGTGATGAGGATGCTGAAGTGTAGCTCTTCACAGTTGATGGCTTCTGGTGGAGAAGACTCAGTTTTTTTTTTTTTTTTTTAAGGGTTAGCCACTGGGAGTTTTACTGTGCTCCAGCAAATGTATGAGCAACACAACATTAAACTTTGGTTTTTCTGCTGCTGCTACTGTTTTGGGGAAGTTCGCAAAGGTTGGGGGTAGACCTGCGAAGCCTGGGAATGAATGATTAGGAAGGATGCATTATGTGAAATTTCCAAATGATCGATAAAAAGTGTTACACAACTAATAGTTTTCTGGTGTCAGGTAGGGTGGGACTCAAATCTTGGCAGCCTGTGTTCCATGGCCATTTGTAGAAGACTATTTTTTTTTCAACACCTAATTACTTGGCTTTATGAACACATGATTATCAGTGCCCCTGTCATTTTTATAAAACTGTAAAGCCTGCACCTTTGAGGGCAGTTCTGTGGTATGAAGTACATTCACCTCATTGTAATGGCAGCCAACACCAACCAACTCAGGGTTACCTGGGATTACTGAAGGTATGCCCCTCACAAACTCATCTCCCTCTCCCCGTCACCCCCATTCTGGAAGACACCCCTACTTTCTCATTTTAGTGACTGTTAGTACTTCCTATTTGTAGAAGCAAGTTCTGATCCCATCTGTTTTTGTTGTGGACTTGACTGCATCTGGAACCAACTAAAATCCTTGGCGGGATTTTTTTTGAATTATTTGAAAGAGGAAGATTCACCCTGAATCTGAGCCTCTTTCCTTCCTCCAGCTAAAAGGACCTGGAAGAAGGAAACTTAGACTTCTGCTAGCTTGCACGGTCACTGCTAAGTTCATCTGTCCTTTGCTGGTTGATATTAGAACCAACTTAGTTTGGATTGCAACAGACTCAAGACCAGCAGCTCTGCAGGGTTCTTCCAGACCTCGGTGTAAGACTGGGATCGCTGAGCAATCGAGTCTCTCGGGCTGAGCAGCTAACAGACTTTCAGTCTTTTGAAGGAGAGTAGGTCGGTAAGCACCAGTCTTCCATGCCTCTGCTTCGGTTCCTGCCCCCAAATCTTTGCCCTTCATGATGGACTGTCACCAGGATGTTCAGGCCAAATAAACTCTTTCCTTCACAAGTTGCTTTTCATCACGGTGTTGTGTCCACGGCAACAGAAAGAAAACTGATGCATTTGGTGTCTATCCTTTTATGACAGGCTGGTTTCATAGCAGAAAAGTGAAAAACCTTGAAATTACATCCATGTTGTAGGAAGGGGTCAAGAAAGAGTAACAGGGAGTGAATATGATCAAAACACATAATATATGTATGTTCTCTGTGAGCGTGAGGCCAGCCTGGTCTACAGAGTGAGTTCCAGGACAGTCAGGGTTACCCAGAGAAACCTTATCTTGAAAAACAGCAATAACAAAAAGAGAAAAGAAAGGCAGAAAGGAAACAAAAGAAAGGTGGTCAAAGCCTTGAATCCCAGCATTTGGGAGGCAGAGGTAGGTGGAGATCTTGAGTTCAAGGCCAGCCTGGTCTACAGAGAGAGTTCCAGAACCGCAAAGGCCACAGAGAGAAACTCTGTCTCCAGAAGCAAACAAACAAAAATGGAATAAAATGTCATTGTTAAACCTTTTTTGTATATGCTAACAAAAACATTTTTCCTTTTTCAGGGTCTCATGTGACCCAGGATAACCTTGACCCCTTGCCTCTACCTCCCAGATGTGCCTAGTGTTGGTTATTAATAATTAAAAAAAAAAAAAGCCTCTCAGCTTTGAATGCACCCTGTGATGGATTCTCTCTTTAATGTGTAATTCAGCCTTAGGCAGGGATACTTGCTTCAACCCCTCTCCCTGAAAAGAGTCGGCATTTCTATAACCTAGAAGAAAAGTAACAACAGGGCCCTGTAATGGCAATACTGATGTAGGTTACAGCACGAAGAGACATCCTGGGACACTGAAGAGAAGTGTGCATCACTGTTGTGGGACATTTGTACACTGTGTGAAGTATACTGCTGTGATTGGTTTAATACAGAGCTGAACAGCCGATGCTAGACAGGAGATATAGGCGGGGTTCAGGGCAGGAGATGAATCTACATACAGGAGAGACACAAGGAGACGCAGAAGCAGGGTGGGCAGTGTGTGACAGAGCGTAGATGCATATAACTGAGTTAAGCTATAGAGCGAGTTGGGAATAAGCCTACGCTAAGGCCAAGCTTTCATAATTAATAAGTCCCCTTGTTGTCTGAGAGCTGGCTGGTGGGACAGAGACACATGATTTATTACATCAGAGACTTAAGAAGCACTGTTGATTTGGTTGACAATGGTAATGTCACATACCTTGGTTCAGTTTCACTGTGGGGTCTGCTTTATTACTAAAATATTTACACTAAGAATACAGTAGAGTTGGTAGCAACTCTCCTCGAAGTCTAGGAAGCACAGACTTCACTCGCCCATGCTCTAAGTTGTTGAGTCACTGGCAATTCTGTCTCTATTTTACAGGAGATGAGCTCCACTCAGTCACTCCTCCTGGAAGACTATTCCGCCGACTTTGTCAGGCTGCTTGTGTTGGCATCTGCGATGGTAGCTAAGTAAATGAGATTTCTATGCAAGACATGCTGGTACCTATGAGCAAAAAACAAGGATTAGATGCTTGTCTTTACAAACCATGCAGGCTAGAAGAAAATCTGCTGAATGGTGGAATGGAGTTCCCCTGAATGAACGACACCATCACCGATCTTTTTGTTATTTTTGTTTTTTTAACTTTTGATCCACCTGCCTCTACCTTCCCAAGTGTATCAACATACCTCACTTAACCACCATGCTCAATTTGGAATCTCATTTGGAATTCTCATTTATCACTCATGCATGTGCCCACTAGACCAAGCAACCTTGACTTTTTTGCTTGGACTATAACAGTAGTTTACTTACTCCATGCAGCCCTGCTTTGCTCTCCAGAGCTGGAGTGATCACAGCACAACTGACATCAAGATCCTCTTGCATTGCTACGACGTCTCATGTGAAGGGTCTCTCCAGTTACTTCCTGTGTGCCCATCTCCTATGGCTTTCCTTTGTTAAATTCTGAACACAGGGTCTCCTTACTATGGCTGAGGATACTCAGCACCCTTATCCTGCCTCTCTCTGGGGCGCAGGGCTTCACTCAATGCTACCTTGTTGGAGGAACTCTGCACCCCACCCCACCCATCCCTAGACTTAGCATGCTTGGTCTCTGCAGCATTGGAAATTGAACTCTGAATTTCCTGTGCATGGCAGGCAAGGTGCTCTGCCACACCCCCAACTTCACCCCACTCAAATCACTTATTATTACATGTCTCCTTATATTCCTTCCCTCTGAGTTCTGTGTATGAATGTTTTGCCTGCATGTATGTATGTGCACCACACACATGCCTGGTTCCCAGGGCATCAGATCCCCTGCAACCGGAGTTACAGATGGTTGTGAGCCACCACTACTGGGCATTGAACCTGGGTCCTTTGCAAAGAGCAACAAGTTCTCCAGCCCTCCCTCTGGACTCTAGAATGTCAGCTCCACGAGAGATTTGGAATCTTCTGTGCTTCTTATTCCCCAGTACATCAAACACTACTTCCTAGTCTATAGTATACCCAGCTCTCAGGAGGCAGGTGGATCTCCGAGTTCAAAGCCAGCCTGGTCTATAGAGCAAGTTCACAGAGAAACCTTGGAGGGAGGGAAAGAGAGAGGGGGAGAGAGCGCCTGTTCTACAATCAAGGTGAGCATATGACTGTAGCAATTCTCAATTGCTTGCCATTCAGGAAGGGTCATCAAACTTGGGAAGTAAAACCTTCACAATGTAAAAAAAAAAAAAACCAGCATAGATTTGTAGGGTTTTCCTATCCTTGCTCAAGAGTCAATGTACTAAAGAGATATGAGTGGCAGGCATTTTCTAAAAATGAGAAAGTGTTTACTATAAGCTGTAAAAAACAAAAAAACAAAACAAAAAAAACCCAGCAAATGCTGGAGTCAAACAAACACCTCAAATGGAAAATCTGCTATCCCATCGAGGCAACTGGAGGAGGATTGTAGGCGACTGATTCTTGAGCTGGATTTAGAAAGGGGCATTGAATTCTGTTCCTCCCCGGTCTGGTATCCCATAGAGGGCACATTAATCATATCCTGAATCAGCCTTCGGTTTAAGGTGTTAATCCCTTCGCTGTTCCTGTGTAAGTCTCACAGGCTGACTGCTATGTAACCAAATGCCTCGATTAACTTACTGGGAATGAAGGGAAACAAGGAGGCAATGGCTCTTCTCCGAGCCTAGCTTCCCGATGCTTCCCTGCCATCAGCCAACGGGGGCTTTACGTGAAACCCCGAATAAGCCCAGCTTCTACCGTAAACTACCTATATGGTTCCAAGTAGTAAGTAAATAACCTACGGAGGGCAGGGGGCACAGGGGTCAAACTTGTGACCATTCCCCTGCCGCAGCCCATGTGCCAGGGAGGGTCGCAGACAGGCGGCACGCACCGGCGACCCAGGCCGCCGCACCCGCACGTCCCGCCCCCAGGGGCACTCACTGGACGCACTCGTTCGCTCGGCCCTTGTTCTGGTACTCCACGATACAGCGGATCAGCTGGTCGTTCTCCTCCAGGAGCTGGAAGGCGGGCGGAGGGGGAGGTGCAGGGCGGCATCAGGTGGGGGCCCCGGGCCGGCGCCGCTGTGACCCGGGGCCCCCACCCGTCCCCGGCACACAGGGCCCCCGCCTCGGTGACGCTCACCCGCTGGATGGTCTCCTGGTTGACCTTGGCCTTGCCGCGAAGCCAGTCAGGGGCGAAGATGACCGACATGCCGCGAGTAAGCTCCGAACCCCGGGCCCGCAGCTGCACCGTCGCGCGCTACTGACGCGGCGAAGCCTGAGCCGCCGAGTCCGGCCCCGCCCTCCCCGGGGGGCGGGGCGTGGAGGGGCGGGGCGGGGCGCTGATTGGAGGCGCCGAGGGCGGGCGTCGCTCGTGATTGGACGCGCGAGCCTGCCGCTCGCGTAGGCTGTGACGCTCCCCCTGAGGGCGGGGCCTGGCTGAAGATGGACAGCCACGGGACTGACCCGCCTCTCCCTCCCGTCCCAGGGCTGGGAGAGCTGGGGGTGTCTCCTCCGGGCAGATCAAGCCAGAAAGCACTGGTATTAGCTTCCTTAACCTGGAAAATGCTCGAATGTGTCTAGATTGTCTCTGGACAATAAATTTGTATACGAGCGGCCAGTGGTTAATAAACTTAACCGCTCTTAGAGAGGAGAGAGAGTTTGAGCCCAAGCACTGACACTCTCTTTCTGGCCTGCCCGGCCACACATGTGCTGCACACGCATATACACACGAGTAAAAATTCGTTGTGGAATCGTACTCATTGCCAGTCGCAACCCTAAAAAGTACTTCCTTCACTTTACCCTAGGTCAGAAAATAGATGCCTTTCCCCGAATCCTTCGATCAAAGGGCCGTCGGGCTCTGAGCCTGGGCAATGTGGGTTAGGATTTCACTTAGGTGGCAGGTCTGGAGGGTCTTCCTGGAGCTTCCTTTCCCTGCCCTAGAGCAGGTTCGCCCCACCACCACCACCACCACTTGCTCCGCCCCCCAATTCAGGCTTGCAAAGCAGCAGCTTCCACCTCTTTTCCCAGTGCGGGGATTCAATGAGAGAGGTCGATGGGACCTGCCTGAGTGGGGTCAGGACTCGGAGCTCCTTGCTTCTCAAGTTCCCACAGGAGGTTCTCTCCCCCACAGGAATCTCCCCGAGACCTGCAGAAGGAAGTGGAGCCATCAGGAACGGATGGAGACCTTGCTTAAGACCATTCTGCCCTCAACAATCCCTGTCTGGACCGTGGAGGGGTGGCTTCACCAGGAGATGGTGTTGAGGAGCAGAAAGTGCAGGGGGCGGGCACTGACCCAACCATTGAGAACAAGCCCTCCAGGGAGAAAGTGTCTCCGCGTGAGGATGTGTAGATTACCTAGGCGATGGGACTCACTCAACTCGGAACTTGGCATCTGCTGGATGGCTCAAGGACCTAGCTGAGGTTAGCAATGTGCATAGCACAGACTCACGTGGCAGCCTCACTTACAGCCCAGGAGGAGGTGGATGGTAGGTGGGGACAGAAGGATGAGCCCAATGTGTCAATGTGTCATAGTGTGATAGAGGCCTGGCAGTGGTGGAACATGCCTTTAATCCCAGCACTTGGTGGATCTCTGTGAGTTCGAGGTCAGCCTGGTCTACAGAGCAAGTCCCACAACAGGCTCCAAAGCTGCTGAGAAACCCTGACTCAAAATAAATAAACAAATAAATAAATGGTGTCATACACGTGATAGGTCACCCCAGGACTCCCAACTTATGTTGTGAAAAGTAAAAGGAATTAATGAACAAAGTAAAGGGATACTGGCCTAGAAATTTCCCCAGACTAGTTTGGGAGGGAGGCAGAAGATCTGAAAGAGAGGAGAGGGATCAAATGTCTAACGTTAAAAAGAACTAGTCATGGAGGTTGTCCATGGAGATGTAGAGACTGTGGGGGGTAGAGAGCTGGAGAGGCTTGCAATGGAAGGCTCTGAAGATGACAGTGGGTATGAGTAGCCAGAGACTGGAGATGAGGTCCAGGATCATAGGTAGCACATTTTACCTGTCTCCCATTCCATTCATGGCAGTGTATGACACTCACCAGGTGTACCAGGCAGAAGGTGAAGAAATAGTCTATCTAAATCACTCACTCCTCAAATACCAATCCACATTTGAAAAGATATTATTTTGTTTATTTGATTTTGGCTTTAAGACAGTGTCTCGCTCACTGGGCAGTGGTGGCACCTGCCTTTAATCCTGGCACTTGGGAAGCAGAGGCAGATGGATCTCAGCAAATTTGAGACCAGCCTGGTCTACAAAGTGAGTTCCAGGACAGCCAGGACTGTTACACAGAGAAACACTGTCTCAAACAAACAAGACACACACACACACACACACACACACAGAGAGAGAGAGAGAGAGAGAGAGAGACAGAGAGAGAGAGAGAGAGAGAGAGAGAGAGAGAGAGAGAGAGAGTCAGGAGGCCCAGCTGGGCTGCAAATGCACCAGCAATGACTGTGAGCTTGACTCAGCAGAGTGCTGGAACTGTGGGTGTTTACATCATGCTGGGGTAGAGCCCAAGGCTTCACACAGACATCCCGGACAGCCACTCTCCCACATGAGCCACACTCACACTCCAGCTTGGGTTTTTCTACTTTCTGTGGAGACAGGGTTTCTCTGGCTGTAGACCAAGCTGGCCTTGAAATCAGAGATCCACCTGCCTCTGTCTCCCAAGCGCTGGAATTAAAGGTGTGCACCACCATGCCCTGCTCTATTTTTGTGTTTTAAAATGTATTTGTTTTATGTGTGTGAATGCTTTGCCTGCATATATACAGGCGTACCACAAGCCTATAATGGCAAAGTCAGTAGATGTCAAGAGAGGGTGGTGAGTCCTTTGGAAATGGAGTTACAGATGGTTATGTGTTGTAGAATATTACTTTAACTATGTAAAGGTGTGTTGTATTTGTTCATGCTGCATTTGTTCAATTATGTAAAGATGTGTTGCTTTGCATGCCTAAGGCACCTGATTGGTGGAAAGTAAGGGGTTGGGTTTGCTGGGTAGGGGTTGAGGGTGGGTTTGAATGCAGCTCTCAATTGAAAGCAGCTCTCTGTCATGGATAGATAAGGATGGGGAAAACAGATAGGCTGATGGATGTTTATTCAGGGAGAAATCACCTACAACAGAGACAGATGACGCCAGCAGATTCCTGTTCCAAGGATGCCTCCAGATGCTCTCTGTCTCTGATCAAGAAGCAAGAGATCGAGCTGGGGACCAGGACCCCAGACCTAGTTCTCCCAAGTCACATCCTCACCTGTCCCCACCCCAATGGGCGTGGTCAGGCGACAGGTGTGGGCGGGGTTGATATCTTACTACAATTCCCCTTTTAGTCTAAAGAAAAAAATTTAGGCTTGATACAAAACTATATACAAAGACAGTAAATATCAAGTATGCTCTAAGAAAAGGAAAATCAAAAATACCTCTTGACAAGTAACAGTGTGTTTTAAAAAGTGTTCATTGGATTAAGAAAGGAAAAAAAATGAGTATAGACAGTAATAGGAAAAAATAGTTTAAAAATAATAAAGTCTTTAAAGAGAGAGTAATGTAAAGGAAAATGGCCATATAAAGATTGCAAATACACGGGGAGTCTGGATCGGGTATGGTGTTGTGTTGATTTTGAAGTTTTTGAATACTGATGAGCAAATGACAACTGTTGGGAGTCCTTGGATTGTAGAAGGAATTAAAGCAGCGTAGATACTTTAGGGGTGTCTTAACTTTAAAATGGAATTCAGAAAATATATTGTGTTGGAGAAGAGGTTATACTTTTGTTTCCATGGGAAGGAAAAGGCTGTGGATTTCCTCAAATTTAATGGAGATCAGGTTTGATTGGTGGAGACCCTTGAAAATCCTGGCTACAGACATAAATTAAAAAAAAACAAACTACAGGACAGGTGACATATATTCTGATCCTTCTGCATGGGGACGGCTCTGAGACAGCACAACTAATGTTACAACTAGTTTTCCCAAGACTTGACCGATATCTCTATTTTCTCAGAGTCCCCTAAAGATGCTTTCACCCTCAGACAACAGGGAACAGTCTAGAGAACGCAATGCCCACATACCCAAGAGGTAGGGTGGGTGGTTTTTGGTCATTCGGTGGGTTATGGATGTTTGCTACCGTTTAGGGGGTCTATAGGAATGAAGGATTAAAAAGACAACTATTAACCTCAAATATTTTATGCTGGTATGGATTTTGGTATGTTGATACAAATTTAAATTAGTTTGTTATACTGTATGTATGTTTCTAGTCTTGTGTGAGGTATTGTACTTATGATGCTTATTTAAAATGTAATGTACAATTACAAAATGTGGGTTAGTAGTTGGTCATCTATAACAATTAACTTGTGGTCATATTAGGTATGTTTTCAAAGTTAAACAGGTATATTTTAGAGATAGATGAGCTTCAAATGATTCAGAGACTTACAGAACATGGCATTTAAGATGTTTAATAACCAAAGCTTTTCTTGAAAGTGAGACTCATCTGTTCCTGGCAGCACAAATCTACTCTGTAAAAGGATGAGGGACATTGAAGAACCTCCATATGGAATTTGTTTTCACTGTGGCAAAGCTAGCCACTTGGGCAAGAAACTGGCCTTGCTTTGACTGCTGACAGTATGCCATATGCCATCCAAACTGGACCAGCAGGACACAAAGGAAAGTGACTGCTGAACTTTGCCAAGACAAGATCCTTCAAATGTACTGCTTCATAGAAAAGTCTGCCAAAGGTTCTAGGCCTGTAGGCCAAAGATGGATACCCCAGTGTTTCAGAGGAACCTTTTGTGATTGTCCAGGCAGCCAGCTGTCTCTGTCTTTTCTATAGTTTTGGAAGTTGTTTGCTATGCACTTCCTGTGTAGTCAGATAATATTATATCCTTCTGTGATCTTTAACGGAGATAGTAATAGCTACAGTTTTCCTTAGTTATGATAGAAGGTGAATTTGGTACAGAGCTAATATGTTGGATAATAAAGTGTTTTCTCTGAATTTGTTAAATAAAAATGGACTGGATATTGTAAATGTAATTCTTCCTTGATACTTAGTCTTATTGTATATAGCCTTACTATGTTAAAGTTAGAACCTTTCTTTTATTTAGACAAAAAGGGGGAAATATTGTGGAATATTACTTTAGCTATGTAAAGATGCATTACATTTGTTTATGTTTCAGAATATTACTTTCACCAGGCAAAGGTGTGTTACATTTGTTTATGCTGCATTTGTTTAGTGATGTAACGATGTGTTTCTGTTTCACCTTGCCTGCCCAAGGCACCTGATTGGTCTAATAAAAAGCTGAATGGCCAATAGCTAGGCAGTAGAGGGATAGGAAGAGCTGGTGGGCAGAGAGAATACGTAGGAGGAGGGAGACAGAGAGAACAATGGAGAAAGCGATGGAGACGTCTGGGGCCAGCCAGCCAGGCAGCCTCCAGACAAACAGACACGGAGTATGACATACAGAAGGAAAGGTGTTGGAAACTGAGGCTGGATCTATGCTCAGTTATGGAACGGACCTTGGCTGAACTTTGGCTTCCTCTTGGCTTAAGTTATTCCACAAAGGTTTGATGATTTAGTAGCTATCTCTATTTAGCAAGATCAGCCTAGCACATAAGCACTAGCCCCCTCACCATAGTAACCCTTTCTTGTTCTCATAACTCCTGATCTTCCCACCCACGTCAATGAATGGATGAAAATACAGCCTAAATCTCCAATGACCACTGTATAAAAATATCCACCAGCATGTATTTAAAAATCACCCTAGTTATAGGCAAAGCTCAGGAAAAAGGAAACACATGAAATAACCCAGTCATGATGACCGGTTCCTGGAAATTGTTATTATTATTCATAACCACCTAGTTTCTGAGGAATGTTGTTATTCTCGACAACAGTCTGGTTTCTGGGAATTGTTATGGGTCATCTTGTTCAAAAAGACATAACCACCCAAGTTCTAAACTGTCCCAAGGTCTTGCTTTCTGGCTGAATAACAGGAGATGAGTTGACCAGCTGCCTATCTAAATTTAGCAAACTGCTTGCGGAACCCCCGCCCCAAATCCTAACTGCCAATTATCACTCCACCCAGGAGCCCACACCAATACAGCTATAGAAAAAAAAAAAAAGGTTTAAATTGATTGGCCTGTATCACGTGGGATCTTGACACTTTGGGATGATTGGTTTTGTGTGTGGGCTTTGTTATAAACCCTATAAAAACTGTCTCGATTTGGCATCGAGGTCCTCAGTCCTCTACCCCTGCGTGGCGTATGACTATGGACCCCAATGCACTTGAAATAAAAATTCCTCCTGCTGTTTGCATCAAGACCGCTTCTCGTGAATGATTTGGGGTGTCACCTTCCTGAGTTGGAGCATGAGTCTTTCATCAACATCCATTCTTTGTGATTTTTCTATATTCTGCCTGCAAGAACACCTGGTCCTCAACCATTCGCTTACCTCCCCTGCCCCTTACCTACATCCTTGCTCTGCTGACTATAAGAGTATAGTCCGGGTATAAAAATAAAGTTTGCCACTTGATCCTGTCTTGTGGTCAATTCCCCCGCATCTCTTGACCCCCCAACCCCTTTCATGGGTTTTTAGGTTCTAGATTGAAGTCTCACAGGTTGAGGCAAAAAGGTAAAAATCCCCAAGGCAAAACTTAAATGAAGAGAAACAGGTTAAAATAAGTTATAAGAGTTAATGGGACAAGCATAAGATAAAGCTGAATGAACATTCATAACTAATAATAAGTCTCTGTGCCGTGATTTGAGAGCTGGTTGTCGGCCCAAAAGAAATCCTGCTACCGTGGATAGCTGGGAGTCAAGACCAGGTCGTCTGCGAGAGTAATAAATGCTATAAACTCCCGAGCCAACTCTCTAGCTCTGCTGTGTTTTGTGTTTTTAAGTAGGTTCTCAAAATGTAGCCAAGCAAGCCTAGAATTCAGTATTTCACCCAGGCCAGGCTCAGGTTTATGGCAATGCCCCTGTACCAGCCTCCTGAACACAACACCTGTGAGCTGCTACACTGGCTTCAGCAGCACAAGTTCTCTTTGTTCTTAATAATAACAGCTCAGAGTCGGCTATCAGGCGGTGAAATCTGAAGGATCAGAGAAGCAAAGCAGCAGCCCATGGGGTTCTTTCCTCTAGCAATGCTCAGACCAAAGGGGCGACCCTATCCTCAGCCTGTATCCTCAGACTGCACCCTCAGACTGACTACACCCTCAGCCTGCATCCCCAGACTGACTGCATCCTCAGACTGCATCCTCAGACTGACTGCATCCTCAGGCTGCTCCTCAGACTACCTGTCCTGTCTTATATTCCTCTCTCCGCCCCGTCATATCCCTTCCGGTCCGCACCTCCTTAGTGCTGGGATTAAAGGTGTAAGTCACCGCCACTTGGTTCTGTTTCTGTTTTAGACTGGATCAATTTTGTGTAGTCTGGGGCGGCCTTGAACTAACAAAGATCTATCTGCCTCTGTCTCCAGAGTGCTGGGATTAAAGGTGTGTGCCACCACTGCCTGGCCTCTATGGCTAATTAGTGTGGCTAGCTTTGTACTCTGACCTTAATTAAGGCAAGCTTTATTTGTTAGATCATAAACAAAATATCACCACATGGAGTTGGAATTTTACAGGTCTAGCACCAAAGTTTCTCTGTCTAGACAGAGAAAACAGTGGGCAGGGTGTCAGTCTCCTTTACCTACCACTTTTCTCTGTGAATGTTATGACCTAGGCTTGCTGAAGCTTGTTACAGACCAGGCCTGACTCAGTGTGGGAGGGAACTACGGCAGGACTTGAATACCAGGAATGTCTGGAGGCTATCTTAGAGTATCACAAGCCTTCCTGTGTTCTTTTTGTAATTTGTCTGTGGTTACATAAACCCAGTTTCCATTTCCACCCACGAGAAAAATGCCTTATAGGAGTCTTCACCCGCTCAGATCTCTCTGTGGAACTGCAACCTGTCTATCCAGCTGCTGTTTCCCGCGTTAGGCTTCCCCATAGAGACAGAGCCATTAAGGCTGTTTCTTCTATATGAGGGTTTATTTGGAGGGTGTACTCATGTGGTGATGGAGTCTGAGGAATAGGGGAGTCACTGCTGGGGTTCACTGACTCGTACTTGGCCTCGGGATCAGGAAATCTGGGACTGGGGAATGTGGCTCAGTGGATAGAGCTCTCTCTCGTGTAGCAGGCAGGAAATTCTGGGTTTGAGTTCCTGTGCCACACAGACTGGTGGCGCACACCAGCAATCCCAGCACGCAGGAAACGGAGGCTAGGAGGATCAGGTCGGATCAGGAGGCAGAGTCACAGCCTGATAGACACATCGTGAGCGCAAGATCAGCTCGGGATACCTAAGATCCTGTCTCAAAAAGTAAAACTGAGGTTTCAGAGAAGCTGATGGGCCCTGAGAATGCGGAAGTGGAGAGTCACGGAGTCTAAGACCCAAAGGCAGGAGGGCTTGGAGTTCTGATGCCACGGACAGGAGAAGACAGGGCTGATACGGGGTTTTGCAGTTCAAGCATTCCATCGCCAGAGCTACATCTTCAGCCACACGGAGTACTGTGTACAAGCCACCGTGAAACATACCAACTCCCCTTCGCCCAGGCGGCTGCTCCTTGCGGAAGCTTTCCCTGAGCCCAAAGCGAAGCCAAATGTTCCCATAAATTCTCCCTAGAAGCATCCATGCTTCTCGGCAGCATGACTAGCGGTGTAGCCCCTGCGTTCCTGCCGCGTGCTCGACCCTACCCTCTCCTCTTGACATGGTCTCGGGAGTCAGGAGTGACTTGCCAGTGTTCACACTGCCTGGCGCACGCACACCGTGGTACTCGGCACGCGTCAAAACAGCAGGCGCCCGCCCAACTTTGCTACCCTACCCCCGCCCAGCCTCACAGCGAGGGTGTGTCGCTCGGGGAATCGGACTTTGGCACCTCCTCCAGGCTGGCAGGAGGCCGTGCTCTTCGGATCCTCTATCTGGGGCCTCTTGCCCAGCTGCTGTAGCCTGCAAGAACCCACGCCCAGGGAGTGTCACTCCAGTCACCCGGACGCCTCTGGAGAACGAACAGTCCTGTCCGCTCCGGGCCAGGCTTCGAGGGGACATCGGAGTCTCTTCACACCGCTCCAGGTGAGACTCACGCGTGGGCCTCCGGCCGAGCATGCGAGGAGACCAGGGAGGTGGGAAGCCAGTGGGTACCAGCCCTTTAAGAGGCACGCCAATTCCGGAGTCTGAGCAACTGGACTGCCGAGACGCGCCGTGATTGGTCTGTTTGGGTGTGAGCGTCGCTTAGCAGCAGCGAATGAGAGCTCAAGGTGTGCGCACGCGCACCACATCCTACCTCCCGCAGCGCGGCTGCCGGTGACCTGCACCGGGCCGCTGGGTTGGCTGCGGTGGCCCAGGCGGAGGTCGGCCGCGGGGCGAGGTGAGGCTGGAGGGCCAAGAGGGCGTGGAGAGGAGGCGGGGTCGCGGTTCAGGCCGCCAGGCTGCAGCAAGGGGCGTGGGACTCCGTCGAGGCCGGCCCCCCTGCATCGCGCGTACCTGCTGGGATGAGCTGCCCGCTGCGTCTGCTGCCCAGGGCGGGGCTTGGGCGTGTCTCGGGAGGGGCGGGGCGGCGGTTCCTTTTCTGTCTGCTGAGCTCTGGTCCTGGCTCTTGCTTCTTGATAGCAAACTTTCCTTAGCCTGTTGATATTTCAGGACCTGGTTTCTTCAAGGCCTGGTCACCCCTGCACCAACTTTCCTAGACTTGGGTTACCTAGGACAAAGGACCCACAGAGCAGGGCGGGCGTCAAGCTTGCACAAAGCCAAAGCCATGGAAGGAAGAGAGTTGCTACTGATGAAGGAGTTGGTACAGTTTGTGGTTTTGTGAGACAGGGTCCTATGTAACCCGTGTTTGGCCTTCAGCTTGGGGTCCTCCCAGCTCCAGCTCCCAGGTTCTGGGATCGCAGGTGTGTGACTTCCACTCCCAACTCAGTTGGCGTAATTGGTGATAGGATCAGAAAAACAAAAGCGAAATATAGATCAGAAGCAATGGGTAGAGTAGATGTCTGTCAAAGTCTGCAGAAAATTTCTCCAGGGAAGAGCACGCTAGGGAAATGAAAACGGGGATCGTTTTAAGTGATTGGACACCGAGTGGCAGGTCTCAGCTGCAGCAGCTGCCTCAGGAAGACGGTTAACGTGGATACCACTTGGTGTTTTACAAACAACAGAGAGGACGTCCCGAGGGCCCATTAAAAAAAAAAAAATTCAGACCAAAGGTGGTACATACCTTTAATTCTGCCACTTGAGAGGCAGAAGGGAGACAATCTTTGTGAGTTCGAGGCCAGCCTGATCTACAGAGAGAGTTCAGATACAGCCAGGACTACACAGTGAAACCCTGTCTTCAAAAACCAAACCAAAGCAGACCAAAACTGATTTCAGATCAGCTATGCCCAAAATGTGCACAGCCAGGCAAGGCAGCTGACCTCACAGTGTAATGCAGTAAGGACAAGTGGGTTGTTTGTTTGTTTGTTTGTTTCAAGACAGGGTCTCTCTGTATTGTCTTGGAACTAGCTCTGTAGACCAGGCTGGTCTCGAACTCACAGAGATCTGCCTGCCTCTTCTGGGATTAAAGGTGTGCGCTACCAACTCCTGGCAGGACAAGAGGTTTTATTTTGTTTTAGAGGCAGGATCTCACTATGTAGCCCTGGCTGGTTTGAGCTCCCAAGTGCTGGGATCAGAAGTGTGTACTGCTGAGCTCAGACACCCGCATTATTCTTTTTTCAGACAGGGTGTCATGTAGCCTGAGCTGGCCTTGAACATGCCACTTAGCTGGGGGTGACCTCGAGCGCCTGACCTTCCTGCCTGCACTGCCCAAGTGCTGGTATTAAGATCATAAACCACCATACCCTGTTTCTTAAGGGGCAGTTGTAACGGGTGTAACCTTGGGCCTCCTTCTCCACCAATCTGGAGATTTTTTTCTTTTAAGCAGTCTCACCATAACCCCAGCTGCCTTGAGGTTGCAGGTTTGAGCCCCACACTCAGCTCTGATTGGCTGTTTGCAGTACTGCTCAGGAGAAGGAAGTCTTTAGAGAAACAGTAGCTGTGATCCTAGAGGTTTGGAGGTCTGCATGTCATGGAAAGAATACAGAAGTCTGGGATTAAAGCCCAGTCCTACCTCCTAATCTTCAGGAGATGCAAGTTTCCTTGCTGGAAGCTTCAAGCACTTATTAGCATCATCCCTGAGGGTCCCAGTCCCTCCCCATCCTTGGGAGGTCAAGCTCAACCCATTGTATACAGTGGCTTACTGTTTGTGGGTTAATATGTGCATATTTTCCTGTATGCTTCAAGATAATATCTGCAGTAATTATAACATCCATATAGCGTGCTTTGTATGTGGTTGCTACGTGGCATTGCTTAGGAAACGACACGCCTGTACATGTTCAGTACAGAAATATTTCCCACCTGAGGTTGGATGGATCCGCAGGTGCAATGCTCATGAACACAGAGGGAGGGTGGACTTGCTTCTCACCCTTTGGGCTAAGATCAAATGTAGAGGGGAGGCTGTGACACTGCCCGCGTCCTATCCAGTTCAGCTTCCTTCTGTTTTTGGTTCCCTTAAAGACGACACGGTTGACCTCTGTGTCCCTCTCTACCCCTCCCCCGAGCAACTTGGAGCCTAGAGGATTCCAACTTAGGTAATCGGGTCTGGGAGTCCGTGGCTGAGAGTGAGTCCATTGTGGGTTCAGTCCCTCTAATGTGCTTTCCTCAGGAGTACCGTGCCTGTGGTGGGTGCTTACACCTGACTACGCATTTGTGTGCTAAATTCGACTCGTTTTGCTAGGTAGGGTTTGTATTTTGTCCCTCTCCCCCCCCATGCCTGCATCCTGGGTGGACTTGGGAGAAGCTAAAGAGTAAACAGAAAAAGAGAGTGGCAATAAAGACTGACCCCTGGTTCGGGCACAGAGTCTGTGGATCGATGGGGGGGGGGGGTGTCCCGTGTATACGTTTCTCTTATTGGTTGATGAATATAACACTGCTTGGCCAATGGAGGCAGGAAGATAGGCACGATGAGAATTCTGGGAAAGGTGGGCAGAGAGAGACCATGGGAGGAAGCCAGGCTGCCTACGGAAGGAGTAACATGCCAGATTATGGGTAAAACACAGCCTCGTCACAACACGTAGATTAATAGAAATGGGTTAATAGTTAAGACAGAGCTAGCCAATAAGAAGCCCTAGCCATCAGCCAACAGTTTAATACTTAATGTAGCGTCTGTGTGTTTATTTGGGGCGGAAGCGGCTGTGGGAAAGAAAATGTTAGCAACAGTGGATAGAGCAGGGATGATCTGATATTTGACACCTGCCAACATGGTAGAGGGAATTTAGGGAGTGAGAGAAGTGAGTTAAGGTGTCCTGTATGAGCCAGCAGTGGTGGCGCACGCCTTTAATGCCAGCACTCGGGGCAGAGGCAGGCGGATCTCCGTGAGTTCAAGGCCAGCCTGGTCTACAGAGCGAGTTCCAGGACAGCCAGGGCCACACAGAGAAACCCTGTTTCCAGAAAGAAAAAAAAAAAATGTGTTGTATAAAACATGAGCGTGGACCTTTCGATCATCACCCATGTTTCTACCGACACAGAATGCCTCCCACAGAAACCGTGCTTACTCTCTCCAAGAGGATTCTTGTGTGAGAATGTTCAAAATGTGGCTCATAAGTACAGGAATTCATAACTTTGTTCCTCATCCATCTGCTCAGCAGTTCTTTTAAAAATATTTATATTGATTGATTGATTGGTTGGTTGATTGATTTGTTTTTGAGACAGGGTTGCTCTGTGTAGTAGCCCTGGGTGTCCTGGAGCCCACTCTGGTCCATGGACCACCACCCAGATAAAATATTTAGAGTGTGTGTGTGTGTGTGTGTGTGTGTGTGTAGGTATGTGTGTGTGTGTGTGTAGGTATGTGTGTGTGTGTAGGTGTGTGTGTGTAGGTATGTGTGTGTGTGTGTAGGTGTGTGTGTGTGTAGGTATGTGTGTGTGTGTAGGTATGTGTATGTGTGTGTGTGTGTATGTGTGTGTGTGTGTAGGTATGTGTGTGTGTGTGGTGTGTGTGTGTGTAGGTGTGTGTGTGTGTGGTGTGTGTGTGTGTAGGTGTGTGTGTGTAGGTATGTGTGTGGTGTGTGTGTGTGTGTGTGTGTAGGTGTGTGTGTGTGTGTAGGTATGTGTGTGTGTAGGTATGTGTGTGTGTGTAGGTATGTGTGTGTGTAGGTATGTGTGTGTGTAGGTATGTATGTGTGTGTGTGTGTAGGTATGCATGTGTGTGTGTGTGTGTAGGTATGTGTGTGTGGTGTGTGTGTGTAGGTGTGTGTGTGTGTAGGTATGTGTGTGTGTGTGTGTAGGTATGTGTGTGTGTGTAGGTATGTATGTGTGTGTGTGTGTGTGTAGGTATGTATGTGTGTGTGTGTGTGTAGGTATGTGTGTGTGTGTATGTGTGTCTGTGTGTGTGTGTGTAGGTATGTGTGAGGGCAGTACCTGAAGAAACCAGAAGAGGGCTTGTATCACCGGGAACTGGAGTTACAGATGGCTGTGAGCCACCATGCGGGTGCTGAGAATTGAACCTGGGTCTTCTGTAGGAGCAGCCAGTGCTCCAATGACAAGTCGCTATCCATCCTCCAGACTGGTTGTGAGTGCAAGGCTTCCCTGGCTTTCAGGGCTGCACCTGTGCTGACACACTGAGTAACGGAGGCAGGTTTTGCTGTAGTCATGGGTTGTGTTACCCTCTCCTCATTGGCTGCTCTGAGTCGCTGGTTCCTCCAACACTAGGTCTGGGATGTGTGACACAGAGGGGCCCCCACGATCCTGCCGTTTGCGTCCTTGCCTCCATTTAGAACCTCTCTGTGGTTGTCCCGTAGCTGAGGTCCAGGGCTTTATTTGCACTTAGCAGGACCTGGAGAAGCCCTGCTCTGCACTTGCAGGAACAGAGCAGCCACATCATCTCCCCCTGCTCTCCCTGTTTCTAGTCCGACTTTTGGAGGCAGGGTCTCTGTCTGTAGCCTGAGCTGAACTAACCCAGGGTCCTCCTCCCTCAGCCACTGGAGCACTGCAGGGACAACAGGCTACTTAGTGCCCCAGCCGTGCGGTCTTATTCAAGGATAGCTTGCCCCAGGATAGCTCATGGCCCCAGGTTCACAAATGGCCACGATGGCCAGCCCTCCTGTTACTACACTCTTTACCCGTCTTGTGAAGTGTGTAGTGGTTTTCTTGTCCTGCCAGATGTTGGGGGGGGGGCTTTGAGCGTGTGAGGTTCATGTCCAACCGCTGAACGGCATCTCCCCACCCCAAGGCACATGTCACTAAAGGAAAATGTGAAAAATACGACCTCCATTCCTAAACCTCCATTCCTAAACGTCTTCATCAGATGTGTGTTGATCCCCTCAGCCCTGCCCCCCCCCAAGCAGCTGCCATCTCAGTCACACAGACACAAGTTCATAATGCCACCTCTGTTCCCCTCTTGGCAGCTCTCACTTAACCGGACAGAGCTCAAGTGAGGGCTTTTGTTTACAGTAGCCAGGAAAAGCAGGTTTGGCCAGTAAAAGTCTTATGGGTGAAGCTGGGTCCTTCTGAGAGTGGCCAAACTGGTTCTCTGGCACCCAAGTCCTCCTTACAGCCTTAGCAGGGAACTAACAAGTGGTGGTTTTGTGTATGTGTGTACTAGATTTGTAAGTGTAGCCCTGGCTGCTCTGGAACTCGCTCTATGGACCAGGCTGGCTTTAAACGCACAGAGATCCTCCTGCCTCTGCCTCCCAGAGTGCTGGGATTGAAGGCGTGCGCCACCACCATCCAGCTGGTAGATTTTTACATTGGGGTGCTTGGAGCTTGTCTTAACTCTTCTGTCTTATTTTACCCATTGTCCTTTTTCATTTTTTTTTTTTTTGTTTGTTTGTGTGTTTCCCCTTCATGTCAGATAAGGCGATTCTGACCGTATGAGGCCCTTGTTTGGAGTTAGTACTTTGAACCCCAGGCTTGTTTTGTTCTCAAGCTGATACTGTGTTCTTCCTCTGTCTCAGTTAGGACTTTGTAAAAATGTTTTTAGAAATCAGTATTGCAAACACAAAAGTGTAGCAGTAGTACTCAGGGTCCTTCTTCCCTGGGGTTGCTCTCCGCTATGGGACCTATGGTGCCCCCTGGCTGCCGGGCCTGGCTATATGGGGCTACTGGGGTTGCTCTCAGCGCTGGCCATGTGAGGTTATGCAGCCTACAGTGCCCCCTGGTGGTTGGCTTGGCTCTTCGGGACTGCAGAAATTTGAGGCAAGGCTTTTGTTCTTAACAACCTACTCTAGGGGTGTGCTAAACCAGGGAGATGAGAAACACGGATATATTTGACGGAGGGTGGAAGCCAGTCTAGCCTGGCAAGGCTGGGGGATATAATGGGATCTTCCGTGTGTGTGTGTGTGTGTGTGTGTGTGTGTGTGTGTGTGTGTGTGAGAGAGAGAGAGAGAGAGAGACAGAGACAGAGACAGAGACGGAGGCAGGCACACAGAGAGATTACCTGCCCTGAGAAGGGCACGGGACTAGAGCAGGGGTGGTGTTGGATAAGGCTGTCTCCTGGGGCAGTGCCACTCAGCAGAGGGCCCAGCATACCGGACGCAGAGGGACGTGTAGCTTGCAAAGACCAGCTGTATCTTTGGCCGCCTACCCAGTCCTGGTTGCAGGGCTGAATCATACACGATATGCGGGCTGCGTCCTGTACGGGTGTCCAGACCAGCCCCTGCTGTCTGTGCTAACACAGGTTCCCTTCCAGCCTGAGAGGAACCTTTTCATAATCCGCCACCAGAGGCACCGCCAGGCCCAGAACGTTTCCGTTTTGTTTCTTAATGTGTTCACACAGCACGACCAGATATTAGCTCCTCTGACTGGCCCCCTTCCGGCATCTGTAGGGACTGGTCTTGAGGAGCGGCTCTGTGTCGCACAGCAGACATTCCTGGTGGCAGAGCCTGTGCCCTCAGCTCCCCAGCCAACCTCCCTGTCGCCATACCACAGTGCTCCCTGTCGCTGGCACTGCGGCACCCAGACCCCCCCCCCAGCTCCCCTCCATTTCCTCCTGTGACAGTTGAACTGCTGGTACTTCCTTCCCTGGGTGACCTGGCAAATGCCGCTTGCCAGTGCGTGCCAGGCACTTCCTGCCCCTTCGGGGCCTCGAACCCTGCAACCTGCTTCCTGCCATTGCAGTCATTTGTTCCCGAGTCTGGCTCCACCTCCTTCCCCATCCCATTGTGCTTCATTCTAGTTGGCCTAGGGGAGGAAGGCGGGAAGGGGAGGAAGGCGGGAAGGGAAGGAAGGCGGGAAGGGGAGGAAGGCGGCAGTAGAGCCTGGAAGGAGGGAAGGAAGGCAAGAGAGGACTGGGAGCCGCACAGGGGAGATAATCAGCATTCCCAGGAGAGGGGCCTCTGTCGTCACCACCTGGCCTCGCTGACAAGGCGACCTTGCTCTCCTCAGGTGTCCTCATGACTACGTTTGCGGATCATGCCCATGATCCTCTTTGCCAGCGTCGTACGGGCGAGGGATGGACTACCCCTCTCTGCCTCCACTGACTTCTACCACGCCCAGGAGTTTTTGGAATGCAGGAGGCAGCTCAAGGCCTTAGCCCCGAGGCTGGCTCAGTACCCGGGCCGGGGTTCTGCAGAAAGCCGTGACTTCAACATCTAGTAAGTGGACATACTTCTCCAGGACGTCAGCAAAGCTGGGGTCATTCTACCCACACGCTGGGGTGACGCCGCTGGAGCAGTGTAGGCCAAAGGCTAAAGGTTAAAGGTGTGACCTCAGCAGGCAGGGGTGTATACTCACGACCGAGTCAGGGAAGGAGTGGATGTCCACCCTCAGAGCCGCTTCAGCATGTCGGTCTGATCAGTCTGCTGTTGGTAGAGCGCCCTGGAGTGTGGGGAGACCTGGCTCCCTCCCCACAGCGGGCACCCCTTCAGTCAGCTTATTTTTCACTTAGATGCAGCTTAAGGAAGACGGTGAGAAGCTGCAGTACCATGCCCGGGAGGGGAAAGGATGAGACACAGGAGTCCCCCAAGCCATGTCCTTAGACTGTAGCTGAGGGCGGCCTTGACCTTCTGGCCCTCCCTACCTCCACACCCTGCTGCTGGAACCCCAGTGCAGCCATGCTTGGTTTGTGCAAGCACTCCACCAGCTAAGCCTTGTCCCAGCCCAGTTTCTTTTTTTTGCTGTTCCACAACAGGAACGGGGGGGACTGAAAGTGTGTGAGGGTGGATCTCTCTCTCTCTTTTCAAAGAACTTGAAGTTTTATGAGGGAGGAAACATGAGAAATAGATTATGTATGGTGTTAATAGAACAGGGAAAGCCCATAGTGGGTACCAGTGATGCTGATACTAGAGGCTGTGAATGCTTTGTACCCCAGTGATGCTGTGCTAGGGTCTATGAATGCTTTGTACCCCGGTGATGCTGTGCTAGGGTCTATGAATGCTTTGTACCCCGGTGATGCTGTGCTAGGGTCTATGAATGCTTTGTACCCCGGTGATGCTGTGCTAGGGTCTGCGAATGCTTTGTACCCCGGTGATGCTGTGCTAGGGTCTGCGAATGCTTTGTACCCTCACCACTTTCCTGTGCTTCCAGTGGCTCACGAGGCACTTGACAGGGTCAGGCAGGTCAGGCAGGGTCACATGCTGAACAGAGGAGGAATTGAGGTCAATCGACTTACGGAAGCTTCAGTGAGTGATAGAGCCAAGATTTGAAAGCAGCCAGTTGGAGACCTGAGCTGCCACCTTGTGGAGAGGACTCCCTGAGTTGCTGCTGGCCTCCTCCTCCTCCTCATACTAGCTCTGCAAGGCTGTTTGTGCATCAAACAGTACCCCATTTCCCTGAAAATGTCCACACCTTGGTAACCTGTGGAAAAGAGGACTATGAAATGTCCTGTTCTTGTTTTTTTCCTTTTGCTTGTTTTTCTGGCGCCAGGGATGGACCCCAACACCTGTGCACATTAGGCCAGGGCTCTCCTTGTGAGCCATCCCCAACTCACTTGCTTCTTTGTGTTTGAACTACCCTTGTCATCACAGAGGAAATTTAGTCACTTCTTTCTTCCTTTCTCTGTGTATCCCGGCTGTCCTGGCATTCACTCTGTAGCCCAGGCTGGCCTCGAACTCACAGAGATCCGCCTGCCTCTGCCTCCCGAGTGCTGGGGTTAAAGGTGAGCACCACTGCTGCCCAGCAGTCATTTCTTTTTAAAAAACAGACTTACTGTCTTGTGGTGTATGCATGCATGTCTGCACACATATGTGTAAACATACCTGTGGTTATTCGGACACTATAGCATGTACAGGGAGGTCCCATCCCCCACCTTGTCCAGGTCAGGCCTTCCTTGTTGTCCCAGGCTTCATAGCAGTCCTGCCTCCAGCTCCCATCTTGCCCTGGGAGCGCTCACATTACAGATGCTCGCCTCCAGATCCAGCTTCTTAGTGTGGATTCTGGTGGGGGGGGGTGCGTAACCCGGTCGCCAGTCTCGGCAGCAAGAACCATTGTTTGCCGAGCCGTCTTGTGAGCCTTAGTCTTTCCTTAAACTTTTAAAAATTTTAGACATGTCTGTTTAATTTTATATGTATGATGGATTTGCCTGTGTGTGTGTGTGTGTGTGTTTGTGTGCGCGCGCGCACCAAGTCTGGGCCTGTGGTCCTAGCACTCAGGAGGCTGAGGCAGGAGGCTCATCAGTTAAAGGCCAGCCTCGGCTACATTAATTTGCAGCCAGCCTTGGCTACCTAGAAAGATCTTGTCTTTAAAGGCACAGCAGCCACAAAGATGTGGGGGTGGGGGTGGGGGGATGCTCTGTTTCCTGGCAGCTCACACATCACCCTCTCTTTCAGTTTTTCGTCGTTAGGGGACGTGGCCTGCGTGGCCATCTGCTCACGTCTGTGCCCAGCAGCCATGGTCTTCTGCTTCCTGGAGACTCTGTGGTGGGACTTCACAGCTTCCTACGACACCACATGCATTGGCCTGGCCTCCCGGCCCTACGCTTTCCTTGAGTTCGGTCTGTAGCTGTCTTCTAGCTCTCTTTCTCATATGAAGTTACGTGTGTAGAAATGGAAGTTTCGGTTTGGCCTTAACCGTCGAGGAAAACCACGGGAGGTCCCACCGCATGCCCTTGATTTCATAGCAACTGTAGTGCTAACCACAGTGGCTTCCTGTGTCTTCCGAGCCTGTGGGAACTGTGGGAAGGGGGGCTGGTGGGGACGGGGTGGGAGGGGAGGCTATCCACAGGCCTCTGAAGCTGGGGTCTGCAAACCATAGCCTGCATAGTTCAGAGCTAGTCTAGACGAATCAGTGCTGTAACCTATGGGTAATAGACATCCACAGATACCTGTCTATGGATGCTTTGCCCAGGACAGGATGTGCCCAGCAGCCTCAAGTATTCCTGGAGAAAGTCCTGTTGAGACCAGCTCTGGGGCAGGGCCACTCAGGGAGGATTTCTCCATGACAAATAAGTCCAGAAGGTGGAGGAAATGTTTCCAACATCTGTGGTGATTTTATATTCCTGAAAAAAGGGTCTAAGTGGTTCCCAAGTCTGAAGAGCACAGCCTGGTAGTCACAGTGTGTGCTTACTTTTGGCTAAGTATGGTTCATTTTAAGCTCTAGGGCAATGGTTCTCAACCTGTGTGTGGGCCACAACCCTCTTGGGGAGGTTGAAGGGCCCTTTCACAGAGTTCACCTAAGACAATCGGAAAACACAGATATTTACATTATAATTCATAACAGTAGCAAAATTACAGTTATGAAGCAGCAATGAAAAAATTGTATTGCCAGGGTCACCACAGCATGAGGAACTAAACTAAAGGGCCACAGCATTAGGAAGATTAAAAACAACTGGCGTGGGGAATCAGAGAGGTGGGAGTTGGATATTTAGTCTCTGGGATGAACTCGAGCAGGGACTTGGAAGTGTTTGGTACAGGCAGGCAGGTATGAGGCCAGCACTTAGGCCACCTGGCTATGACTGCCAGAGTCCTTACCTTCCCTCAGTGGCCTCCTGCCTGGCCATTGTTTGTAGTAATATTTTTCTTTTGTGACCACCAGCTCACAAATAACAACACAGAGACTTATTATTACTTATGAAAGCTTGGCCTTAGCTTAAGCTTTTTTTTTCTAACTTTCATAACTTAATTAATTTGTTTCTATCAATCAGCATTCTATCATGTAACTCGGTTACTTTTCCTCTGTCCTGTGTGTCCACCCGTTCTGCAGCCCTTTGGCATATCCCTGTAACGAGTACGGTTTTTCCGCCTGCCGCTGCTGGTCTTGTCCTGCTGCCACGCCAGCCCCAATTAACACAGAGACTCTGTATTTGATACAATACTGTTGGCCCGGTTACTTGTTTCTTATCGGCTAGCTCTGCCTTTAATTATTAACCCATTTCTGTTGATCTATGTATCTTCACATGGCTTCTCTTACCGGGGAGGCGGCTGGCGTCCAACTCTCTCCAGACTCTCCATCTTGACTCCTCCTTACTACTTCCTATTTCCTCCTCGTCTCCTAGTCCCTCCTATCTTCCTTTCCTATTGGCCAACAGTGCTTTATTATTAACCAGTATGAGAAACATATACAGAATGACATCTCCCATCATATCCCGCATGCCTAGATTGCATGCCTAGATTCATCCCTCTGACTTTCTCTCTCTGAAGTCCCGCCCATCTGTTCTTGGCCTAGCTATTGGCCATTCAGCTCTTTATTACACCAGTCACAATAATGTATCTTCACACAGTGTCCAAATCTCCCACATTTCCCCCCCTTATCTGGTGGGAAATAAGATTCACTGGTCGAATGATGTTTATTCGGGGAGAAGTCACTTATACCTGAAACAGATGACCGCTCCGGATTCCCGCTCGAAGTACGATGCTCCGATGCTCTCCACAACCCGACCAGGAAGCAAGAGAGCGAGCTGGGGTCCAGACCTAACCTCTCCTGTGCCCATGCCCCAACAGGCGTGGTCAGTGCAACAGGTGTGGGTGGGGTGCATATCTCACTACTAGGGTAGGCAGGAGGTGCAGGCAGGCAACTTCCAAAAGGTGCAGCGAAGACAGGAACAGCAGACTACCTGGACAGTCACCTAAAGTCTCACAGCAGCTTAGCTATCTTTAGCTAAGGCCTAGAGTAACTGACTGACTAACACAGAAGCAGGGAGGGAGAAAGGCTGTCTTACCCTGACTTGGCAAGGTTCAGCAGTCTTCTGTGTCTGTCTCCTGCAAGCACAGTAGGACAGCATGCCCAAAGTCAGCAGTCGAGGTGGGGGTGGTTCTTTGCCCAAGAGGCCATAGCTGAGGAGAGGATGGACTCCAGAAGGAGGGACATCAGTGCCCATCTCTCAACCTCATACACTTTACACCTCTTTTCTGAATTTGGTAACAAAGTAAACTACAACTATAACTATTTAGTTTTCAACCCCATCAAAGTCTGGAGAAGAGTATAATATTACTGGAGTAAACAGGAAGTATAGAGTAAACAACTTCCAAGTCTATAGAAACAACAGAGACAGCTGGCTGCCTGGACAGTCACCCAAGTTTCCTCTGCAGTGTTGGGTCATCCATCTTAGGCGCACAGACCTAGAATATCTGGTAGACACTTTTGTGAAGCAGAAAATTTTGAAGAACCGTCCTACCTTATCTTGGCAAAGCTTGGCAGTCTCCTTTTATGTCCTGCAGGTCGGTCCAGGTTGGACAGCACTCAAGACAAGAGCAGTTTCTTCCCTAGCAGCTAACTTTGCCACATGGAAAGCAAATTCCATATGGAGGTTCTCTGATGCCCTTCATCCTGTTTTGAAGTAAATTGGTGCTGCCAGGAGCAGATGTGTCTCACTGTCGTGAAAAACCTTATGTTATTAAAATGCCTTAAATGCTGTAATGTTTGAAGACCACCTGACTATCTAAAGTATCTGTGTTTGACCTTGAAAACATACCTACAGAACTACAAATTTGATTGTTATAGATTATTACAAACCTACGTTTTTATTTTTTCCTAAACAGTTTGTAATAATATCCTCTAAAGACTAGAACTTTACATTTAAAAATGATGGGCATAGGTATAATACCTTAAACAAGAATAGAAACATACAATGCAGTATAACAAAAAATGACTTTAAATTTGTATCAATATGCAAAAATCCATACCAATGTAAAATATTGAAGGTTAGTAGTTGCTTTTTTAGTTTAAAAGTAGATTTAACAATCTACCCTTTTATTCTATCATTCCTGCATCCTCCTTTTTCTTTTCAGAATGAGATTCCTGAATCTAGTCTCCTTTGTTTAATTTCCTCCCTAATTATGACCAATAACAGCTTGTAACCACCCCCCCCCCTTAAATGATGGCAAACATTCATAACCTAGCAAATGACCAGGAAACACCCACCTCACCTCTTGGAAATGTGGGTGTCATGTTCTCTAGATTGCTCCCTGTCATCTGGGGGCGACGGCATCTTTAGGGAACCCTAAGAAAACTGGGACAAAGGCCAAGGCCTGGGAGTACCATCTGTGTCATTTTTTTGTTCAGTATTTTTCTATAAACACACAAACTTTAAAAAATATATATATATATATATATATATATATATATCTGCATTAACTCAAGTATGGAATGTGCAGTGTGCACAAGTCAGTTAAAGATGATTTTTCTTTTGTTCTATGTTTGAGCAGGTAGAGTCTGTCAACTTTTATAAGTCCATCTGTACTGCACAACCGGACTATAATATAAACCTCCAGCCATGTCATATGTAAGGACGGCATGTAATAGTAAGTCATGAGGACTCTGTAGCCAGCATGATTCATCATGTCTCACCCAGTCTCGGAGCTGTTTCCGTGTAGAGGGATCAGCATATAAGTCACCTGTCTTTCTAGGCTTTTCCCCCTCTTGTCCCTAACCACTGTCCTCGGGAGGTCTCCCCCAGTCAAATCTGATCTCAATTAACTTTGAAGGAATCCATGCGTTTTTGTTTCTTGTTGAAAAAGCACAGCCTCCTCCCCAATGCAACACGTTTCCTGACCTCCATTCTGAAGCCAAGACGCTCCTAAAGTATGTAAGCAGGTTTAATCCAGCAGTCCCTTCCACAGTACAGTGTCTCTCAACAGCTTACGCTCTCTGTTCATCGGCATTAAAAAATTCAAAATTAACACAGCGCCATGTAAGATCCAAACTCCCTGCATTAAACTATTTCCCGTTCTTATGTGACTTTTTTATACTACTTTGCTCTCTCTTTAAAGACGTTATTTTTAAATTGTCTATTTCTTTATGACTGCCTATACCTGTTTTCTTTTCTTTCTTCAGCACCTAAGCTCCTTTTTAGGCATACTGTACCCTTGTAGAGGTTTTCTGTGTCTGGACCTGGCTCTCTGTGAGTCCTCTTCAGTTCCTCTGTCCACATGAGCCAAGCCTTAAAGGGCCTGTCCATTCACTGTGTGTGGTTCAGCTCCGGCCACTGCCTCAAGCCCACAGGCAGCGGCCAGGAGCTGTGCTGCGGGCACTGGCCCCCTCGAGAGGCTGTGCGACTAGGAAGCTTTGTCTGGCTCCTTGTCCAGAACTTTTCTTAAGCTTTCTCGGACCCTGTGTTTGGATGTTTGAGCCCCATGTTGGGCACCATTGGTAGTCAGGTTTTACTCTTATTGACAGCCAACTCACAATAACAACACAGACTCTTATTATTAATTGTGGAAGCTTGGCCTTAGGTTAGGTGTTGTAGGAATTCATCCTGCCAATAGCTTTTGGGTACTGGCCTTAGGGTGTGGCTTCTTGTCTTCAGATGTGATCTATTAAGAGGTGAGAAACAGAGGTGGTGCCCTCTCTCGGGTCGCGAAGACCAGGTCAGGCTGTGTGAAGCAGCGTGTCCAACCTGTTCCGTTGGCATCTCCGGAGGGCCTAGATTCACCCCACTGATTTCCCCTGTCTCTGTCCCCCCTGCCTAGCTCTGGGCCACTGAGCTCCTTATTACGCGGGTCACAGCAACACCTCTTCTCACAATGTACAGATTCCACAGCAAGCCGGAGTGAATGGGAGCAGCAGCCTGTGGTCACCTTCAGGGACAGGGATGCCAGGGATGCCGGGGATGCAGGCCGCACTGTGGCGGACCCGGGGGCTCTGTTGCTGTCTTTGGCGCCTCTTCTTCCTGTCAGGAGGGGGGTGGCTCTGTCCAGGCAGACCAGGGAATTTGGAGGAGCTGAGTTGTGCCTTCTCTGTCTGTGCCTTCCCTGCAAAGCAGGGGGCAGGGTCTGACAGGAGGCCGCCCCAGGCATGACCAGGACTCCTTAGTGTGTGGGAGTGTGAGTCAGCAAATAGTGACATTAGAATTGGGTGTGACTGGGCCTCCGAAGGCACGTGAGGTTCAACTTCAGAAACTTGCTAGGCCCTGCATGGTGGTGTGTACCTGAAACCCTAGCAGCTGGGCTCCATCACGGTTCAAGGCCATCCTTGGCTACACAGCCAGCCTGGGCTGTATGGGCCCTTGTCTTTAAAAAAAAAAACAAAAAACAAAAAATAAAAACCAAAAAGCAAAAACCTTATATAAAACCATGTTATGATTTGTTAAAATGGGTTAATGGTAATATAACTGAAAGGATGCCTCCTGCCGACTCTGGGTTGCTGGGGTTGGTAGTCTTTCTGCAGCCGCACTTAATCACTCTGCTGCTGAAAAATCGGATCAGCCTAGTACTAATGCATCGCAGTCACCTGACCCCCATAACTGACTCAGTTCGGAATGTGGCTGACTTACTAGTTGCTTAGCAACAGGCCCTTCACTCCCCACACGCTGTCTTGGAGCGCCTATTCTGATGATGCTCAACTTGGTCCACTCTCTTTCTGCAGACAGTGTCATTCAGAAAACCAAGTGGCGTTTTAACCACATGAGCTCCTCCCAGATGAGCTTAGGAAAGATTCAGGAGGAGCTCGAGTTCCAGCCTCCAGCAGTGCTGTCCCTGGAGGGTGCAGGTGTGGCAAATGGCGTGCTGAACGGCCACACCCCAGTGCACTCTGAGCCTGGTAAGTGCCTGCTGTTCTCGGGTGAAGATGAAGGGCTGCGTGGCATATCAAACGCGTTGGGAAGAATACACATGGGCCCTACTTCTACACAGCTGTTATAAAAGCAAAAACAAAAGCCTTAGTGTTGGGATGGTGGCCTGCTTCAGGGAAGCGATCTGATGACATTCCGGAGTTTCCAGCCTGAGTTGGCAGTTTGTTCATCAAGGTGAAGTTCACAGGCTTGCGTGTTACGGGAACTACTGTGTCGGGAAGCCCCTCGTTGGGCCGTATGGCTTACCACATTGCTGAGACACTGGAAGCCTGCACTGGGAAGCCCCAACCCTCTTGTTGGACAGGGCAGTAGGGAAGGTGTCTACGGGACATCTAAAAATTCTGCAGTGGGGACCCCTGGGATGGCTCTGTGTGTAAAGGCTTGCCCCTACACCCGAGGTCCTGGGTTTGATCTCTGAAGGAAACTCCCTTTAGTTGTCCTTTGACCTCTGCACACGTGCCACGGTGCATCCCCTGAAAGAGCTGTCTACATGGTAATAATCTAATTTCTAAAACCTGTGTACTAAACTCCTGGCTTGAAATTTAAGTGGCATATTAAGTATGTTTGGTTTTGGCTTGATTAAACCAATGAATTCCCAGGTTGGCTCAGCTGCCAGTCAGCAAACTGCTCTAATTTACGTTGGGAGGATTCGAAGAAGGAGGCTGGGAAATGGAGCCCAAGCTCCTCCCTTGCTCTGCATGAACACAGGGATCCCTCTGTAATGTTTGTTTCCTTTTGTTTTTAACCACTTAGAAAAGAGGAGCAAATCCCAAAAGCGAAGTCACCCACATGCCTAGGACATTTCACTGCCTCACCTAATTGTCCCAAGGCTAGAGTCCTCACAGGTAGCATGTTCTTTTCTAACGGAAACTGGAATTGCCCCATGGTAACTAACACACACTAACAGTAGCATCAGCTGGGCTGTGGCTTACAGGGCATGCGTGTGCGTGTTACATGCGGGGAAACGTCAGGACCAGAAAGGATACTTTAGGGAGGAGCAGGACAGGAGAACGGGCTGGACAGCATCTGTGAATCAGTTTCCGTTTCAATGGCGACCTTTGGGAGCGAGCAGGTCTGTTCCCGTTGATCCTCCAGCTACAACTGTAGCCTGACAGACGGTTGTAGACCGAACACCTCCCCTTCCCGGGAGCTTTAGAACTTAAGAGCTTATCTGCTGTGCATTTCTCTGGGTGCCCATGAGACACTGCACATCGTCCCTTCTGGGAGGAGAGGAGCAGTTTGCAAACCGAACACTGAGGTGGTGGTGGCAAAGCTCGTAGCATCTGGACGGTCCCTGCCCGCAGCATCTCAGCCTGACCTGTCGGCATGCAGCACCGGATGACCCTGCATTGGGACATCCCATGTCCTGCAGGATGCTTAGCAGTATCACCGGCACTTGCCTGTTCTGGTGACAATCACAGGTGTCTCTGGACACCCCTCTGGGAGCAAGTCACCCTGTTAAAGTGAAAAGGCAACTGAGTGCTAGCAGATTTGTCTAACGTGAAAAGGGCCTTTTTTTCCGGGAAGAAGTTCACCTCTGTTTCTGAGATCCATTCTGGCATCCGTTTCCGGCTGGCCCTGCTAACTCCTGCTGCTTTTTAGACATGTGCTTGCAAGTCCTGTGTTTAGCATCGTGAGTCTGTTAGCAGAGGTCTAGTTGGTCCTGTCCCCATGCGCCACAGAGACAGTTCTCACAAGACACTCTTTTCTTTTCACGGTGAAGCTCCGAATCTCCGGATGCAGCCGGTGACAGCGCTGGGTGTCCTCTCCCTGGTCCTCAACATCATGTGCGCTGCCCTGAACCTCATCCGTGGAGTTCACCTGGCAGAGCATTCTTTACAGGTGATACTCTTTACATGGCTTTTATTATTTTATTTATTTTTTTCTGGTGGTCTTGGGGATTGAACCCAGGACTTTATGAACAACTCAGCATGCACCCTTTACCCCGGAGCTGCGCACGCAACCCTCTTTACAATCCAAATGGAAAGACAAGGGACATAGCTTTTATCAGGTTGTTATGAGGTTGGGGTTTTGTTTGTTAGTTTCTTGTTGTTTTTGCTTTTCTGGTTTTTCAAGAGAGGGGTTCTCTGCATAACAGCTTTGGCTGTTCTGGAGCTCACTCTGTAGACCAGGCTGGGCTTTGAACTCATAGAGATCCTCCTGCCTCTACCTCCAGAGCGCTGGGGTCAAAGGAATGTGCCACCACCACCTGGCACAGTTAGGTTTTATGAATGTTAAAAATTCAAATAGAACATTTTAGAAATTTTAATCCATAAGCTGGAGATGGTGATGCACCCCCATAATCCCAGCGCTGGAGAAGTCGAGGCAGGGAGATCAGAAGTTCTCACCCCATCCCAGCTACCTAAGAGCTCTGGGCCAGCTTAGGGTAGAGTATAAAATAAAAGAATCCGAAACAAAAAAAAAAAAATTGCTCTTTGTAGTAAGTTGAACAAATCTGGAAAGATCCCCTTGTGACTATCTTTGGGAGTTCTGGAATGTTGCTAAGAAGTAGGCAGCTTGCTACAAGGACTTTGAGCTGCCGCTGAGCCCTGAGGACCCAGGGTTCTATCGTCAACAGGATGCGGGCTGGCTTCTCACACTGTCAGGCTCTAGGAAAAGATGTTTCCAGTGTGTGGTGTGTGACCCGCAGAAGCCTCTTCTCTTGCCAGAGATGAATCGAGTATCATGAGACCCACATCCGTGGCACTAAGCAGGTGTTCCTTTTGTTGGCCACAGATGGCGAATCAACTTTCTATCTCAACACTTTCTTCAAATACTTTGTTAAAAATATTTTTGGAAATATTTCAAACATTTGTCAAAGGGATAGAACCGTTATTAGCACAAGCAGGTAGTTGTTATTTTTAAGGATAGGGCCATGGTGTTTTTGTTCAACGTTGCTTTTGGGCCTTTTTTTAAATCTTACTGGCCTTTTGATTATAATTCTGGTTTCTGATGTGCTCTTATGGATTTGGGGGCATATGTGTTTGCTGTACCTTTTCATTTTCTTTCTTTTTTAGTTTATTATTGTTGTTAGGTGGGGAGGAGTTAAGGAGCATCTGGGAGGGGGCGGGGAAGAGGATCATAATGTGCCATACGGATTTTCAATAGAAAGATAAAGCTGTAGTGCTCACTGCAGTGTTAGGTGTTGGCTAGAGACCGAAGCGCGGTGGTTTGTGGGCGCTGAACCCAGGAGGCTGATGTGGGCTGACCTTTTGTGGAGCGGCATCCGTCCCACGTTAGAGTGAGTGGTACCTGTGAAAACCCTAAGGCCGGTAACCACGTTTCGCGTGTGGTGTGGATCGGGCGCCTGACCGCCGCTTGTGGTAGAACTGGTACCTGGCTGGCACAGCGGTTAAGACAGGTCCTGCCTTGAGGTTCTGATGGCGTCACAGCGACCCTGAGGAGGTGACAGCGCCCCGGGCAGGCAGCGCCCCGGGCAGGCAGCGCCCCGGGCAGGCGGTTCTAGGAGAAGCTTAGCATTAACTGACGGGAAGAGTGGGAGCACACTGCGTGTTACAGATGTAGCGTGGAGGTAACTGGCACAGGAGTTCGCAGGGTGTGTCCAGCCACTGAAAATGGTCACACGCCAACCCTCAATCCGGCTGGGCATCTTTGCACGCTCAGTCACACCAGCGGAACGAGGACAACAGACTTCGTGCCACCGTGGTTCCCTTGAGCCAAACCTTTCCTCTGTGTGCCCCGATCTGTTTCAGGTTGCCCAGGAAGAAGTTGGGAACATCCTGGCCTTCTTTATTCCTTCTGTGGCCTGCATCGTCCAGGTGGGTGCGGTCCCTGGCTGGCTGGCTGCTCTTGGAGGCTGCAGGCAGGTGCCCGAGGGAACAGTGACACCCAGGGGTGGCTGTGACTCAGGAGAAATCTCAGGAACCTCCTAGCTTGCTCAGCTGTCAGGTTCCTGAGGGGGCTTCACGGGGAGGCCAGCCAGTCCTGGCAGGGCCTTCCTGCCTGATCTGCCCCCACGCTTCATATCTCTCTCTCTCTCTCTCTCTCTCTCTCTCTCTCTCTCTCTCTCTGCATCCCCAGTCCGTACATCTTCTCTGACACCTGTTTCATTCTCTTTGCCTCTCCTCCTGTTCGTCTGGTGATTAGCAGCCGCTGGTCCCAGCTTTGCTGTAGCCAATTCAGTTAATAGGTGAATGCATACAGGTGTCAGTTAGTGGGGGAATGCATACAGGTGTCAGTTAGTGGGGGGAATGCATACAGGTGTCAGTTAATAGGTGAATGCATACAGGTGTCAGTTAGTGGGGGGAATGCATACAGGTGTCAGTTAATAGGTGAATGCATACAGGTGTCAGTTAGTGGGTACATGCATGCAGGTGTCAGTTAGTGGGTGAATGCATGCAGGTTTTCAGTAGGTGCATGCATACAGGTGTCAGTTAGTGGGTGCGTACATGCAGCTGTTTGTGGCTGCATATGACTTGAGGCTATCTGCCCCTCTGATTGGATGTATTGTGGTCTCCTTTCAGTGTTACCTGTACCTGTTCTATAGTCCAGCCAGGACTCTGAAGGTGGTACTGATGCTGGCTTTCATCTGCCTGGGCAATGTGTACCTGCATGGGCTGAGGAATACCTGGCAAATCCTCTTCCACATAGGAGTGGCTTCTCTGTCCTCGTACCAGATCCTGACCCGGCAGCTGCAGGAGAGGCAGTCCGACTATGGAGTGTGAGGACAGCACACACAGTGGATGGGGCCTTTGGCTCCCCGCCCCCACCCCGGAAGGCCAGTCCGTTCCCACTCCTGCTTCTCAACTTCACCTCAAACCGCCACCCTTGAAGCTCCCGAGGTCACAGATTCGGGCAGGTGCAACGGAGGACCCGGGGATGAGGTTGCAGTCCAGGTCTGTGTGGAGCGTTTGTGCGGAACTGCCAGCTGACACAGGACAGGGCAGCGGGAGCTGGAACTTGCTCAGAGAGCATCTCTGGTGGTCAGAGCAGCAACACTTTGTCGTCCTAAATCAAACGATACTGCTAACGGCTAGATTCCGTAACGGTCCGTGGCAGGAGCCTGCAAGGAAACTCTCTACAGTTGAAATCATTTCCAGTTTCAGTGGACCTTTGGTGGATTTTCCTTGGGAGTGTCAGTTCAGGGTAAATTAAAAGCTTGAAAATATGGTTCATAAATATGAGCTAGGTAAATTTTGTTTACAGTTTTGATAACCTGGGTTCAGCACACCCTTGGGATATTTAACTATATTTTGGATATAAATTGAACCTCATTTAGAATGAAGGCTGAGGAGATGCTAAGGAAATCCAGGTTTATATAATTTACCCTTTACGGTGGTTGGACTGTGGATACAGATGTGGTTCGCATCTACTTTCAGGGTCTGTCTGAAGATCTCTAAACGAACAGCCAGTCTCACTGGGTCATAAGCACACGGGCATGAGCGGATGCGAGAGCTTCGGGGTCCTTTCCCTGGGGCAGAGAGGGGTGGGAAACGCTGGGGTTCAGAGGTCCTTGATGGAGTTGGGAGCTGTGTGTGGCAGCCGAGTGCCTGTCACGGTAGCACTGCCGGAGATGCTGTGGCCCTGGGCCTCCTAGAGAGGCCTCCCCATAGCACCTCAATCAGACCGAGGGCCTCGCTGTTTGCAGACAGACATTAATAGATGTAACAGCTCTGTGAGGCCAACCCATGCTGTAAAGCTAAGGTGTGCTTCTGAATAAGAGCCCCCTGCCCCTCCAGTGTGGATGCCTGGCAACACCTCAAGAAGTCATGTTGGGGTTCACCCCTCTGGCTTGTCCTTGGGGTTCACCCTTCTGGCTTGTCCTTGGAATAGTGCGCCCACAACTGTGTGGGTTGACCTATATGGTTCCGTCAGTGATCCCCAGAGTTCCCGAGTAGTGGGGGGAAGGCGTGAGTATAGGGGTTAGGGAGTCCATCAGTGAGAGCCACCAGGTGTCATTTTAGGAGCGCACTTCTGTGACCCAGAACTGGGGTGGGAAAGTATTGCCGTCGTGATTTTGTGTCCCCAGAGGAGATTCTCCTATCTCTGATCAAACCTACAGTGTCTGGGTGTGACATCACATTGGCAACACCCTTGGGCGTGAACTCCTGCCTTGTGTCTTTGCTTACCTCACACCTGTGTAATTTTGTAGGTACGGTGCAGGCAAGTGCTCACTCTGCCTGACAGGGAATTTTGAAGTGGCCAAGGAGGAAGTGAGAGAGAGGGAGGAAATTCTTTTAATTCAAAGCACACACTCAAAAAAAAAAATTAGGTAATTTAAAAAAAGAAATCAGCCTAAAAAGTGTATTGTCTTCCTCTTGAGCCTGTGTGGTATTGCGTTGCCCTGTGTCTGGAGACTCCACACACTCGAGGGTCTCAGCCCATGTTCGTCAGTCCACAAGCAGTAATGACGTCGTTCCTGAGGCTGAGCAAGCCCTTGCTAGCTAGACACCCTTCATACCCCGTAGATGTTAGTGAGGGTGTTGAGGGTGATGTCCACACTTGGTTGACAAGGCTCATGAGTTACCACCTAGACAGGGTCCCAGACTGTCACAAATGGAAGGAGGCACCCTCGAGGGAAACAGAAAACAGAAAACTTTAACTGGAACCCAGCCAAGAAGCCTCACCTCCCTGGAGGAAGAGGGGGACGAGAGTAACAAAGTCCCCGTCTCTGGGTTAACTTGGTCCTGGCCTAGATGTGGGTAGCCCCCGTGGGGTCTTCGATGCCAGGAGACAGGACTACTCCTGTCCCCCACGCACCGCCTGCCGTGCTGGCATCGTGAGACGGTGTTCAGACTGTCTTCAGGTGCTTCCCTGTTTGATGCTCACCAGCTCACAGGCTCACACACTGCAGGCTTCCTCAAGTGCTGAGTCCTCAGCTAACACCTGGGTGGGAGTGGCCTGTGTGGGCGTGGCCCGGGTGGGAGTGGCCCAGCACCCAGGACAGAAAATGTAGGATTTAGATTAGCCACACCCCCTCCCCCTCCCCCCAGTGGCTTCATCTTGACAGGAACTGGACTGCACCTGAGATTTCCCTTTTCTGGGTGGAGATAGCTGGACCATCGGGGGGTCGAGTTTCCTCTTGGTCCGGACCCCTCACTGCCCCCATGGCTGTGGTGCTTGCTGCCCGTGTGAACCCTGCAGACATGCATTGTGGGCTTTTTCCTTCCCAGCTGCTGTGCGCTCGCTCTCCCCTGCCTGTTCCCACCTGCCTGACAGCCCTTTCCCCCACACAGATGCAGGCTGAGTCTGTGGAGAGACAGGATCCCTGATGGAGAGGATGCTGGCTTTGAACCCTCACCCTCTGCCCCACCTTGGCTCAGGGCTCAGGAGAACCGGCGCTTTGCTTGCCTCCCCTCTGGGGGCTGCGGCAATAGCCAGCAGTCAGGTCCGAGAAGATGGCTGTTTGGAGCATAGGAAACCACATGAGGGCCAAACTTGCGTTCACACATGAACCTGCTGCGCCTTGAAGGAGCAGCCTGCTCACTATAACACCAACACAGCACCCTTCAACCCGTTATACATGTTTGCAATGAATGATACATTAATGAGGCAGGCATGTCCGGGAGTGCTCACATGAGAGAGGCCAGGCATGTCCAGCGTGTTCACATGAGAGGCCAGGCATGTCCAGCATGTTCACATGAGAGGCCGGGCATGTCTAGCGTGTCCACATGAGAGGCCAGGCATGTCCAGCGTGTTCACATGAGAGGCCAGGCATGTCTAGCGTGTTCACATGAGAGGCCAGGCATGTCTAGTGTGTTCACATGAGAGGTCAGGCATGTCTAGCATGTTCACATGAGAGGCCGGGCATGTCTAGCGTGTTCACATGAGAGGCCAGGCATGTCTAGCGTGTTCACATGAGAGGCAGGCATGCTCAGCAGTGCTCACATGGGAGGCCAGGCATGTCCAGCAGTGCTCACTGCTGTCAGCTGAGTCCAACCTGCCCTTGCTGAGCTACTGCTCGTGCCCGAATGTCCCACTCAGGAGGGAGCTGTGAGGGCCAAGCACGGTGGCCTTGAGAGATGAAGTGGGGGGAAGGGCCACACAGGTCAGACCGCTGGGTGTGTGCGGCAGGCGGAGAGGACGCCACCTGTGTTCAGACATTTACAAGGTGGCATTTTATACTGCTGCAGTGTAAAGGCCCCATGCCCTCATCCCGGGGAGGAAGTGGCTCCTTTCTTCCCCTGGACCTGCCGCTCCATCTCTGTGCATGGGCAGCCGTCAGCGCCCGCTCTAGGATCTGTAGGTTGGATCAGACCTCTGTCTGTCTCCAGTATCAACAAGGAGAACCCCTACCCCATCACTCCCCCACCCAGAAGCAATGCTGTCACTCTTGAGTCCCCGGGGAGACGTCAGCAGGACAGCTGTGTGTGTGGGGGGGGGTTGCTGTTCACACCTGGTGACAGTGGAGTAGGGAAGCGCCTGCCCGTGGGAAGTGATGGGCAGGTCTGTGGCCTTAAGTTAAACCCATTCTCTGTTTCCCTCTGACCCATGTTTGCTGCATTATGTGTGACCTTTAACCCTTGTGTAGACACGATCCTCCTTAGATTGCTCTAGAAATGTTATCTAATGAATACTTTTTATGACTCAACCCCTAGGATTTGATTGGTCTTAGTGGATTTTTCTAAGAACATAAAAACAAAACGGTGGCTAATTTAGGCAAAAGCATTCATCCGCACACTCATTCCCAGGGTTTGCTGCCCATATTATCATCTACTTTTCAACAAACGTCTATTTTGAGTACACGGTGGGCACCTTTTAACTTCCGCACACTCGTATAGAACGACCACATAGCTGCTCTTATCCAGCCGTTTATATACCGTGTATATTAAAATGTCATGAGGTGGATTCAGAAGTGTATGGAGAATAAATCTAGAGCGTTTACCCATGCGCGCTTGTGTGTGAATGTATCGAGGACAGTTTCGTTGGTCTGAGGTGGTCTGCAAACCACCTGACAGGTGAGAGACGGGACATTAGATCTGAACAGGTCCCTAACTGAAGTAGCAGGTGCTGGTCTGCCCTCAGGGCTGGGCTAGCCTGCTTTGTGGGCCCAGCTGTCACCTCAGACTTCTGGGCTTCTGCAGATCGGGTGAGTGGCCACCAGGAGGCGCAGCAGCTCGACACATCACCTTGTCCCAACCTGGAGAGGCAGCTAGACTTTGTCAGCCTCTGCTTTGGAGCAGCTGAGAAAATCTCCAGGGCTGGCCTCCTAAGCCATTGAGAGCTGTGTTCCCAGCATCTCTCCTCTGTCTGTTCTGAATCTCGGCCAAAGCCACTCTCCAAGATAGTCATTTGAGTTGCTGGGTTTGGGGATTTGAAGGTAGACAATTCCTGTTGGTCAGGTGTAGAAGCTAAGGCCTAGCCTAAAGAGCCAATTGGAGAATAGCCCAGAGATCTGTCCCCTGGCCCAGAAGGGAGGGCTGTCTCCATCTGGTAACACTCACAAATAATAAATAGCAGCCTTGGGTCATGACTAGGGGAAGAGTTTAGGTTGATGAGTCTGCCTTTTCCTTGAGTCCTACCCATGCAGGGGCTCTGATGACAACTGCTAAGCATGCTTGCACAACTCCAGAAGAGGAAAGACTAAGGAGAAGAGCTTGGCAGTCTCTGTGTACCAGGTCTCAGATGGAGCCTCATATGGATGGCCGAGGCAAGGTCTGGAATCTGCTGAGCGCCAAAGCGAAGACCCTCTGATCTGACGGGAAAATACTTTACTTAAAGTCATAGGCACAGCCCTTAAAAAGATTGGCAGGTTTGGAGCTGGAGAGACAGCTCAGCAGTTAAAGGGCACTCGGGGCTTTTCCAGAGGACCTGGCTTCAGTTTCCAGCATTCACACGGCAGCTCACCACTGTGTAGCTCCAGTTCCAGGGGATCTGGTGCCTTCTGGCCTCTGCAGGCACCAGGCATGCATGTGGTGCACAGACATACATGCTTGGAGAACCCCCACAGATAAAAAAAATAAATAAGTGCAAATGTTTAAAAAGAGTGACCAGTTTGATGGCAGGAGGCCCCGGGGAAAGTAAAATGAATGGGAGGTTTGGCCACAGAGCCGGAAGCAGTAAGGGTTAACATAGGAGCGGTTTGTGTGGATTGGCAAGAGGCCGCGGGCACACGTTAAGACAGCAGGAAGACACCACGTTCTGCCTATGCACTTCACAAAACGGGGTAGGGCTGGGGTGTGGCTGGGTCTGTCCAGAATAACTAGCACTTGTGAAGCTCCAGGTTCGATTCCCGTCACCACATAAGCCAGGTATGGTGGCTCAAAACTTCAGTCCCAGCGCTCAGGAAGAGGAGGCAGGAGGACCAGAAGTCCAGGTCATCCTTGGTTTATAGGGGGTTCAAGGCCAGCCTTGGCCACGTGAGACCCTGTATCAAAACAATGGAAAGCGTGTCCATGGCTGCTTCTGGGACCAGGGAGGGGTCAAAGCAGAGTGCAGGGGCTGGAACCAGGGAGGGGTCAAAGCAGAGTGCAGGGGCTGGAGTGGCAAGGGCGTGTTTCCGGGAGCCGCGAGGGGTGGGGAAAGCGGAGGGAGAAAGTGTGAGATCTCAAAGAAGGGAGAGCAGTAGTGGGCACCAGCCTGACCCCCCCACCCCCCACTCCCCCTCCCACCCCCGGAACTGTCCTCCACAGATCCAGGCTGTCGGAGGTGGCTTCCTGACTGAGGCTTTCCCACAGGAGGCACTGTGTGGAGAGGATCTCATGAGGACAAGGGACAGCTGCGGGGGGGGGGGGCAGAAGTGCCCCAAAGCCAGCCTTCCCTCCCACCCCAGAAATAGCCCGCACCCAGAGTTTGTGCCTGGGGAAGTGAAGCCAGGATGGCAGGGCTTTGGCGAAGCAGACCAGGACCACCATGGCCCAGGGGGCTTGTTCCAGGCGTATTTCCAAGGCCCCAGGGATCAGCTCAAGGGCAAGAGACAAGGGACGTGGGGCCAGTCAGAGTGAACTTTCTCACGGGACCGTCCAGCAGGCCTCACAAAGGCTGGGAGCTGTGTCCTGGAGGTGTGCAAACAGAGGGTTGGGTGCAAGGCGACCTCAGGACACGCTGTCCTGCTCTCACAGGCAGAGTCCTGTCCATCTCGTTGCTGGTATCTGAGGGGACATCTGTTTGTCTCCCAGAGCTCGCCTCCTGTTGTGTTCATCCTCGGGTGAGCCAGACACCAGCCACAGGAAACAGCCCATGCCAGCTCCCGTTTGAAGAGTAAATATTAGTCTTCTCGAGAGCTGCCCGTTCTCTGTCACTTGGCGCAGAGGATGTTGAGCTTGGTTGGGGTGGGGTACATCTTGGTCTGCATACGCTAATGGAGTCTGTGGTCCTCCGTTGATGCTGCAGGGGAGGGCTTCAGAGCAAGCCCCGCCCTTCCTCCAGGAGCTGTGCCTGTGAAGAAGGCCAAGCTGAGACTCAAGCCCTACCTCATCCCCACACCTCTTTGCTCAAACACTGTTCAAGTCTGACTTGACTTTACTTGAGATATCTGGGCCCCAGTTCTGATTTATGTGACCACAAACACACTGCTTTTCAGGAAGGGGGGATAGCATGCCCGCATCTTGCCATCAGTGCCTAGAGGAAGCCTCGGGAGCAGCCTACCTGGCCACAGAGCCCAAACTCTGGCCGCCCAACCTGTTACTTTTCCCTGTGACCATCCTCATCTGTCTCCACTATTAGCACTCCGGGGAAGGTCTTAGCCCCGCCTCCATCCTCAGCGTCTAAGATTTGCACAGGGTGAATGGTGAGCAAACGTAATGGTTATTCTTTGGGACACTGACTGTATTTGCAATTACCTAGAAGCCACGCCTCTGGGTATGACTGTGAGGACATTTCCAGAAAGGGTTAACTGAGATAGGGGAGCCCACCTGAATGTGGGTGCCTCTGTCCCATGGGCTGGGGTCTCAGGCTGCTTCCTGACTGTGGACACCAGCTTCGTCACTGGTGGACTGCTTGCTTCCTTCCATGACCTCCCTGCCGTGATGAATTCTGTCCCCTAATGCCACGAACCAAAATAACCTCTTCCTTAAGCCGCTCTTGGTATTTTGTTACAGCGATGAGAAAACAACATTCAGCCGAACGAATGTGAAATAATAACGTGAAAGCGCGCCAAAGAGCCGTGATTCCAAAGCCCCACTCCCGCAACCAGGGAGCAGCGGTGGAGACAAGGCCTTCCATCTCCAAAGGCGGTGGGGAGGAGACACCCTAGAACTGTTGGGCAGGGAAAGGAACCCTGACACAGGAGGCCCTGTCTCATTATCTGGAACGTCTTGATGAGGAAATGAAAACTGATAAAAAGAGGCGTGTGGCCCCCACTGAAACAGGAGCTCCTCCTCCCCCAACTCCTAGGCAGCCTTCAGGAACAAATGAGGGTACAGATGGAGAAAGGGGGACTTAAGCGAAGGTGAGGGAAGCCTGGGCAAGAAGGCAAACAGGAATCTGGAGGCAGGAACTGAGACCACGGAGGAATGAGACTTACTGACTTATTCCCAGGGGGTGTCTGCACCGCAAGCTTCAGTGTATAACCCAGACCCACCTGCCCAGGGCCGGCACCACCCACAGTGGCCTGAGCCCTCCTCCATCAGTGAACAATCAAAGAAACGCCCCGCAGACATGAACATGCCTGTAGGCTAGTGTGACGGAGCCAGTTCCTCAATCAAGGTTCTCTAGTCCTCGAGTCTCTAGTTTGTGTCAAGTTGAATCCCTTTTCTTGATATTCACTATCCCTCCCTGTCCTGTGTGGAGGCTGGGGCATTGACAAGATGACCTCATGACCTAACCCGCTCATCCTGGTGATCTAGATGGATTATGTTTCCTGGTGAGGCGTATCCTCCGTTCCCACAGGTGGGCTTCTGAGGGCATTGGCGGGCATCTTACGGTGATGGGGGGCACACGCTGAGGAGGGCAGCGGAAAGGCTGGGGTCTGTGGGGACGACAGTTGCTGGGTTAGCCCGGGGCTGTCACACCCGGTTGGCACCACCCTGGAGAAGCCCTTTGTGGAAACCACACAGAGGACAACCTGGAGCAACCTGGGACTCTTCAGTGTTTCTCCCGCTGCGCCACCCTGGAACTCAGGGATGCTGGGGCCCCTGGGACTGAGACAAGGACTAGGGGTGACCCAGGGGACACAGCTCCCGAGAGTATGGGGTCTAAGCGTCGAAACAAGACAGCAGCACAGGAATCAAGGTAAATAATACTTTAATGCAGCATTTTAAAATATCAAAATTAATGCAAAAATACAGGGTGAATAACGTATGAAGACAGAGTCAGGATTGCTGACTGGGTGGACACAGTTCACATCTCCAGGTAGGGCACGCCCAAACGATCCAGTCTCTGACAATACACAGGATTTCTGAGGCACGACTGTGGGATTTGGACAGCTGGGTTCAACATCATCCTCCACAATGACTCCCTTCCCTGGAATTTTGTTATCCCATCTGTCTTGTGTGGAGGCTGGGGCATTTCGGAGATGGCCCCCTGACCCATCCCTGGCCTGCTGAAGTTACTCTGGGGATTTTGACATCCTAACCCTAACCCTGGCGCTGGAGCAGGGTGTTTAATGGCTGCCAGCTGTGGCTCCACCCTCCCCCTTCCCCCACCCTCCCCCTTCCCCCAGAGAGATAAGAGCCATTCCTGTTCCCACATGGGGGGAGGGGAGCTCGCCACTGCTCATTAGAACAAGACCTAGTGTGACAGTTAGAAGGCAGGGGCTGAGTCAGACCCCTCACCCCACGCGCCCCCGCCCCCCACACCCCGCGGGGATGCCTGGTGACTTGCCCTTACACTCACTGTTTCTTCCAAGGGACTGCCTCGGTCTTCCCACTGTCGTGCTTCCAATAGGTCTCTCCTAGGAGACCCTGCAACATCGTCTCCCCTGCTGACCTCCTCCCCTTCCTGTTGGTGGCCTAACATCCTTCCCAGACATACGCCCTAGGCTCTTCTCTGCATCAACCCACCACCCTCTCTCCACCTCATCCGATAGACCTCCTCTTTGTCTCTACGGGCAAGCACCTCCAACATCTACTCGGCTGGTCCCTGACACCTGGACACATTCCCTTGGGAGCCTAAGACCTCTCCTAGCCCTCAGACACCTCTGTGATGTCCCGCCTTCTTGGACAGGCTATGCCCCCCAGTGAGAAGACAGCCTGCAAACAGGCCTTTCCCACAGAGTGGACGGAGCCTCTCTGGGTTCAGATGGGACAGCTCGGCGTCCGTACCCATCTGAGTTACCTGGTTGTTGGCCTCGGAGACTGTGGGTGGGGTTCAATTTGAAGGAGAGTGTAGGTTCCCTCAGGTTCCTTTGGGTCAAGGCGGGACTCACATGGGTGGTTTTATCTGAGGGGAGCTGTGAGGCTTGTCCGGGTATATTCTCACCACATCCTCTATCTCACTCTTGGGAACTCAGAACAGACACTTTTCTGTGCCAGCTGCCTCCCAGTGAGAGACCTACTTGACAGAATTAAGCCTGAGGGTAGTGAAGGTTGGTGAAGTCTTAGAAGTGTCCACCAGATGGCGTTAGCGATGAGTTGGCCTGAGAGCGGGCCCCACCTGGGTGTTAGCAGAGGAAGACAGGGCTGTAGCCACTCCTGCCCCTCGGCTGTCACTAAGCTAGGGTGTAGGACCCCTTTTCTTAGTCTCTCAACCAAGGCTCCCAGTCTCTCTTCGTGGCAGCGCACCCTCCACCGAGCACCTCACCTCTCAACCCTCGTAAGCAGGGCTCCAACTCTGCCTTTCCTTTCTTGAACACATTCTGGGTCTTGCTTTTATCCACTCTGTCCTCTTGGCTAGTAACTGCTTGCCACCCAGGGCTCGGAAACTTACCCCATGCCACAACACACTACTACTGCTGGGGAGACTTTGGGCCCGGTTCATGTAGGCACGGGGTCCCTTCTGGCCTTCACATACCTTAGAAGGTATTTCTAATCTGTCCTGTGATGGCTCCGAGTGGCAGCCCCCTTTGAAGGGGCCTTGCAGGCAGACCTGAGTCTCTGCTAGCCCATCCTGGCCTCTTTGCACCAGCCCGGCATCCACGTCTGGCATGCACGTCTGGCATGTCAAACATGTCAAACCAGACAACTCCACATGTTTACAAAGTGGAATGAAAAAGATACATTTGCAAAAAACCTTGGGAGCTACCTCTCACTGACCTGCCCATATTACCTGCTACGTCTAACCTCTCCTCATTTGGGTTAATCACACAGCCTCTCCTCACTGACTTGTGCTGGGACATTTGCACTGATCTAACCCTCCTGGTTGAGTCCTAGGCGACAGCGACCTGGCCATTGTAGTCTGTTTGCTGTGTTTTCAGGAATAATTGTGAAACATCCCTGTTTCTCACTCTCCTATTGGCTGTTTTGATTTGGTCCCAGGCAGAATCTGTCTCTTTCCAGCTGGATATAGGGGGTGAGGGTCACAATGGGGCCCGGTTATAACCTCTTCACACTCAGGTGTGAGTCAAAGACTCTGGGGATTTAAGCTCACATGGAAATGTGGGGCTCCTGTCCAAAGCCAGAAGGGTTTTGTCAGCTTCAGTGAGCCATCTCTGTCACTGCCAATAGTTACTGTCGCACAAGCCTGGTGCAGTTCTGAGAGGGACCTGCTGGTACCAGCTTGGGTTACAAGCTCTGTGGCTGTAAGGATGGGGGGAGGCATAAGACACTGTGACCCCCAGTGTCAGTGACACACTCAGCCACCTTCTATGGAGGCAGGGGAACTGGGGGATGAGGACAATGGCATCTCTGGCATGCAACCCCAAAAGACTCCAGCAGGTCATGGTATGTAAGAAAGTAGTCTTTATGTTGGCATTAGTGATAGGAAAAGATGCCTGCTCCCTCTGAGACTCAGTTTCCCTACCTGTGACGTCAGGGTGGCCTCAGGATTGATCCTGACCCGTGGATTCCTGTCTCTGACCCTTGCTGCAGGAGTTGGCGTGTAGACAAGCTCCCAGGGTGGGCAGCTCGCTTTTGCTTTGGTTGTGCATAAGGCTGGTGACGGACAAAGCCACTTGAAGCCACTTGGTGAGCACTGGCTGGGGTTATGGTCCCCCTTTCCCAATGGTAGGTCCGCGGACATACCAACGCTGGGACAATTCCATCCCGAGTGAGGATCACAGCACAGCTGTGGTCCCCCAAACCCAAACTCCAGGTCACAACCGTATCTGTCTGAGGTAGAGGAACTCACCCACCCGGAGGAGCTGGCAGATAAAAGCAGTACCACTCCGGGAGGGTACTGCATCCTCAGGGAGGAGTCTAATCGGCAATTCTTAACCCAAAGCGACTTTGAGGGCCACAGTGGAATTCTAGGCACGAACTGGGCAGAACCTTATTGCCCTCAGGAGTCCCAAAGCTTTGAGAACAGGCGGTTGCTTTCCAGGAGGTTGCTTTCCAGGAGGTGTATGCAGATTTTGTGCACATGTCTGGCACAGGGGCCTTTGGAGGCGGAGTCTGATGCTGGTCCCTCCCTGTATCCTCCAGGGTTGGACCTCCCTGCTCGCCAGCTCGCATGGACCCGGTCCTGGTTGCGGTTGTGGCAAAGGAAATTTGTCCAAAGGTTGGAGTTAGCAGCGCCCCCGTTGCAGACCTCTACTCCAGCCGGTGTGGGGAGGGTGCGAAGGGACCTGGCGGCCTCTGGCGGTCAAACTAGGGAGACCTCGGCTTGGAAGCTGGAGGACCGGCGCGCGCTGGGGCTGACGCGGGTCAGCATGGACACCTGCGTGCTGCACGTGGCGCCGTTGCTGCCTCCCCACGGGTGCTGGGATTTGGAGCTCCAGCCCAGGACGCCCTGCAGATGCCAACGCCGCCACTTCCGCCGCAGCTCTGCCTGCACCTAGGGGTGAAAAAGGGTGGTTAGGCCCGATACCGTGGCGTCCCAGTGCAGGCTTGTTAGGCTAGCCATAGATACTCCCTAGTTTAACTTGAGAGGTGTAGATATTGTCTTGGGAGGTGTGTTGGCACAGGGTTGGGAGTCAGAGAATCAACTCAGGAGAGTTGGAGAGAGGGAAGATGGGATGGAGGTCACAAAATGCAGTACAGGAGACCGGAGGGCTGCTGTCTGGAAAGTGTATCCCAATTCTTCATCCACACATCCACTTGACTACATTTTTGTGGTTGCAGATACACCTTCCCTCAATGTGTGACCCCCTCACCCACACCCGCTTAGCTGGACGTAGTCTCCAGCCGTGATGCGCCCAAGAGCCGGGCTCCTAACCCCACCCAGGGGTTGTTAGTGCAGCCTGTGTCCTCAGGGTACTTTTTAAAGTGACACTCTAGGCATCTAGGGGGCTACACGCTCAAGAGAACCGTTCTCGAGAGGCAACTTTTAAACTGTCCTTGTTCTCAGTGATCACAACAAGGTTTCTACACCCTGAGCCTGGGAGTTCTGGTCCCAGGCCACCGCCACCGAGATCTGGAAGGTGCTTACCTCGCCATTGAGGAAACAATAGAGGATGGCCACCACAAAGCCCTGAGGAAGAAGGGGACAAGACAGATGAGGCAAAGAGACTCCGGCCACTCCCAGCCCCACCGCAGCCTGGCTCCCCACAACCCTTTATTCCCCTGGTTAACCAGCACTGTGCCATGGAACATAATGGAATCCAAAGTCCAGGGCCCTCGGCGGCCCACGATCATACCTGGAAAGACCCCACGACAAGTTCGAAGACCATTTTCACCTCGGCCTTAAAGTTGTCAGGGAAGAAGGCAAACATGACGTAGTGAACTCCAAACAGGGGGATGAGCAGGAGCGTGGACTTGGCCAGCCTCCTGGGGACAGGGAGAGGCAGGCTTTGGGTGTGTGTGTCCACACATATCGATAGCGTGTCGACGTGTGGAGATGGTGCGGGTAGACCAGATGACCAGACCGCGTGAGGATGAACAGTGGCTCCCCCACCCCAATGTCATGCCCACATCTATTCCTGTCCCCTGTCAGTGTTCCTGCCTTCTTGTCCCCTACTTCCTTGCCTGTACCTGGGGGAAGCACATGAGAGAATTAAACTCCTTCCGGAGGAAGACCACCGAGGATGTAAGAGGAAGTGGCAGTCTCCCTCCGCCTGGTCAGACTCCCCTGCCTGAAAAGTGGGGTGATGCATGTCCAACACAGCCATATCAGAGATGGTGTCCTTGGAAATGCTTTGGGTGTACGCACAGACACTAGCCCCCTTTGGGGATGAGAACTCGGGAACGAAGTCTTCCTAGATGCAGGAGGGTGATGCGCGCTCAGCTTTACGCCTGGTCGTCCGGGTAATATGGGCAGACGTGGTTCCCGCTCTTCTGCTGGGACTTCCCACTTTCCCTGAGCCTGCATCCCTCCTCCAGAGTCCAGCTCCAAAGGACCAGTTTGTCTTTCTGCCGCCCTGGTGCCAGCATTCCCTTTTGGCATCCACTCATCTGTCCCTCCATGTGTACACACATCTCACCTGATAGCCGTGCAGCAAGCGAGGGCCATGCTTTCCTGATTCCTGGCAGAGACTAGGTCCAGGGGCGATGTGGGTGGGATGTGGACACACGTTTGCCCCTGCCTCTCCTGCCTTAGTCCTGAGATCCCACCCCAAGCTCTGCACAGAGGCACCCTGGTCCTTCCCTCCTTCTCGGGCTTGGCTCCCAGCCACACCTCTTTGGCCATGAACCCATCCCACACTTGGAGGCTGACAGATGGAGGCTTTCTTTAAATTGAAGAGTGGGAACTGACAGCCCCTCCTTAGGAATTGCCAGCACCAGCTCCCGCTTCTGCCTGTGGCAGCTCTTCCTTTCCATCCCTCACACAGACCCAGCCACGGCCAGCCTGGGGTCTGCCCCCCTGTGTTCTAGCCCACTGTAGCCGGACTTTTGGGAAACAAGGGTGTTAAGGTAAAGCACGCCGGTGTGTGCAGGACGTCAGCGGGCAAGCCCCGCAAGTTTCCTTCTGGAAAGGAGAGCGGTGTTCTGCCCACACAGCCTGCTGGGTACAGAACGCTGCCACACCAGGGATGGGAGGAAGCCTCAGCTCAGGCAGGCCTGACAGTCGCAGGGTTCCAGAATAGAATCCCAAATCCAGCGGCTCGTGACTCTCTAGCGGCGAGTCTTCCAACCACAACCGAGATTCCCCTAACAGAGGCCAGTTTAAGGACACCTAGGATCCCAGGACTGGGTGATCCTTGTGAGATTGCCAGGCTTATCTGGCCTGCATGGTGGGCCTCTGTCCTCCATCGCCACGGTGAACATCAAGGCCCCAGGGCCTTTGCATAGGCACCCCGGTCAAGTTTTGCGCATCTTTCCCTTGCCCGTAAGTTCCGATTCCCATAGGAACTCGCTGGTCTCCCCAGGGCCCAGCTCAGGCAATGGCCATTCTCTTTCTGAGCAAGGGACTTGGTGACTGACTGTCCCGTGGACACTGTGGCCCCCATGATGGTTGACACCAACTGTCAACCTGACAGGATTTAGAACGTGGGTGAGACGAACCTCTGGGCGGGCCTGAGAGGGCCTTTCTAGATGGGGCCGAGGTGGGAAGACCCACCCTGACCATTGGTGGCGCCATCCCATGGCTGCTTAAAAAGGAGGAAGTGAGCTGAGCACCAACATCCATCTCTCTCTGCTCAAGGCTGTGGCTGTCATGTGACCGGCTGCCTTACCCTCTGCAGCCATGCCTCTGCCACGATGGGCTGCACTCTTGAGCTCTGAGCAAAAACAGACCTTCCCTTCCTGAAATCGCTGATGGGGATTTGTTGCAGCAATAAAAAAAAACACTACCATGGTGGTATTCCCCAAACCTCGGAGGGTGGGGCAGTGTGCGTCTGGGGAACGTTTTATAGGGGACTCTGAGTGTGACACCCACCGACTGATGCATGGAGACCTCTTGGCTGGTGCCTGCCATGGAATCTGCTAGAACGGCTATAATCACTGGGGAGCATTGAGCATGGCTGCCTCGCGGAAGAATGGGAACACCTTGGAGCATCTCCTGCTGGACATCTGTTGTGCCCCCCTCTCCCGGTTACCAGGCACAGGCCAGGGACTGAGCACAGTGTGTGAAGAAGGCGCAGGTTTTTTACTCCCCCTAAGCTCCCTGGGGGCAGCAGGTTTGAACTTCAAGGACACTGGATGCAAATGGGAATAGCAGATGCTGGGCAGCCTGGTGACAGGCAGTGGGCGCTGAGCCTGGCCGTGGGACTAGAGGAATGGCCTGGCTTTGGGTAAGCCTAGCTGTGTGGGGGTGATGTGTCAGGGATGATCTGAGGGTCCAGGTTGGAGGTCTGGAGCTGGGCGTGCCGGGCCCACACTTACGAGTATGGGTTGCTGTCATTCTTCCCGACGTCCGGTGGCCGTAGTTTCTGAACCAGGATTCGGATGATGCAGATAAACAGGATGAAGTTCACCTGTTGAATGAGGGGACCCCAGTGTTGGTCACTTATGGGGGTTAGGGGTGGGCTGTCTTCTGCCATCCTCCATAGCATCCCTTTGGACAAAATCACCTGGGGACTCTCCTGAGGTCCCACCCTCCAACTTTACCTGCTCTAGAGGGAGCTCTGGGGGCATGGGAGGGTGACAGAAACCTGAGGTTCCTTTCTGACCTAACACCCATTTCCTATGTGTCCTGAGGTTGGTTGTCTAATGAGGGCTCAGTGGGGGGAGAGGAGGGCTTACCAAGATGGATGTGAGGATGGGGGCTTTTATGATCCACCACAGTGAGGAGTTGATGGTGTCCCAGCACCTGGACAGAGCACAGGGGGTGAGGGGAGAGTTGTCCTCAGCCCGAGACTCAGCCATCCCCCAGGGGCCTGTGGCTCTCCCCCCCAAGCCCAGGGGAGACCCCACATCTCCCTGCGGCCTCTTGCTTTGGGCTTGGTGTGGTGGCCTGTCTACCTGTCAAGCCTGGGCAGGTACCGTCATCCCCAGGGAGTCTGCCCCCAAACGACAGCTGCCAGAGAGAAGGGTTGGGGCAAGAGCTCACCCCAAATCCTCAAAATGGATCCGGACAATGGTCCATACCATGGTGAAGACACTGGGCACTCCTGTGAGGGCCAACGAAGAATGGAAGAGAGGGAAACGGGCCGAGAACACAGGGAGAGGGTTTGGAGAAGGGAGAGAGAGAGAAGGGTGGACGCTTAGGGCTGCTACCCCCAGTCACACAGATGGTTCACTGTGTAAAGACTCCAGGAGTTACTGAGGCCGTGTGCCTGAGGGCCTGGGACCAATTAGACAGGTTTTTTTTTTTTTCTTGTTCTTTTATGATTTTAAACCCTTATAGATTAGCCGTGACCCCGAGTGTCAGGATGGGAAGGGGAAATGGATGTGTTTGTCCAGGCTTTCCAGCACCATTCAGTAGCTGCAGAAGACTGGAAGGTGGGCTGCCCCAAGGTCACACATTCTGGGGACATTCATCACTGTCGGTGGAGAACCTCATAAGCAGGCTAGGGTTGCACCCTCCCACCTCCCCGTGAGCTTTCCCAGCCTCACCCCCTCCCTGGTACCATACCCCAGCCGATGAGTATGTACCCCCAGAAGTACTTCCGTTCAGAGAAGAAGGAGATGGCCAGCAGGGTGTGCAGGTAGAGGCCCTCCACCAGCAGCCAGAAGAAGTTAGCCATGATGCAGTACTGGAAGAAAACCACAGCTGCCTTGCAGCCTACCTGCGGGGAGGGGTGACAGGAGGCTCAGGGGTGGCAGGTCCCTCGATGCCCAACCTCTGGTTGCATGCAGGGGACAGACACAGTTGTGACCCAGCCAACTCTGTCACTGTCAGTTCCCAATCAGGCTCTTGAGACACACGCAGTGGTCTCCCTGTGATCTCGATTTTATATTCTCAGGCACTTTGGGCCAAGCTGGTAATTTAAATTACCCATCTGTCAATATATCTTCCCTGCGTCTTCTGGCTACAGATCCCAGTGTCTCTGGGCATGTGCAATCCTCAGTCTGTGGCTGGCTGCGTGTGGCCAAGAATAGCCATGGATGCAGTCCGACACAAAATGGTAAACTTGTTTCAAATGTTAGGAGATTTTTTTTTTTAAATTCTTATTTTTGGTAACTGGATTTTAAGGTTGTCTGGCTCATAACAACATGGTGTCACAATGTCAGGAAGTTGTACAAAGGTGTAGCCAGCACCTTCTGTCTGTCTATACACCTGCCCCTTTACCCACCCACCAGACGCTTGTCTCTTTGTGTATGCACACCATGCGCCTGAGTGTATTTTCAGCCACTCTCACACTGTAACCAGGACAGTCTAGAACCTCAGCCTTCTGCATATTGGGATTACAGGTGTGAGCTCAATCTTGGCTTTATCTGTTTACTGACCTCCCGACTCATGAAACCGCGGCCATCTATTCATGTAAAAAGGCGGCCATCTATTCGTGTACCATCCAGACAGCCACTCATCAACTGTTCTGCTCATCCATCAACCTACCCACCCACCCACCCACCTAGCTGTCTCTGCCCACTCACCTAGCTGTCTCCGCCCACTCACCTGGCTGTCTCCACCCACTCACCTAGATGTCTCCGCCCACTCACCTGGCTGTCCCCGCCCACTCTCCTAGCTGTCTCCGCCCACTCACCTGGCTGTCTCCGCCCACCCACCTAGCTGTCTCCGCCCACTCACCTAGCTGTCTCCGCCCACTCACCTAGCTGTCTCCGCCCACCCCTGGCTGTCTCCGCCCACTCTCCTAGCTGCCTCTCAGTTACCTCTCCGCTTGTTAACCACTCCACCCATACAGTGCTCCCACTGTTTTTTGAGCTGGCCCAGGACTCACACAGCCCTGCCTATGTATCCACCTACCTGCTCCCTCTAATTGCCCCATCCTCTCTCCATTTACCCTCTGCCCATTCAGCCCTCCGCAAACCCCTGCAGCTAGCCCATTTCTCCCTGCTCCCTGTCCTCCAGTGAGGATTCGGGGAAATGGGGCCCCGAGGGTGAATTCTTGCTGGAGACTTCAAGAGTTTCCTGGTCATAAGGTGTGAGTTGAGGCTTTGGAGGCGGCCCAGAGACAGTGTGGCGCAGGCCGACAGGAGGGTAGGACAGGGGTGCTGACTTGTTTTATGTCACCTTGACACAAGCTGGGGTCTGTTCAGAAGAGGGAGCCTCGACTGATAAGTGTCCCATCAGTGTGGCTGCGAGACATTTTCTTGATTGGTGATTGATGCGATAGCTCCCGATGGGCAGTGCCGCCCTCAGGCAGGTGGTCAACGGCACAGTAAGAAGGCAGGCGGAGCAAGCCGTGGGAAGAGAACTAGTAAGCTCGCTCCTCCGTGGCCTCTGCTTCGGATCCTGCCTCGGGCCCCAGCCCCAATTTCCCCGAATGGCGGACTGTAAGTCATAAGATGAAATGGACCCGTCCTCCCCACGTTGCTTTTGGCTGTGGCGTTTATCACAGCAACAGAAAACTAAGAGAGGAAGGGAGTCAGAAGAAAGGAAAAGGAGAAGGGGAGGGTGGGTCTTCCTCCTGGGTGCCACAGGAACGGGTCGGGGAAGGACAACAGGCCATCAGGGGAGACACGGATCAGGGTGCTCAAGGGACTCTGTGTGGCTTAGTTGGCATGACCTGCATAAACGACTTTTGGGCCTCTGTCTCCTGTCAAAACCCCTCCCAGGGAAGCCATTCACCTCTCATTCCCTCTACACACAGAACCTGGCTTGCCTCCCTTTCTTTCAGGCCTTGGGCCGTGAGGCATCCTCACGGAGCAGCCTTCCCTCTGCTCCCTATGACTGGGAAGTCCTTTCCTCGGTCACACTCTAGTCTCTCCAGCTGCAAGCCTGCCTTACCAGCCTTACGAGAATACTCTGCAGAACCACTCACGACAAGGGCTGGGAAGCGGGAACTGGCCGTGCTGCTGGACAAGCTCTGGAGGCTGCAGGCCTCTCCCTGGCCCTGTGCTTGGCCCTCGCTTGTGGACTTACCCTGGCTTTTCCTACTCTCTTGAGATCCCTCCATCGATGGAAGCAGATACCAGTGACCCTTGCGCTGCCTCTCTGGCCTCACTCAGAACACCTGCCCTTAGAACACAGCGCAGCAGGGACTCCTGGCTGCTTTAAGCTCTGCCCTAGGCGGCAGACATCTTTTGAGTCGCTTGAAGAGTACAATAGTTAATATCTTAACCTGACAGAAGCTAGGAGACCCAGGAGGCACGCCTTTGTTGTGTCTGAGAGAGGAGGAGTTTTTAGTTGAGGAGTTGGACAGCAGCATTCTAGGACTGAGTAAACAGGACACAGTGAGTGAGCAGAGCATGGTGTTCATTCTCTGCTTCCTGACTGCAGGTCATGTGACCAGACTGCCACTCACCTGCCATGTGCTGGACTTCACCTTCACACCTGAGCCAAACAAACCTTTCTTTCCTTACAGTGCATCTCTCAAGTATTTTGTCATAGCAATGGAAGAGTAACAAATACAGAGACAGACTTTTCAGTGCCCAACAGGGAATCCCTCAATCCCTCAGAGCGTCCCTGAGCCTCCTGACCCCAGGGACACCTAGGACGGTGGTGTGGGGATCGGCACTTTGGCTGCAGAGAGCAGAGGGTTGAGCTGGGAGGAATGTGGGGAGCGTGGGGAGTTGCCTGAGGTCACATCAGAAACTAGCGAAGAGGCAGGATGGAGGCTGTGGGCCCTGACTGTGAGGTTGTCCATGTACATTTCTTACTAACGTGAACTTCCAGACGGCCCAGAAACCTCTGCAGCTGCCGGGAGGGGAGTGGGATTCGAGGAAAGGTCAGGGTGTGTGTGGTTCTATGTGAGAGGAGGGAGGAGGGGCAGGGATTGAGAGGGAGGAGAACGAGAAAAGGCGAATGAGGAGGAGGAGCTGGAGGAGGAAGATGAGGAACAGAAGCTTACAGAGGATGTGGGGCAGGGGTGGGGAGGGGTGGGGGGAGTCAGGGTCAGGTGGGTCCTCACCGAGCCCTCAGAGCAGTGGTCCATCTCTCGGCTGTTGAAGAGAGCCATGTCCTTGATGAAGACGGCAGCGGCCCTCAGGATGAAGGACATAAAGAGATGCATATGGATGTAGTTCCGGGTACAGTGTAGCTTCCTGCAAGGGATGGAGAAGGGGCCTTGGACCACCCCTGATTGGCATGGTGCCATGCCTTAGGCAAGGTGGTGGGGAGATATGTGGCCTCCATGTTGCAGGCCCTGCCTCCAAGGTGACAATCCCCAGTCCCCAACCTAGGCATCAAGAGTGCTCCCCCTCAGCACACAGGAAAGGGGACAAGGTCGCTCTACAGGCCACATCTTGGCCATCTGCTGTTGAGGCTGGCATGGTTGGCCTGGCAGAGGCAAGGGCAGGGATTAGCTACCCTGATGGTGGGACCAACGGGGGACCATGCTGGGGCTCCACCAAAAAAAGACACATTTCATGTCAACTGCTGGGGCTGGGCCTCACCTGAACAGGCTCAAGATAGCCATGGCAACCAGGAGGCTGGCAAGGGACAGGCTGTAGCCGATGGTGTAGCCAGTCTTCACGGCACTGTAGAACTCGGTCTGTCTCTGCTGGGGGAGGGGAGGGGAGGCAGGCAAGGATCTTGGGTAGGAGTGAGGGGGGACCTCCAAGCTCTGGTTCTCTCCAGCTCCCAGACTCAGGCCTCTGGGGTTCCCCTGAGGTGAGGAAAAGTTCCTACAGGGCCACTGGGGACCTGATGACAGGCTCAGGACTGTTGATGGGGGATGGGCTGTCTGTGTGTGCTCTCCTGGGAGATGTGTCCAGGGCTTCCAAGATCAGCTGAGTGGTGACCACCGAGCCCTGGGTCTTCACAGACACGTGGACACTGTGCCCAGAGGAAGGTGGGGTAAATGGGTTCTTTCTGCTGCTCACAGGGAAGAGAAGAACCTACAGCTCCTACTTGTCAATCATGCATCTATTTTTTAAAATAGAATTTTGAGAGAGAGAGAGAGGAGCCCAGGCTAGCCTCCAGCTCCAGCCTCCCAAGTGGTGCTGGGATGGCAGCTACAGAGAGGCAAACCAGCTTGAGGGTTAGTTAGTCCAGGCTAGCCTCAAACTTATGATCTTTTTGCCTCAGCTTCCCAAGTGCTGGGATTGCAGCTACAGAGAGGCAAGCCAGCACTGGGTGTGGTCCTTGTGAAAGTAACCTGTTGGGGGACCCAGGGGATAGGTCTCAGGAGTGAGAGCCTGGGGATGGCGGACCTCAGGGTGTACAGAGGCACAAGACTCCCTTACCTCATCCAGACTAGACGAATTGTCATCCAGTCCACAGGCAATGTAGTAGGAGCCTGGCTTCAGTTGTGACCAGCCTTCCTCAGTGCAGCTACGGCTGACGTTGTGTCCTGGAAGCAGGTGACAGAGGAAGGGGTCTAGAGCCAGGAGGCAGGGTACAGGGACACAGACCTTAGTCTTGTTCTCTCCAAGCTCTGGTTCTCTCCAGCTCCCAGACTCAGGCCTCTGGGGTTCCCCTGAGGTGAGGAAATTTCCTACAGGGCCACTGGGGACCCGATGACAGGCTCAGAGCAGATGTTCCTGCGACTCCGTTTTACAAAAAGGGATTCAGCTCCCTTTTTTAGCACAGACACAGAGGCAGGAAGACTCTGGTTTGTGTGCACAGTTACCACCTGTGCTGAAACAACCCAAAGGCACAGACTGATGAGCAGCTCAGCCATGCAAACAGAAGGGCGTCACACTCTACACCTACCAGAGCACATTAAGAACACGGGGGCCCATGTCGGAAGAGCCAGGTAACAGATGTCAAACACACCAGACCAATGAAGGGTCAAACCCCCCCACCTGAACCCCATAAAGAGCTGGACACCTAACAGTAGGATGGCCCCAGGGGCCTGTTATCTGAACACCCAGTGTGTGTGCCAAGGTGCAGAGAAGGCCTCATTGCCCATGAAGTTGCAACTCAGCATACTTCCCCCTCTCGATTTTCTGTCCACCTGTCCATCATTCATCTATTTGTCTGTCTGTCCATCCATCTGAACCTGGTCCTATGTCTTTCCTCAATGGTTCTGTACCTCTGCCAGACTGGACACTGTGTCTGGGCTCTTCATCTCCAGGAGCCCAACGGAGCTCTTACTAACTTACCTAACTACTGCCAGCTCTGTCTTTGATGAGCCTCTGTCTCGAGAACGCTGGGGTGCAGACGCACCCCACATGTCTATGTTTATACAGTTGCTTTGGATCTGAACTCAGGTCTTCATGCACACACAGCAAGAGTTATCCCCCTAGCCTTCCTGAAGTTATTTTATCCAGCCCAAGTGGAAGACTTCCTTCTAACCCTTGGATTTTTATCTTCTGTACGAACCAAGATTCTGTAGGGAGAATGTTTCCCCCAGCCCTGTTACTCCAAAGGACAGGAGTGGGGGGAGGTGGCCTCACCCTTTATCCACTCTTGGGAATGTCCCTCTTTGTGGTGATATCTTGTTTATAAGATCATAACGGGGTCAAAGGCCAACTGCTCCAGTCTCTCCTGTGTATCCAGCCACTAGCCATAGTCTCCCGTTCTCTCCATCGGCGTCAGAAGTGGGCTATTATTAACTGAGTATTGTACTATTGACTGACTAACGATAGTAACAACAACAACAACAATAGAGTTATAGAGGTTTGCTGCATTTGCTCTTCGCTTTACAAGGTCATCTGGCTGTTGGGTCCCAGAGGCTTAAATCCTCATATTCAGGTTGTGCCTAAGGAAAAGCTAGGCTACCCTGTTCATACCCCAGACCCTCATCACTGGTGTACCCACCTCCTCCCTTCCAGAACCTCTGCCCTCGTAGTACACATTTGTTTACTGCCTCGCTTAAAGGTGTCTCCCCGTTAGTACCATGACTCCCAGAGGGCAGGCAGGTGACAGTTCCCAAAGTCCCTTCCCACTGTGTAGCGCAGAGCTTGAGGTGATGGGAGGTACCCCATCTACTGACTGAATGTGGGCTGGAGGTCCTGAGGGGACCCCCGTCCCCTTCCCTTTCGGTCTTACATGTGACTGTTCGATCAAATAGAACATGACAAGTCATGTAAGCAAAGCTGTAACGGCGGTTTCCTAGGGCCCCAAAGGTCATCTGTTCCAGGCTGTGACAGACTGAGTCACAATCAAGACAACAAGAACATGGGAGGTGTAACTCAATCAGACCTGCCGGTCAATCAGTTATCAATTGCTGAGCAAATATTTAGTGAGCCCTTCCCACATGCTTATCTCCATGCGAAGAGCTAATCAAATCCCACAAGTCCTATCAATGCCATTCTTGGCTGTGAAGCCCCCCAGATTTCTCTAGCCCCTTGGACAGATTTCTTATTTCCTTAAGTGGCAACCCCTTCGCTGGCCCCGTTCACAACACACAACACAGGTCCCAGCTCCTGGTCTTCAGCCCAGGCCTCTTACCATGAATGGGGGAGAAAAGCTGGAAGATGAGTGGACAGTCCATGACCACCTCCTGGCCCCGGGGAGTAGTTGGCCAGCAGGTGAGGTTGTCCCACATCTTGCTGCAGCCTGTGGGGTGGAAGCAGAGGGCATGATGTCACCAAATGGGCATATTGACCACCGTCTTCCTCTTTCTCAAAGGGTCTCCTGTCCGAGTGGAGATCATGCCTGCGCAGGCTGCAGAGGTCCTGCTCTGGTGGGAAGGAAGGAGGGTCCTCTCTCCGTAAGGGATGGAGCTTCCCTACATGGTATCGTTTATTTATTTATTTATATTTATTTTAGACGCGGTCTTGTGTAGCCCAGGCTGGTCCTGAGGAAGACCTTGAACTTCTCATCCTCTTGTCTCTACCTCTCGAGTGTGTGCCACTGTGCCCAGTTTGCATGACGCTGGGGATCAAACTCACGGCTTGTTGTGCATGCTAACTGCCCACTGAGCTACATCCTCATTTGACTGGCAAGCAACAGGGATGCCAGGCAGGTAATCTAGCTGGTTCTGCCCAATGGAAAACTGTCTCTCATTCGGGATGAGCGACTGGGCACTTGCGTAGGTGTCGGTCTTTTTGAATGACAAGAGCTGAGGCTTTGGCATCCAAGTACCCAGAGCAGTGGCGTTAACTCTGCCGGAGCATTCTGGAAAGGCAGTCCTTGAGCAAAGGGGACAGAGCCTGCTTTCGTTTTGCTCTGAACGTTTGTTTTAAGGAGAGCTGGCCAAAGTGTGAGAAGGTCATGTCACTTACTGTCATGCCTGCCTGTGGTATCTGAGCTAGTGGCAAGCACAGCTGTATACTCCAATCCACATTTACAGCTCTCTCGTTCCCAGAGCTCATATTTATAGGCACAACCTTCAGACTGTCTCCTTTACCTTTTACTGCCATCACGCCTGCACATGGCATTTGGCGATAAATCACTCTCCACTCTGTTTTTTTTTTTTCCCTCTTTTATAGAGCGTCGTATATATTTCTAGCAGCACAATGAGCGACCTTCATTTTTATGGTTTGTAAGAAAACAGACATTTAGATTTCAAAATCTTATATCACCCAATTACCGGCAGCAGTTTCAAGCAGTTAAACCCCACAGTTTGAGCCTGCCTTCCCAACACAAACAAGGCTATTAATCCACGTTAAAAAAAAAAAAAAAAAAAAAAAAAAAAGCAAGATCCGTCCCTGGAAGCTCTGTTAGAGACGATCATTTTTTAAAAACACAAGTGTACATCTTCTGATTTTGTTTTGTAATGGTAAAGGCAGTACTGGAGATGTTCCCATCAGATGCTGTGTAACAATGGAGCACAGGGGCAGCGGCTCTTTACAAAAGAGCTTGCAAAGCATCGCAGTCTGGTTAGTGTGGATGCCAAGCGGGGCCTCCAGGGGGACACAAAACTAGGTGTCCCTGGGCTTTCCTGAAGGAGGCTGTCTCTTGCAATGCTGCCAACCCTACCGATTTGCTCAGGAAACCCAACCCCAGAGTCAAAGTCAATGCCAGCTGGGCCAAGCCCAGACCAGCCCAGGTCCGAAGGTTCACAAGTTCTCAAGAAGGGGGCCCGGGAAGAGGAGGTGGAGGGATGCACCCACTTTCGGGAAGAGCCTCCAGACCCTCAGTCCTGTGGTCATGTGGCAGCCAAGGAGGGGAGTGGGGTGTAGGGGGCGGGGCCTCCTGGGCTGCAGCAGTGAAGCTGGTACCTGCAGCCAAGGCTGAGGAAGTCACCCAGAGCACAGCCTCTCTTCCTGTGGGCTTGACATGTCCCTCACCTATCCCGAGTCCCACGGTGTGCTTGGCGGTCCATCCTCCGCTCCTGGCAGGACGTATAGCAGCCCCTCAGGCTGGGTAAATCTGCTCATGGTTTATGTACGCCCTGTTTCAGTTAACATCAGCAAGGACTAGGTTTGGAATGTCCCAACATTGTTTCAGTCTCCAAATAACTAGCTTATATAACCCGTCCATTTCACAGATGAGGAAACGGAGGTAAGGCGGGCAGGATGAGGTGTGGCCGAACCTCACGCCTATTCACACACTCCTCCCCTGGTTTCAGGGCTCGGTAGCATTTCTCTGGGAAACTGGCCGCTGCTGGACTTTATGTACCCTTGCTGACAGTGCTGGGCACACCCTGTTTTGCGGGCCAGCTATTGTGTCTGGGTCTCTGCCAGCCAGACCTCAGGCTTTCAGAGTTGCCAGCCTGAGCTGGAGTTGGGGGCAGGGGTGCTGGGTCATGTGCTCAGCTTTACTAGAGGTGGGACAGCAGAGAAGGGCACTTGGCTACGTGTGCCCCGTTGGGACGCTGCATCTGAACGCAGAGAATTGCAGCACAGCCAAGGCCATTCTGTGAGCTGGTGCTGGGCTCAGCTCAGCAAGCAGACAGGGAACCGAGGAAGAGGGGCCTGTACGGGTACAGGTTGGGAAGCTCCTTGTAGGGGGCACCTCAGGGCTGGTTTTGCTGGGGCAGCTGGGCTGGGAAGCATGGAGGGATGATGTCATGAAAATGCTTGGTTTCTAGAAATGACTGTGTGTCTGGGAGACTTCCCCATGTGCCCATTTAGGGCTAAGATCCCAAAAGGAAAACCAACTAAGGCTGAGATGGCAAACAGAGAGGCAGGCAGGCACAAAGTCCCCGTTAAGTCAATTTTATATAATTTCCTATACATAACGACACACATATGCACTTCCAGAAATACTGATCCCAGACACACATGCAAACACACATGAATGGGCATGGGAAAACCACCAAGTGAGCAGACACGGAGAGGAACAGTGAACAGACTGACGCGCTCACACACACACTCACACACGGACACTCAGAGGCAGGCAGAGTGGTCGGCTGGAGGGCCGGGCGCAGCCTCAGACAGACACGGGCCGGGGGTGGCCACCTGTGCCCCCGTGGACGTATACAGAGCCTCAACAGCAGTTAGGGAAGATCCAAAATCTGCACACCCATGCCTGCCTTCTTCCAGATCTCAGGCCCGTTGTTGCTGTGTACAGGGTGTTGGCACTCCACGGGCAACCTGTGCCAGCAGTGACCTCATTGGGTTCCTGAGGGTGGCCAGTCCCCACTCTGGGGACAAGTCTGGAGAGGAGCTTTAGTGGGGCCCAGGGCCTGGAGTCTGGGCTCCTGGGGTTTCCCCCGTGATCTTGAGGCCTGCTGAGACCACTCTGTAGCTTGGCAGCAGAGGCTGGGGCTTATAGGCAATAGGCAGGTCTAGTTCTAGTTACCTACTGACCCAGGCCTCGGTCTCAGGGTCACAGGAGTCAGGGGCCATTCTGCCATAAAGTACGGCTCAGGCCAGGCCCATCTGTGAGAGGACATGCCCACATACACTCATGAGCACAGGAGGCCTTTGCACCCAGGTAAAGGAGGAACCTGAAAAGGTTACATAACAGCCCCAGAATGGTGCCGGGAGCCAGGAGGCAGCGAGCTGGACAGGTGCTCCCTGCTCCCATTGAGGGTAGGACTCATGAGGGAGGTCCAGCTGCCTTTCTGCCTCTGCCACACCATGCTGGCTGTCTCCCAATGCAGTGAGTCGTGGCCCCCCATCCTCTCAATCCCTCTGCTTCCCAAGCCCTGCCCACCTTTTCAAATTTGCTCAACCCTGGGTGACCAAGCCAAGTAGATCGAGCTCTCCTTTGTCCTGATGATCCCTGCAGGGTCTGGCCAGTTGGTTTCATATGTGCTGTAGGTTAAGCCAGGGGTCAATCGTGCTCCCACAGGATTCGGGGAGAGGCAAGGGTTCATGGAACCCACCTGACTCATCATGGAAGTCTCTACCATTGAGCACCCTAGATCTTGTGGCTGGACCCTTAAAGGCAGAACTAGCTGGGCTTTCAGAGCCATGGTTCACCATGTCCTTGCCAGATTAAGAGCTGGGAACTCCCAGACCTGGGTGGGGTCAGGAAAGCATGGAGGCCTGTGTTCCTTCTGCTGTGTATTCCCTGACAGTTGCGGGAGGCGCATGCTTCAGCCTGGGCTGCTCACATGAGGGAACCTGGGATTCCTCTGCCTCCACCAGACTCACCTGTGGTTTCGTTCTCCAGCTGGGCCTCCTCCAGGCACTGCTGGCGTTGTATCTCAATCATCTGCAGGTACTCACACTCCTGCTGCGGGCTGGCTGCCCGGCTGCCCTGAGGACAAAGCAGACAGAGATGTCAGCCTCATCCACAGACTCGGGGACTGAGCCGAGACGGCCAAGGCGGAACCAGCTCTCATCCTGAGCATCTGAGTTCCACACTGGATGTTCACTGTAGCTTCAGACTGAACCTCCACCCCAAACCTCAGTTTACAACCCATCTTAGCCCCAGACTGAACCCATCCTAGGCCCAGATGAGCCCTTATCCCAGCTCCAGTTTGCAGCCAACTACAGCCCCAGGCTGCATCTTCCTCAGGCCTAGGCAGTTTTCTCCCTGACCCCTGGATTCTGCCTTGAGGACAGTTTCAGGCCTCTTGGCTCCCAGCTGCCGCTCTATGAATCCTAACTCTGGGGGGAGGCACAACCCCAGGTAGAGGTCAGAGAGCTTTTCCCTAGAATCTTGAGCTGATCACTAGTCTCTGCCACTCTGTCCCATGCTAGTGATTCCCCTGTTGTAGGATGTTCAACACCATCCTCAAGCTCCTGGGGCCAAGCCGGGGCAGAACAAAGGAGTCTGGCTGGGCTGCAGCATCTCCTCCATCTGCAGAGTCTCTGTTCATGAAGATGGAGCAGGAATACTGACCCTTCTTGCCCAGACAGCGCCATCTCCTTCACCACAGAAAAATAAAAGCTAAAATGGATTCCACGAGGACCAGGGAGGCCTCCTGAGCCTCTGGAAAGTCGGAGGGGCATGGAGAAGCCCTTGCTTCTTCTCTCCTGCTCGCCAGCAGGGCTGGGGGTGGGTGTGGGTGAGGGGAGTGACCTGGCCACTATGTCCCCTCCGCCCTGATAGGTTTCTTATTCCCGTGACTCTCATTTCCCAGGTCACCAGTGGTCCAACCGGCCCTTTGTCCTAGCCCAGGTCCATGGGGAGACCCCCTCCTCCACATGCCCCTGCCATCCAGGCCTCACTTGTCCAGGACCGGAAGCCACATTTGAACAAAGGTACCCAGCCAACAGGGATCCGGACGCGGGCTGCTAAGTCCTTTTGGGCTTGGTGGATGGAAAGCAGCATGGATCTATCATGGGGCATCCGGCAGCAGAACCCAGGGCCTGTGTGTCCCCTTGGGGATCATATGCTCCACCTCTTTCAGCTGGGACACTTGTAGAGATGTGGCTTAGGGGATCCGTGACTGGCGCATCCTCAGGTGTGGGAAGTGGGGTAGTCACGGCCTCCCAGAGGTGACCTCTGAAAGAGGCAGTCGGGCGGGCCAGCCAGCTGCCCCCCACCTTGCTCCTGTGGGAGCACACACACCTCCTCACTATGCACCCTCCCAGGCCCAGTCTGCCAACAGCCACATGCCTTCGGAGTTTTGTCCCCATGCCCTACTGACTCTCAGGGTTCCCTCACATTTTCACCTTCTGTCACACTGAGCTGAGCCACCAAGGCAGGGTGTGCCGCGTGGATACCCGGCTATTTCTGTGCACATGCACACCCAGAAGCTTTCCTGTCCTCTGGTGCCAGGGTCTCATTAGAGACAACCCCAGCCCCGTCATGGCTCCTGGTGAACGCTCTTGCAGGCACCGGTGTGAGCAAGATTTTTCAGCAGTCCCAGACTCAGTGCCTGGCACCTGGCCCAAGCCAGGCTCCTCTGAGACAGAAGGTTCACACTCTTGGGACTTTGGATTAAGCTAGGAGGCAAGTGGGCTTAATTCTCCCCACTGGTTTGGAGAAACCTCAAAGGACCAGAGGCTGGGACTTCCGTGGTAATCTTGTTGACAAACAGAACATGAAGATGAAGGCCACTGAGGGGGTGGCAGGGTGGAGACAGAGGGAAAAAAAAACCCAAAAGACAGAAATGCTTGACAGTGAAGGCAAGCTATGTCTGAAACCAGATCTTCCCACAACATGAGCCAATAGCCTTGTTTTTGGCTTAAGCTATTTAGTTTTCCTATCTCAGGACCCCGAAGTGTCCGTTCTTGTGGTCTGAGGACCGAGCAATGGCTGTCTCTCACTTTGGGGGGTCTTTTTTTTTATTATTTTATTTTTTTACATTCCAGTCTCAGCCCCCCTCCCCCCTCTCCTCCCATTCCCTCCACCCCTCATCCCATCTGCTCCTCAGAGAGGGTAAGGCCTCCCCTAGGAAGTCTAAGTCTGTCCCATCATCTCACTGAGGCAGGACCAAGGCTTCTCCCCACCCCCACACTCCTGTGTCTAGGCTGGGCAAGGTATCTCTCCATACAGAATGGGCTCCACTAAGTCAGTTTGTGCATTAGTGTTAGATCTTGGACTCACTGCCAGTGGGCTCATACATTGTCCCAGTCACACCATTGTCACCTATATTAAGGGAGTCTAGTTCGGTCTTATGCAGGTTCCCCATTTGTCAGACCTGAGTCAGTGATCTCTCTCTAGCTTGGGTCAGCTGATTCTGAGGGTTTTCCCATCATGATCTTGACTCCTTTGTTCATATTATCGCTCCTCCCTCACTGTGATTGTCCTCCAGGAGATTGGCCCACTGATTAGTTGTGGATTTCTGCATCTGCTTCCATCTGTTTCTGGAAGAGGGTTCTAGCTTCTCTGAGGCTGGGTATCTTTTGCTTTATGTCTGGCATCCACTTATGAGTGAGTACATACTATTATGTCTTTCTGGTTTGGGGTTATCTCACTTAGGATTTTTTTTTCTAGTTCTGCCCATTTGCCTGTGAAGTTTAAGATGTCATTATTTCTTACCACTGAATAGTACTCCATTGTGTAAATATACCACATTTTCTTTATCCATTCTTCAGTTGAAGGGGCATCTGGGCTGTTTCTAAGATCTGGCCATTACAAATAATGTTGCTATGTACATAGTTGAGCAAATGTCCTTGTGGTGTGAATGTGCCTCCTTTGGGTATATGCCCAGAAGTGGTAATGTAGGGTCTTGAGGTAGGTTAATCCCTAATTGTCTGAGAAATGTGCCATACTGATTTCGACAGTGGCTGTACAAGTTTGCACTCCCACCAGCAATGGAGGAGTGTTCTTGGGGGGTCTTCTTAAGCCAGAGTAATGAGTACACAGATTGCCAAATGGTATTCCATATTTGTGTGTGTGTGTGTGTGTGTGTGTGTGTGTGTGTGTGTGTGTGTGTTCCTAGAATGTGCTAAACAGACTGGGTTGGCTGGTTTGCATGCCCCAGGAATCCACTTGTCTTGGACTCCCCAGCACTGAGATTTCAAGTTCCTGCTAGTCACTCAGTTTTTTGTTCTTTCATTCCTTTATTCCCTCCATTCTTCCTTTAATTTTAGCGTGGGTTCCCAAGATCTAACTCAAGTGTTTGTTCTTTCAAGGCAAACAGGTTAACATCAACCATCTCCCCAGATATTCCTTTTTGAATCACTATGGGATACCTAGTTCTTAGCCACTTCTGCCTACTACTCTTTAATAAAATTCTGGCTGACATCATGTAACTGTCCCTCCAGAAATACTGCCTTGGAGCATGGTTTTGAGTCAGAGAGAGGAGAGGGGCATGGATCCAGGAGCCCCCAGGGTGATCTGGAATCCTGGATAGCTGTGAACCGTGAAGAGGTATGGGATCCAGTTAGTTAAACTGCCAAAATTTAGTTGAATAAAACAACCCTGTCTGGAAGAATGTAGAGGAAATAGTGACCCAGAGAGGGACTTGAGGTCACCCAGTAAGTCACATCCTAAGATAGGACCCAAGTCTTTGACCCTAGTCTGTGTAGCATCAATCCTTTGCCAGAGATTTGCCTTTGGCCATCTGGTCAACCATGGCCCTTGGGAGGACAGAGCCAGGGCAGCTCCCTCTGGCCCTTATCACTGAGGAATTCAGACAGACCCTGTCCTGCTTGTTCCTTTTTCTAAACATCCTCATTATCCTTCTGGACTCCAGACATACAGTGGACATTGGAAAATTCCCTGGGCAAATAGAGCCAAGTTTGCTGCTCATTGGACAAGCTCTGGGGTGGGATCTAGGTGGATCACGCAGGGTGTTTATACAGAATGTGGAAAGAGTTAGACAACCAGGGGTGGAGTGAGCATCCCAGGGTACACACAGGCTGGCAGACATAACTCCCCACCATGTCTGAGGTTGCAGGGAGACTTGTATAGCTTCTGTGAGGACTTCTAGGGACATCTTGCAAGGAGTCATGGAAAGAAAGCAGGGACAAACTTGGGAAGGGCCTTGAATACCCATTTTGAAGTATGACGTTTGACTCCTGGGCTATGGGGGACCCTCAAAGATGTGGTCCAGAAGGGTGAGGGTAGGGGACGAACACTTTGCAAAGACCCATCTCATTATAGGTATTTGGGTACAAGGGAACAAGAATCTCTTGGGGGACAGGCGGCCTCTGAGGGGAGTATGAGGTGGACTGATTCAAGACAAGTGTGCTGTCTGCAGAATTCTAAGCACTAGGAGTCACTACGAATGACTTGTGCTGTTGTGACCTGTCACAGAATTTGGAGCCATCAGAAGAGGCAGGGAATCAGCAGTAGCTGGTAGGACACTTCAGGTATTTGGTATCTTCCCCATTGTATTAGCCCCATACAGAAACCATCACGCATACTGACATTCACTTAGGTCCCTCCACCCCTGAACTCAATCATGTGATGACAGGCACAGAGGGAAACTGATGACCCTGGAAAGGAGAAGCTCTGTAGACGACTAAAGACCTCACCTTATTGGTGAAGGCATGAGAAACCCCAAAAGGAAGGTGTAGTAAGTTGACATATGTGGTTGCCACACCAACACACACACACACACACACACACACACACACCACACACACACACCACACACACACACCACACACACACCACACACACACACCACATACACACACACACCACACACACACCACATACACACCACACACACATACCACACATATACACACTCACCAACACACACCAACTCCCATCACACCCCAACACACACCACACACATATACCACACACACACACCACACACACACACACACACACAGAGCATACACACACCACCATACACACCAGCACACACCAACACCCATCACACCCCAACACACACCACACACACATACCACACACACCACACTCACACACATACACACCACACTCACATATACCACCATACACACCAGCACACACCAACACCCATCACACCCCAACACATACCACACACCACACACACATAACACACACACACACACACACACACACTTTCGAGAGCTAGACTCTCAGCAGAGACACCCAGCCTGCTCCACCTCCGGCATTTGTTGGGAAGTCTCCTCTGGGGCAGGAAGCCTTTCACAGAGTACATATTCAATTGAAATCTTCTGTGTCCTGGACACCCTGGAGGAAGAGGACCCAGGATCTGTGGGTGCTGGTAGTGTTAATACCACCTGCAGTACACCCAATACCAACCATCCAAGGAGCCCAAGGCTGCAAATCTTCAACAGCCTGTGGACTCTTCCCCTCCTCCAATGCCCTGTTGTGCAGGAAGAACTTGTTTTGAAGGTGGCAGGAGGAGGTGCTTCTTGAGAGATGTGGATCTTAGTACCTTGAACCACACAAGACAGAATGCATAGAGGGCGGTCCTGCCTGGGGAAGCTGCCCAATGCTCACTGCCAAGGCACCTCACTATTACCCCAAGTGCCTGCCAGCTGGCTGTCTGACCCCATCAGTCAGACAGAAAAGCCACTGCAATAAGACAACCCTCTGAGAATGTCACTGTTCACTTTGTGATGCTTAAGTGTGGTTAGAGAACATTTCGGTATTGGATACGGGAGAGACTAGCGTGTGAGGCGTGAGGATATCATAGCTATCCAGGAAAGTGGTCTTTGATTTCAGAGATGCATTTGGGACCAGGGTTAATGGCCAATATTCTTCTAATTGACTTAAATTTACTTTAGCCAAAATAAACAAGTGATGTAAAAATTAAACATTGAAGTTACCCAATGTCAAACTTAAGGAATGTTTGTCTGTTGATTGTACTATCCTTTCACAGGGATTTTTAATTTCTTATGTGTGTGCACGTGTATCTTAGCATGTCCATCGCATGCCTGCACAAAGAGTGTACAAGAGGGCTCTGGATGCCCTGGGGCTGGAGTTATAGGTGGGGTTAGTGTACCAGTAACGGTTTCCTGCAAAGCAGGGCGTTTGCTCTTCAGCCACTGCAGCCATTTCTCCAGTCCCTTATTGTACTAACCTTACTTGTTTATTTATGTGAGATAAGTTTTCACCGAGGAGTCCAGGCTGGCCTTGAACTCAGCCCTTCTGCCTCAGCCTCCTGTGGGCTGGAATTACAGGCACTCACAGCTTTATCACTAATATTCTTTCTACTTGTTTATGTTTGCAACATTGTTTACGGTAAAAGGAAGAGAAGCCTATTCATGGGGTGGAGAGATTAAACTTCTCTTCACAAGCATTGCCGAGAAGCAGGGGAGAGTTTCTATGTACTGTGGCTCTTCCTGCACACAATGTTGGGAATCCAAATGGGAGGGCGAAAGTGTGAGAGGCGGAGAAAAGGCCACCGCTCACTTTAGTCCCCAGCCTCCAACCCTTACCCATGCCCTAGCAGCCGCAGTGAAGGGGTTGGTAATGGCAGGAGGGTGGCTGGGTCGAGGCCCTGTGCTGGTATGAAAACACAAATCGGATTGCCCTCAAGGGTTCCCTCACTGTGAGATGCCCTGCCGACTATTGTCAGCCTCCTCTGAGAGGTCTGGCCACCTCCCGAAGACACCGCATGAGAACACCCCACCCACTCCATGGATCCTGCCTGCCCTGTCTGGATAAAGGGTCCAAGCTCAAGGATCAAGGAGCAGGGATGACTGTCACACCGGCCACACAACAACTGCACTGCCTTTTCCTCCCTCAGGGGTCACAGAGTTCACACAGGGCCGTCTGGACATCCAGCCCTGTCTCATTTGGGACCTGGGGTTCAGAGAAGATCGGGCCCCAGCTAGAAAGTGGGGCTAGCTCCAGCCCTGCCCTGCCTTCCCAATTCTCCTTCACACTGGGCCAAGGGCCCTCTTGTCCCCTCAGAGAGGCGGAAACCGGGTTCTTCTATGGAGATTAAGATGCTTCCCAAGACATGGCTGTGGGCCAGGACAGGGTCTAAGTCTCCTGTCCCAAGCTGTGACCCCAATGTAAAATACAGAAGCCTCAGAGGAGGCTAGGCCTCCAGAGTCCGGGAGAGGGGGGCATAAACCTCTGGAGACTTCTGTCTTTCAGGGGGCCCCCGGGGGGTGCTACGCAGGCATAACTGAAGTTGTCTCTAGTCCAGAAAGGTAGCCGAACCAGGAGCCACCATCTCTCTTAAAGTTCACAGTAAGGCCCGCTGAGGCCAGAGGCCTGGGCAGTAGTGGGAGGTCCCTGGGAAGTAGTGGCCAGGAAGTACTCCTCCAGTGAGGTGTGACCTTCCGAAGCAGGTGATTTCCAACTGTGTGGGGAACGAGCAGCCAGCCTTGCCCTTCATCCTAATTCATTCGGGTTCTAATGGAACCCAGGACTCGGCTTCTCTCTTCCTTCTGGGGCCAGGCAAGCAAAATTTGTTTTCATAGTTTGTAGTTAAAGGTTGGCCAATGTGGCCAAACTTCAGGGCACTACCCTACTTCTTTCAAGGGGTTTCCCTGTCATCCGTCCGTCCGTCCGTCCATCTGTCTGTCTGTCACAGCAGCCCTGTCCTTCAGAGTTAAGAGGCTGTGTCCCACATCCATTTGAGGTCACTGGTTGTGCCGCGCTCCTGCAGTGGAAACTCTTACAAGGGCTCTGAGTGTCCCCACCAGCCTGGCACTGGGCATCTGTCTGCTGCCCTGGGGGGGGGGGAGCAGGAGCTACAGAAGGCCTTGGGACATACTTTACTTCCTTCTTGGGGACACTGGAGGTTTTCTTTTCTCCCCCCACCCCCCTTTTTTTTTTTCCTTCCCCGTTCAAAGATTTCCCTTCCCAGTCCCAGGCCAAGGCAGGGCCCCATAAACAGAGCGATAAGGCTCTGTGCCTTCAGTGTGAACTCTGCAGCTGCTATTTTATGGCTCTGATAACATGCCCCCCCCCAGTCCGGCTGGAGCAGGAACACTGGGTGTCCATTCCAGGAGGGAGCAAGTAAGGACAGGGGCAAGGCAAGAACAGGGACCCTCTTCCAGGCCAGGCTGAGTCCCTTCCCCTTGTTTTGTGGGGCAGGCCCTGAACTGTACCAAGAGGACAGTGCATCTGGCTCCACGTGAGGGGCAGGGCAACTCAGGTGGGGAGGCTAATGGAACGAAGGACCGGGTCAGAGTGGGAGATGGAAGCGGTCAGGAGGAGGAGTCAGAATTGCTGCTGAATGAATGAGCTGGGAAGACGGGAAGGAAGGCATCGGAGGGGCTGGGCTCAAGCTGCTTCCAGACGGAGGACACCTGGAGACCCCCAGTTGTGAATCGGAGTAGCTGAGACCAGAGTTGGGAGAGCTGGAGAGCTGCTGCTGTGTGGCCTGAAGACTGTGCAGCTGAGGGGCAGAGTGAGATGGAGCTTGGAGTGTGAGGGGGCGGGACTCTGAACTAGAGGAGGGGGCAAGGCCTGCCAGTTCTCAGGGGGCTGCGCCTTCACCGGACAATGACCTTTTCCAGGCTAGCCTGTGCCAGCTGGGTGGAAACAGATTCCGGTCCCAATTCCTGCCTTGGTGCAGGTGATAAGGGAGGCAACTGTGGGGTAGAAGCCACTAGGTGGGTTCTAGATTCCCTGCCTCCTCCAGGCAGCCTGCTGTCTCCTGACCAGAAAGCACCTGGGGACAGACTGTCTTGAAGCAACAGACCTACAGGCCAGGAGGAAGACGATCGCCTCTATCCAAGTATGGCTGACAAGGACAGGTGTGGCTTCTGTGCCCTCCTTTTGCCTTTCTGTAAAATGGGCAGACTGAGTCTTGAGGTCTTCCTTACTCTTGGAGGAGGTGACCCAGCGGCATGTGCCCATGGCCCTGGGGACACAGCCACAGGATCACACCCACACACATGCCCGTGTGTGGTCTGAGGCAGAGCAAGGCCCCCTGCTTTCCCCAGCACGTGCCAGTACCTGCCACCAACTCTGGCCTTTCTGTGCCCACCACTACCCTGTAGCTGGAGGAGACACAGCACAGGAGGACAGTCCTGTCACCCATAAGATCCCAAGGGCCGTTCCCATGCCATAGGCGTGAACGCTGCATCTGCTGCTGGCGGGTCTTCACATCTCACAAGTTCACAGAATGCCCAGAGACACTTCCAGACCCACCCTCACAGCCTCCTTCCCACCTCACTGTCTACCGGATCTCTCATCCCACCCGATCCTGCCACCCACAGCTCTCCCCCCCACGCACCCGTACAGGCACTCCTTCCAAAGTGAGCCTGGGGTTCCCCCTCGCCCTCAGCCTCTCCGCCGCTGCCTGGGATCGCTCGAGGTGAAAGCCCTCTAGGCTGTGCTGGGAGGGACCCGGTGCCATCGAGCTCCCACGCCTCTGGGCTAGATTCGGCCCCGGGTGAAAAGATGAGAACCGCGCTTCTGCGCACCCCCCACCCACCCCCCGGGGCCAGATGGCCCCAGATCCTCTGCCCCCGCAGCTCCCTCATCCCGGGGATCCGGGTGGAGGGGCGCACACTCACCGCGGGTCCGAGGGCGCAGGCGAGGGCTCCTGCCAGCAGGCAGAGCCAGCGGGCAGGCGGTGCGCTCGAAGGGCGCATGGTCCGCCCTGAGCCCGCCGCGGGCGGCCGCAGCGGCTGCGGGGTCTGCGGCTGGTGCAGCTCGGCAGAAAGGCGCGGGCCAGCGGCCCCCGCGCTAAGAGGCGCAGCTCCAGGCCCGGAGAGGGCGGCGGGGGCTCGTCTGACGGGCGGCGGGGTTACCCAATGGAGCGGCGGAGGCGGGGCCTCGGCGCAGGTAGGGGGCGGAGCCTGGGCGCCCCGGGGCGTGAGCTCGGAGTCCCGTTGGTGCTGTGTGTCGTCGGGAGCCGCAGCGAGACTCGAGACTCGTCCTAGCGGCTCCGTTGCGGGGATGCTGGGCTCCACACCGCCCAGCGTGCCCGCGCCTGCACCTTCTCTCCCAACCCAGGCCGCTCCCTCGGACCCCGGCAGCGTGCTCCTCCGGTCCTCTGCTCCAGCGGGTGGGGGTGGAGAGGAGCGGCCGCCTCCTTGGTTCCCACGCCCGCGCGCAGCCCAGATTCCCGGACCAGAAGGGCGGCAGCTCCAGGGGCTACAGACTGGGTAACAACGGGGTCCCGTGTATCGCGCTGCTGGAGAAGCCGAGGGGAGCTGAGCTGTAGTCGGGGAGCCCTGACTCGGGGTTCCTCCAGGCTGCTCTGGGGCCAGGCAGGACGTCGTGGCCCCTTCACAGCGCGCACTCAGAGGTGCACTCGTCTCGGTCCGCGCAGCTTGCGAGGGAGCCGGACTCAATGTTCCAGCGCCACGGCGCGGGGACCCAAGCTTGAACCTGTTCGCGGGCCCGCACTGTCCGCAGACACTTCCACCCGGAGTCTGAGATCCCCAGGAACTAGGACCAGGGTGTCGGTGCCCCGCGCTGCGTCTCCAAGATCGCGCCGGCCGGCAGCGGGTGATCGGAGACTGCGCTCCCTCCTACGCTTGTCGTTAGGGCTCGGTTTACTCTGTGCTAGCGTGGGGCGCGGGGTCACCGGCTCAGAGCTCCGAGCGGGCGACTTATTAGGGAATCAGTGGTCTTCCCGAGAACTCGGGCGGTCCCAGTGAGAGGTGATGTTTGTGTGTGTGTGTGTGGGGGGGGGTGATGGTGCGACAGGAAACAAGGAGGGAGGAAGACCGAGGTTCGGTGCAGAGATGGAGAGAGCCGCGAGTGCCTGCGCGCGAAGTGGAGGGTGCTCTGCGCCTGGAGGAGGTCCGTCTCCAGGCGCTTTCTGGCCAGCAGGGGCGCGGGAATCTCCCCGAGGACTCTCTGGCCTTCCCAACCTGCAACGTGGGAAACTAGGGCTGTGGGCGTGGCCTTGAGGACTGTTACAGAAAAGTCTGGAAGCGACCCCTGGCCTCCCTCCATTTCTCCTGGCTGGGTGGCGCTTTCTGCCCGTCCCCCTCCCCCTCCCCCCTCTACATCGGTCCATCCCCCTTCCTTGCTCTCTCTGCCCCTGACTTTATTATTCCCAGTCAGGCATCTTATACTCATCAGGGCATGGAGGTTAGAGATACAGGGGCTCTCCCTGCAGTTCGTGCTGGACACAGGCCTTTCTACCGATGCGGGGATGTCAGAGGGAGTGGTTCAGTAGTTGCCTTCCAGTGCGTTCAGCATCAGGAGCCACCATGAGCACAGGAATCAGAGCAGAGCGTTCTTTCTCCTTGTGGTCCTCGGTACCGTCCTCTCAGGCCTTGGGCCCTTAACGGGGCAGTGGGGTCTAATCAGCTTGAGGTGGTGTCGTCAAGTCCTAGATGTAAATGTCACCTGCAGCTGCAGCTGCAGAATGCTGAGGTCCCATCAGCAAAGATGGTGGCTCATGCCTGAGACGCCAGAGGGTAAAGGATTGCAGCGGATATCAGGCCAGCCTGAACACGGCATTCACCGTATGGGTCCGTTGGCATTTTCTTGCTCTCTGTGGACGAGGATCTTGGGGGGGAGTGGAGACCGGAGGGTGGGAGGGAGCCAGACTCCATTTCTCCCTGTGGCCCTCACCAGGTAGGTGACGTAAATGGGTGGAAGGCAGAGGGCACCAGGGGTAATGGCTGCCCTGGCCACACTGACCCCTCTTACGCTGGGGGTTGGAGGGCTGGTGGGTGCCAGGCTGCCACCGAGAGGAGAGAGGGCATGCAGGAACTGCTGGTGTCCTCCCAGCCTGACCCCCAGGAGAGGAAGGTGGCTCAGGGAGAATAGTTTTCCTTCCAGTTCTCTTCCATGAAAGCCACTCTTGGTTCGTTCTGGATTCTTCCCTGAGGAGTTCATCCTTCCTTACCATTGTAGGACACAAGACACATCCAGAAATAAAAAGATCAAGAAAACAGCAAAAACAAACACTCAACTTAGGCTACACTCACCATGTGTCAACCCCTGGCTCTCAAATCGTGTGACTGGGAGGTCAACCATGAGCTTACTCTTGGGAAGCCCTGTGGGATCTGAGGAGAGCAACTGTTGTTTACTAAGGCGATAGCAAAGGCTTCGGGAAGGAAGGGATGCCGGAAGTGGGGTGGAGGCAGGTGGGCCTCCTGAGGCTGAGGAGATAGATGGCACCTAAGGCGGAGGGAGCGGACACCTGTGGTGATGGGTGTAGTTGCCTTCCCCACCATGTCCTGAGAAGGAGTCCCCGATTTATTATTTGCCTTTGCTTCACTAATCTAGGTTGGAACAGTTGCACAGGAGAGCCTGAACCACAATCTGTCCCCATTCCCGAAGCTCCTCTTGCTAGGCAGATCTGTTCTGGATCCCTGCAACCTGTTCCCAGATTTTGGCTCAGCCCCTTACCTCCCTTCTAGTTGCCAGAATCACAGGGGTGCAGCAGATTCAGGGGGGTGGGGGAGAAGGGAGACAGTCACTTGCCGTTCCCCGTGACAGCAGAGAGAATCTTCAGTTACTCATCTGAGCTTGCCTGGCTTCCAGCCCAATGCATCCCTGTGGCGTGTGCCACCCTCGCCTCCTCCAGGCCCGCACCCACCTCTCAGGATGCCTTAGTCAGCGCCTTGTGCTGTGGCTGATGAGTCAATGGTAAGGAGGTTCTGGTGAATGGTGAGTGCAGCTTCGAAACATGGAGTGTTCTTAACACGATGGGGGCTAACTCAAGGCCAGTGACAAGCTCGGCTTGGGTAGCTGCTGTTTCAGGGCTCACCAGCAGATCCGCCCACGTTGCTGTCTGGATGAAGGCAACTTTACTTGCCCTGAGCTTCCGAGTTGAAGGGACTGACAGCTTCAAGTCTGTATCACTGGAGGAGGGTGTTGACAGCTGCCCCCCTGCACCCCTTCTTTGGGGGCTAGACCTTTCTGAGTGCCAGAGCATTTTAACTGCTTGTGTGGCTTGGAGGGGCAGGGAGGCCTGAGCAGGTGTTTAATGTTTAAAGGGTGTTTCTTGTGTGTCTTCTGTTATATCATGCAGTCATTCATTCATCTCTCTCCCTCTCTCTCTCTCTCTCATTACCATGTCTGGCTCTGTGATGAGGCTAGGCTTGACACTGAGGGAAGCACGGATTGTGTCATCCCAGGGCCCTAGCCTTCCTTGAGCAGAGGACGAGGGATCTCACAGAGGCCCCGCCGCCTTACCTGCTCATGGAGGGGGAGCCTTGTAATGACTGGTGGGCATAGCAGAGGAGCCCAGGGCCCAGTGCTGAAATGGCCACCCTTGATTCCGACGGCTGGGGCTTAGAGCTGCGGGGAGGGCCAGTGCCATCCTGCCCATCATCTCAGGAGGCTGAGGGAGCAATAATGAGGTGGGTGTTGGAGAATGGAAGTTCACTGAGGGCAGGGTTCCTTGTGAATGGTAAAGGAGGGGAAAGGGGGCAGCGAGGTGAGATCTTCCAGATTGTGTGACGGATAAGAAACTCAAACACTTCCTCTCTACTACTCCCCCCCACCATAGGGTCTCATGTAGCACTGGCCAGCCTTGAACTTGTTATACAGCTAAGGATGCTTTTGTCTTCTGATCCTTCGCCTTCCACATCCTGAGTGCTGGGACTATGGGCAGGCCTGGGTTATGAGAGCTGGAACTATGGGCAGGCTTGGGGTACGGGTGCTGAACACAGAGCACTGTGCATGCTGGGTAAATGGGTTCTTTCTCAAGGATACCCAAGCGGTGTGCCTCTATGTCCACACAGAGAACACTGAGGCATGGGAAGGGGAGGCAGAGAGGAGGAGAGCTTGAGTTTGGCTCCAAAGGACTGAGGAAGAGGCCTGGGCCCTATCTGAACAGAGAGACAACGTGAGAACTCCTTTCCCCCAAACTCAGGAGTCAGCAGTCCCTCCTCAGGCCTCTGGGCATGGGATCCCTGGCGCAGAAGTCTGGAGAGTCTGCAGAGAGGGGCTGCTAATCACATTCACTCTCCAGCAGCAGCCTTGAATGCGTGCACACAGGCACATGTGTCTGCCTGCAGTGTCCATTAGGGCAACTGTTGCTGTGAGGAAACACTGTGTTCTGGGGTTGGGCGGGAGCCTAGGACAACAGGCACTGCTCATTTCCCACCCCAGGAGAGCTCCCCCCCCACACACCCTTCCCCAGCTCTGTCCCTGTGAGCTGGTATACAGGTGACCTTGGGCAGAGATTCTGGAAGGGGTTGGAGCAAAACACACATGAACTTTCCGCAACATAATTAACATAATTCATCTCACCAGAGATGAGTATTAAAATTCTGTAGCTACCATTGTGGAAATGGACATTCGTATGTAATTCCCAAACAACCAGGAGGAGGGGGAAGAGGAGAGAGATGCTGAGGAGGAAGAAGAGAAAGGGAGAGGGGAGGGGAGGGGGGGGAGGAGAAGAAGCTCAGTGACTCTGGCAGGCTCAACAATAGAGTACCACGGGGGACTTAAACCAAGACTGCACCGTCTAGAGGAGCACAATCTCAGAGTTAGAGGTAGTTTCAGGTTTTAATTGGTGCAGGCAATGCGAATGAATGAGAATCTAAGATGGAAAAGCAATTTTAAAAAGAGAGGACTCTATTGGGGCTCTGATGGGAGCATAATAAATAAAATGTGAATATATTTTTATAGGAGGCGATGTGTTAGAATGGCTTAAATTAGGGGCTGGGTCACCTAACAATGGCAGTTTGCAAGCTGTAGGGTTTAAGAGCCATCCTGTCTGAACTCCTAAATGCTGGATGGCAGGTGTAGTCCATGATGTTTGGTTTTTTTGTTTTGTTTTTGATTTTAAACCAGAGCTGCTGTAGCTTTAAGCCTCTCTGCCTCTCACTCTAGGACCTGTAAAACAGGCTCTCCCTAGTCTGGAGTCAGGTAAAGTACCTGACTAGGTTTGATCTCCACCACCTAAACCTGGCTTGGTGGGCCAGGCTTGCAATCCCAGAACCTGGAGATGGGGGAATTTGTGGTCCCTGTCTCCAGCCACCCCCGCCACCATCAACAAACCCAAGAATTGAAGACCTTACCTGATGAAGT